AAACATCAAGAAGTTCAAAGAAGATAACATAATATAAGTTAGATGAACATTTGAATAGTTTGAAAATAGTTATTAAATGTTTTCTTTTCAATATTTTAAGTCATTTTAATTAGCCAAATTAAACACATTTTTAAGGATAAAAAAGAAGAACACAGAGTATAACGTTTATAGAAATAAAGCTGAAATACTTTGGCTTAGAGTCAAAACATAGTCTTGTCATTCAAATCATTCTCGTCTCCGCCACATCTGTAGGTTTTAAAAGCGAAACAAATTCAAATCAGTTTATTTGAGCAAGATAATTTAATTTTAAAGCTCATTATACAGCTGCACTTGTGGCGCCTAATGTTAGCGCAAATGCAAACTTTTCTCGTATTCGGTTCCAATTGCAAATATTAGTTTTTCCTTGGGGACACTTTGAGCGGAATTCATCATTTGCCGTTCGCAGATGCTTTTGCTTACGGATACGAGTGCGATGGCGATGGCCATGTTCCATGTGTGTGGGGGCCCAGAGTAAATGAAAACTTTTGGCCTGCAGCTCTTTCGGCACCGGCATAAAGAGCGGAGCGTTAAATTCTTGTTTCCACCAACCAGCCAGCCAGCTAGCGAGCTAGAAAAGTTTTTCTTTTTCAGCATATGGCGGCAGCTCATTGCACGCTGTGTGTGTGGTTGTGTGGGTGCTCCGGTTTTGCGGGTGTGTGGGTGCCGTCGCCGCCGCCGCCTCGACTGTGTGTGTTAGCCAACTTTTGTGCAAGCAAAGGAAATGCTTGACATGTCTTGTTCCTTTCGCTGGCTCGCTTATTTTATTTAAAATTTTTCCCTTTATTTTTTGCCTTTTGTGTTTGGCTTGTGTTTAGCTTGTGGCATTAACCAAAAAAAAAAATAAGATGCAAACAAAAAACCGTTCTGCTGTGCGTTTAATTTTCCGTTTCCTTTTGCCCAACATTTAAATTATTCGCTTGATCGTTTTTATTTATTTTTTCCGCTTGCCTTATGCTTTTATGAGGCAATTTGAACCACTGACCCACGAGGACCTTCAACTTAACTTGTTTATTGCTGCAAGCTTAGCGAACTTTTTTGTTCAGTTTTTTGAGCGTCTGGCAATTTGATAAATTGCATAAATATTATCATCAGATTCGCAGGAATATTTAGATGAGCCAAGGCAATAAATTGTCCGATTTGTTTAACGCAATTAATGCTGTGATGTTGATTTGGGTTGGCTTTTTCCCAGTCTACTTCTGTTTTCCGTTCATTGAACGTCGACTTTTTGACTTATTGACACTTTACATTGCCCGACATTTGCCTTAATTGCCAAAGGAGACGGCTTTGCATATATATTGTATGTATTTTTGTGTATTATTTATTAGATTCAGACAACATAAATTCATTCCCTCATTGTATTTTTGGTTTGTTTTGCCTTAATTACCCGAGCTGTAGAGACGAAAATTTCATTTGGCACTGAATATGTTTATTATAATGCAATAAATTAATGTAATTGGTTTGATATATGAATAGGTAAACAGACAACAAAGATTTATATATATTTGTTTGACTTTGTCTAAATACTTGGCGTTCCATTTAATATATGTATTTTGTATGCCATTGTTTTGTTTATCTTTATACGTGAAATATATATAATTGGCCTGATATAATGTAAAAGTTAGGAGCTAATAATGATTATTCTATTTATTTGATTTTATATACATATTTTCCATTTCATTTCATTTGATTGGGGTTTAAATGCAGTTACTTTATTATTTATTTTTACCCCATTAATTTTGTTTAAATTAAATCAAACTAAACAAAAAAAAAAAGCAATTAAATTTAAAAAAAATGTTTGTAGTATTTAATCAGACGTTTAAATATCTCTGATTATTGTGATATTTTTTTATTTACAAAATAATTGGCTTACTGTGTTTAAATGTGGTTGTGAAAGCTTTGCATCCATTGACCTGCCCATCGGTTATAATGTATTTTAATTAAATTAAACATTTTCCGATCAATTTCTGAGACCCTTGAGCATTATTATTGTTCCACGTAGAAAATATCAATAAATGTATTTAATTAAAGCCCATCAGTAAAATGTTGATTTACCAACAGCGAAACTCATTTAATTTCGCAGACAATTGCATTCAAAACTGAAATTGATTTACTCGCATTTGAATATCAATTTTGCCGGCCTGTGTGGAATTCTCTTAAAGCACAAATAATTTGTAATTTTGCATTGCCGTACGTTCTCGATATGTTTGCCCTTTGTTGCCGGCGAACAAGTGACAGTTCGCCATTTCTACACCGCCCATCGCCTCCATTCGAATGACATTGAAGCTGGAATTCAATTATGCCATTGAATTCATTTTCATTTCTCTGCACAACACGATTTTTATCATCGGTTTATGGCCTCTGATTAATTTATGTCATTATTCTCGATTATATGAGAAATTTCCCGCTTGGCTGGATCTTTTTCACAGAATGGAATGCTACCGGAGAAACAAAAATCAAATATTTGAGGCAGTCACTGAAATAACTTGGCCAAAATGTCGCACTCGACTTGACCCAGAAAAACATTCTCATTTGCATATTTACATTGCCTATCTGGATGGAATTTATTGTTGCTGTTCCTGTCGAAAACAGGCAGCGCCAAATAAAAAAGAAAAAAAAATGAAAGCGACTAAAAAAATCAAGAAAATATTTTCCCTTTACGTAAACGACAACGATGCAAGAAATTCCAAACTGACGGAAAAGCAAGCGCAGATATTTCAACAACTTCTGACTGCCAAAGGAAGGGGAAAAGGGGCGTCGAGGCGGTCGGGGGCGTGGCCGTCTCCGCTCGTGTTTATCTCTGCCGGGTGCCATCGCCATCCTCATCGCATTCGCATAGTTAGTTGTTTCGCTAGCCGCTCAATGACATGTGCTGTCTGAGTGCCAAAAAAAAAAAAAAAAAAAAAAATGGGGGAAAAAGAAATAAATAAATAGCAAAGACTGGACGCCTCGCAATGTTATTGTATCTTGCAGATGCGAAATTGAAGGCATCGGGCAATCGGCGAGCGTCGAGTTCAGCGCACTTTGAAAACTGTTCGTTGCCCTGATTTTGAATTTGGATTTGGATTCGGAATCGGATTTGGCTTCAGCCAAGCAGATGCCCATGATATATAGTAGCAGGAAAGAATCAGATCTCTTCCTGTGCATTGAGAAAAATTTTATTCTGTACTAAATAGTTACAGAAATATTTTATTTAAAATAAACATAGAATAAACAAATGACCTTCACTCTGAAATATTTAAAGCAATCACTTGTACAACCTTTTAAAACTTGCAGAGTAGAAAACATAAAATATGTGGATAAATTTCTTTCAATTGATTTTATTTTTTTCTTTCTCTGTGAGAGGGGGCTGCACTTTAATGGCGTGCAAAGATTAACTTATTTATGTGTGTGATGAGGAGGAGGATGAGGAAAAGGAGGGGGAGGCGCTGCACGCGTGCCACGCGCATTTGTTATGCATTTGTGTAATCGTATCTTAAAGATACAATTGCAGCCCGGCATTGTTATTGTCGGTGCTCGACTGCAGTGGTGATGGCGGTGGCGGTGGTGGTGGTGTTGGTGATGGTGGCTCGTGCCCAACTCCGCACATGGCCCACGGCTGCCGCCCGGGTCTCTGTTGTGGTTACACTTTAATTTACTAGCCATCAAGTGCACATTTATAATTGGAACGATGCCAGCCAAAGGGGCGACCCTAGAGTGGCTTCTATCTGTCCGTATCCGTATCTTGGTTTCCCCCGTTTTTCCCCTCTTTCCTTCTCTTCCTCCTCCTGCTCCCCCTGCTCCTCCAACCACATTTACTGGGTCTTTCCCTTATTCTTGGCTTGCCGGTCATAACTGTCAGAGACAAAACGCTGCAGCTTAAGAGGAGGCAAGTCCTCATAGTTGCATTGCCGCTGCCACTGCCGCTGCCTTTGCTCCACAATGCTGATAGATTAGTTCCCTAATAGCATCGCAATCCACATTCAGACAGCACAATAGCACAAACGGCGGAGGAGGGCCGATGAGGTGGCTTTACAAGTGACCACTTTAAGCCAGACACTTGGCGAACCTTTAAGCGGAGTCAGCCAGATGTGTGCCAAGCTACTTGGCCAATGCAAATGCAGTTGCATATACTCGTATGTCCCCCGAGCATTTAAAGAGTCATTTCGTTTTATTTGAGAAGTATTTAAATGTTTAACTAACTTAAATAGTTGGGACTATTTGCACTTCAAAGCAACACAAACTATTTGCGTAACCTGAATTATTTTGTTGAACAAATACTCGTAGTTCAATTTAATGTATTCTTTATTTAAGCAAATACGTTTTTATTTAAAATGTGAAGTCATATATAAAATGTATTTTTGAATGCTTTTTTCCTAAAGCGACATTCCCCAGAACTCAAATAGACCATAAGTGACAAATATAAGCTCTTTCTCCTACAGAAGAAGGCATTCCTGTCATAGTTGTCAGCTTTAGCTTTTGGCACCTCATCAAAAGCAAGCCGTGAAAAATGTGTATATATTTTGATAAAATATTGCTTAAAACGAAATTTTGAAACAAATAAAATCTTTATGACACCGCCGCGGTAAATATTATGATGGTCTGTAATGAACACTTCCTTGAGCAGCAAAATGCTTCAGGGTAACTGGCTCTTAAAGTCACGCAGCCTTGCTTGGGCATAATTAAAAACTGGGTCGAGTGCAGATTTTCGGTTGCCCTTCTCCTTCTCCATTTTATTTCCCAGTTGAGAGGGAAAAGCGCAGCCAGAGCTGCCAGTTACCAGTTACCAGAAACCCTCTGCCTTACATACATATATTTGTATGTCTGCCCCAAGAGCGATTGCCTTCACCTCGCCCATCCAACCATTCGCCTCCGTGGATAATTAATTGATTGCCCATTTGATTGAACGTTTGATGGATGAGTGCTACCCGAGTGTTTGGACCAGCTTGCTAACGGATTCCCCATTTTGACTCTCTCTCTTGCAGTAATTTGCATCGGCTGTTAGTGGAGCAGCCCCGACATCAGACCCAGCCCCGCATCCAGCCTCGAAAACAGTAGCACTTGCAGTTGCAGTTGCAGCCACCACAATCCTCGCAGTTCCTTGCACCCACCAACAACTCCCACATCCACATTCACAGACGAAATGGTGATAAGCAGCAAGCCCGATGCCACGGCGCCCAATGGAGCGGCAGGAGGAGCGGTGGGAGCCACGGCAGCGGCACAGGCAGCCGCCCCTGGCGGACTCGACGCCACCGGGAACAGCCTGGCGCATCCCTCCGGGATTCCGCAGGATCAAATAGACAATATCATGAGCGGCATCGCCAACACGGGCGACGTCAAAATGAACAATCATCGCAAGAAGCTGCGACAAAGGTGAGTGTCTCTTAGTTTTAGTGACAATTATGCCCAGCCAAATTCAAAATTAGCCAAATGTATTTGGAGAAAAGTGATGAAATCTTAGCACATCTAAACCTATTACTTTTCTAATTTTTGTCCGATTTAAAAGTGTTTTTTTTTTATTAATTTTGTAGCTGCATAGTAACTATTTAAAATTTAAACAAAGCATTACTACTTAAATTCAAAACAATAAATTAAGGTAAAAGAAAATTTGTTCTGCGGGAACTCATCAATTTCATTGATAGTATTATTAACCTTTTCAGCAAAATGTATTTATTTATTTGTTTATTTATTTTCTTTTCAGATTTGATATTATTAAGAAACTAGGACAAGGCACCTATGGCAAGGTGCAGTTAGGTATTAATAAGGAAACCGGCCAGGAGGTGGCCATCAAAACCATCAAGAAATGCAAAATCGAGGCCGAGGCTGATTTGGTGCGCATTCGGCGCGAGGTGCAGATCATGAGTTCAGTGCATCATCCCAACATCATCCACATCTACGAAGGTAACTAATATAGTGATTAAAAACTTAATAATAGAATTAATTAAATTATGATATTACTTTACAGTATTTGAAAACCGTGAGAAAATGGTGCTGGTTATGGAGTTCGCCGCTGGCGGGGAGCTCTACGACTACCTTTCCGAAAGGAAGGTCCTCGCGGAGGAGGAGGCGCGAAGAATCTTCCGCCAGGTCGCCACCGCCGTTTACTACTGTCACAAGCACAAGATCTGCCATCGAGATCTCAAGCTGGAGAACATCCTGCTGGACGAGAAGGGAAATGCAAAGGTGAGTGGGAAAACTAACAAAAATTAATCTAAAGAATAACTGATACTATTTCAGATCTTTTTGTATTTAAATTTATAGAAATATTCATATTTAAAATCCCTTTTTATTTGTTTTTCCAGATTGCTGATTTTGGCCTGTCGAATGTGTTTGATGACCAGCGCCTGCTGGGCACCTTCTGCGGATCGCCACTCTATGCCTCGCCAGAAATCGTAGAGGGAACTCCGTACCAGGGACCCGAGGTGGATTGCTGGTCGCTGGGCGTGCTGCTCTACACTTTGGTCTACGGTTCCATGCCCTTCGACGGATCGAACTTCAAGCGGCTGGTGAAGCAGATCAGCCAGGGTGATTACTACGAGCCGAGGAAACCCTCGAGGGCATCCACTTTGATCCGCGACATGTTGACCGTGTGTCCAAGGAAGCGAGCAAGCATCGAGCAGATCTGCTCGCACTGGTGGGTGAACGAGAACGACAACGTGTCCTGCTTGGACTTGGCCGAGGATCTGGCCAACCAGACGCCAGTGCGATTGGATGTCCTGCTCTCACTCACTCCTGCCACAATCACGGCGGACCAGTTGGTGGTGCCATCGGCGGAGGGAGCAGCTGCTGCCAAGGCGGCGGCCAATGAACGCGTTCCTCGCTCCCATTCGGTTGGATCGATCCGGGACATGGGTCCACCCAACACGGAGGCCGAGCGCCGCATCCTGGACATGGTGGCCGGTAAGTCGATGTCCATTCTAGTCCTGCTTGTCGCTTTCGAAATCGCTTGAGTGGTCCCCAGTGTGTGAGATAGAAGTTCCCGTGCAGCAGTCCCCTCGCAGAGATTCTAGAGAAGTAGGATGGGTCGATTTGTGCGGCTAAACAACACCACCTACAAGTCGTTGTGAGCACATGTATAATCTATGGAAAATATATTACAAACTGAGTGCATAGATTACAAAACTTCCGTCGACATCAGTCCAGCAAATCAACCCACCCTATTGTGTATATATATGGAGACTAACTGGCTGCCCCACACACACCGACACCGACCGACCACCGACCTCCCACCTGTCCCACTAACTGATCCGAATTCGAATCCCAATCCCAACCACATAACCACACGGCCCCATCACTTGCGAGTGTACTAAACCACTTGAAACTAAAGTCATTTAACCAAACTCATTAAACCACGCCACCCTTTCTCTCTCTCTCTCTCTTTCCGTTTCTGTTTCGTGAATGTTTTCTAGCCGGCGGAGAAGCCGCTCTGATGCCCTCACCCACCAGGACCATTACTCCCGCCCAGAGTCCGGTGCAGACGAAGAGGAAGCTGCAGCCCACTGTTTCCACGGAGAATGCAGCCGGAACGACGGCCAAAAAGAAGGAGAAGCCGGCGAATAGCTCGTTTGTGATCAGCAAGGATGGCGCGCCACTGACTGAGGCACCACCCACTATCGTTGAACCCCCCACCACCCTCATGGAGGCGGAGACAATTGCCAACATGCCGGAGGAAGTGCCGGTGCCCAGTTACTCCCAGAAAGACATGCAAATGGTGGGCGATCTCTGCGAACAGCTGATGGGCGATGCACCCAATAGTACTGCACCGCCAGCGGCAGCTGCACCACCTGCACCCACTCCGGTGGCGCGGCAGGCAACGCGGGGCAAACTGGATGCTGTGGTGGAGACGCCGGAGGAGAAGGATGCCACCAAGGTGATCAAGAAGTTTGTGAACAAGCACAAGACCGCCGATCTGGTGAATGCCATCAACGAAAGTGCCACCAAGGCGGCGGCTCCAGTGGGTCCACCTGCTCCTCCCCCGTTCGTGAGGAAGTGCAGCTTGCAGGATGAGTCCACGCTGAATAAATTCAATGCCGAACGGCGGAAATCACGCATCCTGGAAACAGCGGAGAAGTTCCAACCTCCACCACCGGTGGCTGCATCAGCAGCTCCGGAAAAGCCCAAGAAACTGAGTATACCTGGTGTCAGTGTGGGCAGCTTTAAGAAGGAGTTCGAGAAGAAGGCCACCAATCCTCCGGTGGCGGAAGGACCCACTCCCGGTGAACTGAGGGCTCAGGAACAGGTGGCAGCTGCAGCGGCTGCAGCTCAGGAAACCGAGGCTTTGGGCACACCACCTGCCTCACCAGTGGTTGCCCAATCTCTGGAGGGCAGCGATTCCAAGAACTCGGTGGCATCCATTTCGCTGGACGAAGCACGTCGCTCCATGGAGAACTCGATTGCCCTGCTGCTGCAGGCCCAAAACGAGTCCAGCAAGGAGGTGGATCAGCTGTGCGCCCAAACGGAAACGATCGGCGTCAGTGAGCCGGGAAGCCAGCAGGAGCGGGAGCGTAAGTTGAAGAACGCCCGCGCCATCATCGGAAATGCCATCCAGCCAGGTGAGTTATCCAGCATGCTTGATTATACGATTACGAACATAGTGATTATGATATCCGTACCTAAGTTAAGCTAAACCACGCAGCGCTTTCAAGTTGACTACTAGCATTAATTAGCACTAGTATCCCGGATCTGGTTTTGGGTCGGGGTGCAAGTCAAAGGTTCGATTATCATGTTTTCTATATCTTTCGGATATAATATAGTGATTTAATTGAAACTGTTTTTTACGTAAAATCAAAACTATTGCAAGATTACAAATTACAAGAACCAATTCTTTTTTATGTAAGTTAAAAACTTTCTCTAAGAAACAGAATATTTTGTTTATTATTGAAAATAACAATTTTAAGTTTTAAACTGAAATCCCTTATATCAATTGAATATTTTTTCCCCCGTTTTAGTTCCCTTTAAAACTTTTTCCGAATCTTGAAATACTTTACCCCAGGGAAATGTTTATATTTCCAAGAACTTTCTTGATGGCCAGTCTAACTTAATTTATGAAAACTCTTTTTTGCTGGAAAAACTTTTGACTTGTGCTCAGACCAGCCGGGTGCCATCGTCTTGTTTTCTATCTTTACTTTGGCATATATATTTAATTCCTTTCCATTTTCAATGTGTATGTGAACGTTTTGCAAGCCGAGTGCTGCATGGATTATATTTGGCTTTTGGAATATAATCTCCTGCTCACACTCACCGAACTCCATCTGAAGAACCAACAAATCGAAGCGATTCCTCCTTTCCAATTTGCAAATTCGCTTGGCCAATCCACAAAAGCCAAATCAAAAAAAAAAAAAAAGAAGAAAAAAGAAAGAAATCCTCAAGCATAAAATACACTCACCATCAACGTCACCATCATCAAACTCACCTGTCTATTGTCCCTCGCTCTCTCTTGTGCTGACTACCTCATCATTGGGGTGGATCGATTCGTGTGGATTTAAATATCAAAAATCGCAGTCGGAAAAGTGGTTTATGAAGATCTCAACTTAGTGATATGGATTTAAAGTAACTCATCAGTTGCCACTCGAGTTGTGTTCCGTTTCTGTTTGTAACGTAAAGAAGTTCTTTATTTTTAACCTGAATTTCTATATTTAAAAAAAAAATTTATCTTTATGACTCACGAATCAAAAACCTAAATTGTTCCTTGGCAACACCTAAACTTTAAAACAATTTAAATTAAATGTTTGTTTATTATAAATTCATGGAAATATTTTTTATTTAAAAGTATTGCCATCCTCCCGCGATTTTGAATCCCTCGGATCGACCCACCCTGTTCCCCATACATTCTCATCATATTCATTGACTCATCATCTTAATTTTAGTGATACGCAGGCCAACACCATTTTATGGCATCGGCAATGGCTTTGGCAGTGGCATGGTGGGTGGTGGTTCTGGTGCTGGTGCTGGTGGAGTGGGTGGTGCGGCACCCAAGCGAGCCCAGAGTGGCGGCAATTTCATGGGCTACAACACGGGAGCAATGTCGCCGGGAGCAGCAACATCGCCCCCGATTGCGGGACCACAGACGGCACCTCCAGTGCTAATATCACCGAATGCCCTGGCTGCGGCCAAGCAAACCATTCAGCAGAGGATATTCGGAGGTGGGTTGCTCCCTGGTCAGAGTAATCAGGCAGTGAATCGGAGACCGGCCACGTGGCAACCGCAGGCATCCTACAGCACGGCCAGCATATTCCAACCGCCGCCGAATGCGAGCAGTCCGTTCAAGATGCTGCAGCAGCAGTACCAGCAGCGATGCCAGGAGGACCAAAGGCCGAGTTCCCTGTTCACGCCGCCGCCATCGCCGCAATATGCCGCCAGCCACGCCCTCGCCCTCGCCGCCCAGTCCAACAGCAGTGGCAGCAACAGTGGCAACAGCAACAACTACGGATTTAACAGTAGCAGCAACAGCAGCAGCAGCGGTACGAGCAACAACCGAGGCAACTGCAACACGATGCCTAATCTCAATTACAATGTCAATTCGCGCACGAGACCATTCAATCATAATCAAGCTCAAGACACACTCAATACCAATGCCAGTGCTACATGTCCCTTGCCTGCGGCTATGTGGCTCAAATGTAAGTCTTGGCAGCGGCTCCCAAAAAAAACAAATACCAAAAAAAAAAAAGAAACAAAAACCCAACCGAAATCGTATCCGAAACCAAAACAAAAAAAACATGTGCTTTGTGCTATGTGTGCCTGCAAAAACAAAAAAACAAAAAACAAAAAACAAAATGAAAACCGAAGCAATCCACTCAATCCGTTTCCGTTTCCTGTTGCGTTCCTCGATTATTTGTTTTCTTTTCCGCTCCCTTTGCTACATGGACACTGGCTGGCTTTTGGGGAATTCCAAGGTTAATCAGTGTCATAATATCCTGGCTTGGTAGCTCCCAGCTTTTCCTTTTCCTTTCCCTTTCCAAAATTCCAGTTTCCACATCCCAAATCTTTGGCTTCCTCGTACTTTTCTTTGGACGTTGTTTGTTGTTCTCGATGTGTGGCTGTTGTTCGTTCTCGTTCTCGTTCTAGTTCTCGTTGTTGTTGTTGCTGCTGCTGCTGTTGCAGTTGTTGTTGTTGTTCGTGCTCGTTGTTGTTGTTCAAGTAGTGATCTCGGCTTAACCCTCTTTAAAACAAAAACACACATTTAGGCGCGCCTTAACCCATGAACTGCACTCCTTTTGGCCTCAATGAATACTAGTTACTATTTGTGTTCTCTTACTTGTTACTGATGCTTTAATTGCTTACTCGTTCCTCTTGCACCATGTAGTTTGTATACTCGAAAGCATTAACTGAACTTAATTATGGTACTTTTTAATCTGCAGCCTCACCGGGCGGCGAAGGACCTCCAACTCCGCCGGGAGCGGTGAAGACATCGACGGCCTCCATTACCCTGAAATCGGCGACCCTGCCGCGCCGGAAGATTAACGCCAAGGCGGAGGTGCAGCTGGACATCAAGCCGCGGATCCCGGAACAGGGCGCTCCGCCCCAGCCGGCGATGCGATTCAGCACGGAGATGCAGCATCCGGTGGCCGATCTGCGCAGTGCCCCGCCCCGCGAGGGCCCCATCCCCTACAGCCCCATCAAGACGACGCTGCAGGCGCGGGCCACGAGCCTGGAGCCCAAGGAGCACGTCATCACCATCCAGCGACCGCCCACACAGCACGCCTACGGACGCACCTCCTCCAACACGACCACGCGGTGAGTACCGGATACGGATCCAGGGGGCATGTAATTCCCTTCACTTTATTGCCTCCATTTTTCACTCCCTCTCACCCTCCCTCCGGAAAGAAAATGCACAGTAATTGCTTGAATGAAACTTCAATTGGAGGGTTCGGGCTCACGCGTTTCAGTTGGATTTCCATTCACGAGTGTTTGCCTGAAATTAAAAGAAATTTTAAAATGGGATAAAGCTTGTCTGGGAAACCACTTTTATATCCAAAAATGAAAATAAAGAAATCTTTAAAGTAGTCCGTTTTATAGAAAGTTTAAACTTAAGGTTTAAATAGTTCTCTATTCAATAAGAATTTCATTTCCTTTATTAAATTAAATATCCTTGCAATGCACCATTTGTTCCTTGAAAAAATAAGATATATGTAAATACTCATAATTTAAGTGCCTTAAATGATAAGTAAATTTAAAGAATTTTAAGCAAGTGCCTCTTCCTTTCCATTAAAATTTAATTTCCTGGGAAGGCCCATGATTGATTTTGCCTGTTTCGCGACCTCTTGCAGTTCCGGCTCGCTGTCACGGCAGTCGACGGTGGAATCCGAGTCGGATGCCACCACCACGGCCACGAACATGTCACAGGCCACCATCACGAGCACCTCGCAGCCCATCAAGAAGAGTCCGCGGGAGTTTATCATCCCGATTGCCGTCGAGGGAGGTGGCTTCATCACGCCCAGGGAGCGCAGCGTGGAGCCCTCGGAGTCGAGCCACACCACCAGCAGTCGGTCCACGTTCACCCGCCTGCGTCCATCGCGTCGCATTGGGTAAGGTTTAAAGCAAGCTTCACCTTTGCCTCAGGCCTCAGTGCAGATTACTCAACTGAATTCGATTCGATTCCGTATGCAGCTCATTGTTAAGCGAGGCAGGCTTCGAGGAGGGCTCGCCGTTCCCCAAGATGCGCACCACTTCGATAACCCGCGAGGGCGTCAGCGGAGGCGCTGAGGACGAGGCCCGCTTCACCCCGCACCGTCTCAGGTTCGTCCACATCCACATCTTTGCTTCCGCTTATCCCTGTCCTTAGCCTTCAGCTATTCCTCCCTTCTCCACAAGGAGAAAATTTGGTTTGAAGTGTTACAGATATCTCTCATTAGCGTCACATTAAGACGGCAGAACTTACAAAAAATCAATTAATTTTGGTTACTTCATTTAAAAATTGAAAAACTTAACTTGATTGGGTACAAAGCTATTTTACTAATTGATCACAATTAAATTCTGTTAAGTCTCAGAAAAAACAGTTCCCAAAAGTATGATACAATTTAGTTTTCAAAATGGTTGGAAAACTATTCTAATTAAACCGAGTTATTATAAAATGCGACATTTTTTCTGAGTGCCATTCATGAATACGTAACTGGATTGCTAAATTGAATCTGGTTCGCACAGTTGCTCCTCTCCTCCCAGCGAAGCTTGACTGCCGTTTGATTCGGTTATTTTCATCATCATGCACATCTCCTTTTTCTCTATTTAACACACCCGCAGAAGCTCAAGGCCTGTCAAGAAAATTAGTCAAGACAACGATTCGCAGAGCTCCAACGAGGAGGACGACGATGACGACGACGGCTTTGAGATACTCACGGCGGAGAATCTGTTCTCGACTTTGCTGCAGCGGGTAAGACCTCATCCGCTATCCCGCTTTAATGTGGCATATTTCTCATTCGGTTCCCTTAACCATTTTTAGGTGCGGGCCCTAACGAATCGCCTGAATGTCAACAGTGACCTGACGGTCGGATTCCCCAGCCATTCTAGTCGCCTGCTCACGGACATTTCGCGACAGGCCCAAAGTCACAGTCCATTCTGGAGCCAGGGCAGTCCCTTTGCCAGGTGAGTGTGTCCTCGAAAAATCCCGAGGATGGGGGAATGGGATGGGTTTGGAGTGGACTAGAGTTGGAGTGGCCACTAAAGTTGATTGCCATCCGGCTGCCAGTCAGTGAGTTAGTCAGCTTATGCAAACGTGTCGCAGCACCGGCTCTAGTTAATAATTTCATTAAATTCCCTCGGAGTTCTCTCGCTCCGTGGAAACTTATTTGATTAAGAGCCGGCGCTTCTGTGAGCTGAAATTGGATGCAATTTCAACTCTTCAGCTTTAACTCCCAAGCCTTTAAATTGGATGACGACTGCTTTAACCACCCACCGACATTAACTGCAAATTTGTTGTCCATTTCTTACATGCTGCCCTCCACATGCCTTCCATCTAACAATTAAAAAAACAATACACCAACCATGCTTAACTAATCATTCGCAAAGTGTGCTTAGATCTCAAGTTAGTTATACCTATAGCGAAACGGTCGAGAAGAAGAAAGTGTAAGTACTAAGGCTCGAAACGATTTTTAAGTGGTTTTAAGGCCTTTAAACCCCCTGCTAAGTACAGTGGGTTTTGCCCCCAAACAATATAAAAATATAACAAAAATATTTATAAAACTGTTGTATTTATTAAAGAAATTAAAAATCAATTTTAAACTTTTTTGTCATTATATTAATTATTGAAGTTATAACAAAGAAAATGGTTTATATAAAGTTGGATAAACATTAAAGCATTCAAAAGAAAAGAGAAAGGATTGCATCTGCCTAAAAATCTAACCAAGTTTTTAGTTTATAAATTTCTGTCGTATAGCTTAAATAAATTTGGTCTAAAACCCACTGTACGCCGCTTTTGAGCCCACCCAAAAACGACCCGCCGCCCTGCACAATTATTTCGCCATCCATCCATCTGTACATCCCGCCTAATCCTGGCTGTCTCTCACCTGCTTGTGCTCCTGTTCCTGCTTCCAGGTGCGGGGAGCGCTGGCTGAGGGCCTTGAACATTACGGAGCGACTGCGCCGGTGGCTGGGCCACGCCCCCCGGGGCTGCCTGTAAGTTGGCAACGTGTGGCATGGCGTGGCGTTTGTAGTGTGCAAGTCCCTCGGCTGGAATCGAAACCGCCAAAGCATTGTTCCCACCGGTGTCCAACCATTGATGCAATCTATAGCTAAATCTGATGGTTTAATTCACAGCCGGCTGAACAGCAGCAACACCAGCGGACTGGGAGCTCCTTGGCGGCACAGCATGTCCAGGGATCTGGGCAGCGACATGGAATCGATGTTCTCGCGCACGGGGGGCCACGCTGCCAAGAGGTGAATATCACAGAATAAAGAGTAAATACCTAGATCAGTAGTGAGACACGCCGATCAGAGCCGGAAAAGTGCATCTGATGCCGCGACGATGAAGCCACACAGACAAAAAAAAAAATAAAATATTAGAAAAGAAAAAACAAGAAACAAATGTAGAACTAAAGAAGCGCGCTGCAACGTATGCTACGTAAATAAGATTAATTTCAATTTCAACATGCCTATATCGTATACTTAAACCTGTTTTATTTCAAGTAGTTTTTGATGTCTGCTAAACAAAAAACCAACAAACAATTGAACACAGATCAAGTGAACCACCTTGTCGACTTAGTCTAAACCTTATATTGTCCCAAAACAAACAGATAAAAATATAAAAAATAGCCAAACAAACACAACAATTAATCATAAGTGTCTACTGTAATTATCAAGTGAAAATGCCAATTAATACTTAAACAATGACAAACCACTATTTCCGTTGAAGACTATATTTATTTGATTTCCTGTTTTGTGTGCGCGCACAGTTCTTAATAGCATAATTCAATCTCTATCAATATTCACTCTATATCTATATCTATCCAGCGAACTATCTATAACTATCTATATCTAAATGCTGTTTGTCTTAGAGCACCACTCTTTTTTGTTATTAACCCATAATGCCGCTGACGCTTACAAACCAGAATCTATTTATTTATTGCTCAACAAAAAGAAAACCAAAACCACCCCAATTCCTAGTTTAACTTATGCACTATTTATTTATTATTTACCCCTTTATGATTTGCCTTTCAAATTTTTGTTCTGCACTCATGCAATGATGATGAAAATAAAGTTACAATGCAAAGCAAGGCGATAAAGAAAGAGCCAAGAATTTGTTAAGTCAAAAAAAGTGTAATCAAATCGTATTCAAAGTTCTGTATGCCAGAGCAGATATATAGACACGCTCAGAGAATATATATATTCTCTGTACGGCGAACCCGAATCAGGCTTAACCCTTGACCTAAATGTTATTCGAAATGAGATGATGAAACATGTTGATGGCGACTCGAGGAGATTGTACTTAATGTTAACAGTGAAATAAACTAAAGCGAATGAAACCGAATGAAACACCTAATAAATTTACTACATTTTGCAGTGAGAACAACAACATAGATGACAATAATAATAAAAAAATACAATCCAAACGAAAGAAGACAAAACCTTTTGTTATTTTATTTGTGGTGACCACTGAGATTTTGTTTTCGCAACCAAAAGAATTGTTCGATATATACATACTTTCTTTGGTAAATTAATTGTTGTACAGTTTTTTATGCAAATGGCCCCGCTACCTTAAATTTGTTTTAGTTTTACCAACTCGTTTGAATACATATTTATATATATATATATATCTAAATATATATCCCTCACCAACAACAAACAAACAAACTACAAGTTTTCTAATGCGCTAACCCAAAAAACCAAAGACAAAGTTTCAAGTTGAGTTTCCCAGTTCTTCTACTTTTTTTGATGTTTTTTATTAGTTACAAACAAAATTAAACCCCGAAATGCAAAAAAAAAAAAAAAAAAAAAAAGCGAATAATAAGTAAACGAAATTAAACCAAAATTTGTGTTGTACAAGAAATTTATTTGTTTAACACCACTAAGCTCACACGCACACCCACACATGCAAATACAAATACATGCGCACAAGCCAACCAACACACCCAAAAGCTTCTCAATGTAGTTTACTCTGTCCACGCTGTTTAAAACCGCCAACAAACCAGCTAAAAAAAGCAACCAACCAACAACTAACTTGGCACTAAAAAATGTGTTTTCAAAAATAAAAAGAAATAACTTTAAAAAAAATGAAAAATAAAACCAAAAACAAATTTCTGAGTTCTGGGCTTTTTTTGGATAAATCTTTAACCAAGTAATTTCTTATAATAATAATAAACGCAACGGCAATCTCTTTTTGATGTGAAACCAGAGTTGATGGAGCAATACCAAGAAAAAGTTGAAGAAAAAAATGTCCAAAACTTTGAATACGATAATGTACAGATAATGAAACTCTCTCAGCTACTAATCGAACTTGTTACGTTCATCATCATTCCATACCGTAGAAAAACCCCTAACCCAAAGATGAAATCACGATCGAAAACCATTTCTCAGAATCAGTAGTTCAGTAGTTAGAGCGTTTATCAAGTGTTGTTATTTGTAATTCACCACCACCAGCCGATTGATTTGATGTACTTACTCATAATGATTTTTATTATTATTGGCCGTTTACACACGTTTCGTACTTACTTTCGTTTACAGTTGGTTTAACTACTTTAACTACTACCACGCCCACAAAGCATGTTATAACCATTAACCAGAGTCCGTTCAGTACCAGTACCAGTACCAGTACCGCCAGCAAATCGCATCCGGGCCATTTTGCGACGGCCACGACCACGGCCAAAACGGTGGCCGTTGCCGTTGCCGGGGTTCCGAAGCAGCTAACAATAACCACCACGACCACCACCACCAACAGTAGCAGTAACAGCAATAACAACAACGCCAACGCAAAAGCAAAAGCAAACGGCAGGAGCAGGCCGACCATCATCATCCCGGCCATCCCGAACATTCCAGGCCTTTCAGCCATCCCGGCCATAACATCCGCAACCACCAACACACCACCCCAGTTGGCCAAAACCACCAGCAGCAGCACCACCTCCACCACCACGAGCCCAAGGAAGCCATAAAGCGACAAATGGTGTGGTTGCGTGGGTGGTGCTGCTCCTTAGACTGCCAAACAGAAAAGAAAAACCAAACAAGTTCCATTTTTATGTTGCCAAAATTCAATTTGCATATTTGTTAACTGTTTAACTGAATCGTTAAAAATTTTTGTTTTCGACACTTTGAACGAACCAAAAAAAATTGTTTAGTGCAAATTAATTGAAAAACTTTTTAATTAAGTTCCACAGTGTCAGCTGGAATTTCCACTTTTAAAATTGTATTATATATATTTTAAAATTGAATTGAAAAGCGTGTGATTTTAATTTGAGGCAGCAGCAGCAGCACATTCCCCAGTACAATGGACATTGTATAATTGTGATTTTGATTTTAAAATAATTTAACTCGCTCACTCAAGTCATCTCCACTCAAATCCATTCGCCTCAGTCAGTCAAGCAATTAATTCCTCTAGCGCAAAGCTTCAAGCATACCAACTAAGCAATACTTTTACTTAATACCTTATACTAAAAACGAAAAACGATAAAACTGATAACCCAGAACTAAACATTTAATCTAAAAAAAAAAGCAATTGAAATATGAAACTATTTTTATACGTACACCAAGTGAAATAAAACATGAAATCCAAATTTGTTACTGCCCGTATTTGTTTTCTGCACGTGAGCTAATCCCAGTTGATGTTTTGATTTTTGTTAACCTTTGTTGGTTACTCTTAATCCTGCAAGTTTGTTAAGTGTTCGAGTTGAAGCTTACCGCTTTGATTGCGTCTATGGAAAGTAATTCTTTTGGTTGCCGAAACGAAAACGAGTAAAGTTTTCAGATCTCTGGGGCTGGCGAATTGGGGCAGTCAATCAATCACTTTGAGCGACATGTAAGTAAACTTGATTTATTCAAATCCATCAGTTCATTTGTCAAGTAAGTGGAACACTTTATCAATCATCTAGACGTGTGTGATTTATTTATCGAATGTATTTTTTATGGTTCTATGCACTTTTGACTTATTCACAGGACATCATCAGGGAAAGAACAAACCAAGCTCAGCTCCTGCCCAAGTAGAAAAGGGTTGCGCCAAGGAAACTGCGGCTTCGAATACCGAAGAACCTTTGGATCTGGCCGATCTGGATCTTTCGAGGCTGAGACTTAGCAAAAAGGATTTGGAAACCTTGTCGAGCATAACTCCTGGATTGCCCAAGTGTTTTCAGGAGCAACTCCTAGCCAAGTTGCCTCCCACTCAGGCTCGCAAATTATCCCGCACTCTGAGTGTTCAGACCAGTGCTCCCAGCAGTTCATCCACTCCGAAGGTCTACAAACGCAGCCAGAGCGGCGGAAGGGGCTACCAGCCGGAGCAGCAGGAGGAATTGCCCGACTTCAAGCCAAAAACTCTAACAGATGCACCCAAGACAACCTCCGCTAGTACGGCAATTTACCGGAGAAGTCTGAGTCGCAGTCAAGCGACACCCACTCAAAATGCTGGTCAGGATGCCGAGAGTCGGGCCACACAGACCACGAAGAGCCGCAGCAGCAGCGTGTGCAGAGATGACTATGGCAAATCCTCCCTCTGCAGCAGTAGCACCTACACCAGCGACATCAGCGAGAAGTACAAGTACTACTCTCCCTATCTGAGCAAATCTAGCAACGTGAGTCCTTCGATGACCTCAAAGGATGCGCTGGAGAAGCGTTACAGTGGCGGTCTGGGTCGTCCGCCAAGTGGTTGTCTCTCGCCTCCACCGCAACTGCCACAAGTTGCTGCCACGGAGGGCACAAGTTCCCTGCGAGTTGGACGCTCTTCGCAGCGTAGAATTTCCCGCTTTTTGCGTCCCGACTTCTTCGATGAACCCAGGGATCGGGAAACCCAAAGCATGCTGAGGGAAATAAGGGAGAAGTCCATCGATCGGCAGGATCAGGAGCAGTCGCAGGATCTAAGACGTCGCAAGCATAGTTTACCCAATGTAGAGCACGTCGATCAACCCATAGAAGCCACACCCATTAGATCCTCCATGCGGCATTCTCGCAACAAGAGCATGGAATTGTTCACGGATGCCGAATCCAATGGTCAGGTTCAGGAACCCATCAAAACTTCTTCAGCCAGGCAGCGAAGTGTTTCGAGAGCTCGGGAACTGGAAACGGAACTCGACAAACACGAACTGGCGGACAAGATACTCCAGGAGTTGCAACTCCTATCTGCTGTGAGAACCCAACATGAACAGGGTCAGGAGTCGGAGAAAACAGAAGAGACTTCCACCATTAAAAAGGTTAGGAAATTGAAACCAAAGGAATCCACAGGAATCATCGAGCCAGAGGCAAGCAAAATTTCTTCCACTTCTACCTCAACTACAACCACTTTGGTGAGGAAGGTCAAGAAGATCTCCAAGAAGACAGATGAAACGAGTAAAATAACTGGATTGGAGAGTACGGAACTGAGTAGCTCTGTTCCCAAGGAAACCAAGCTGAAGCGACCCAAATCCTATCCCATGAAAGATCTTGGCTTGAGTCTTAAATCCTCCACAGATCTTCCAGAACCGACTGCTTCTCTACTGCCCAGCAAGTTACCCAGTAAACTACCTTCAGGGATGAACAATGAATCTGGAGGAGAGCCCGCTCCTCGAGAAAGTCGCCTGATGAGACCCAAAAGCTATCCGGCCACCAAGTTGGCCACTCCGAAGGAGCTGCGTAAAGTAACCCGCAGTGGGGTGGCCATTCCCACCATAACAGAAGCTACTCCGGCTCCCACAGCTATGCCCACACCCACTAGTTCCAAGTCCACTTCCGAAGAGAAATCCCTATCGGCTACTCCAACTGGAACCATGACCACTGTGACGGATGCCAAGGACACGGGCTCCTCCTCCAGCGATTCCCGACCCACAACCATCAAGAAGATCATTAAGGTGTCAAAGAAATCTAAGTTAATGCCACCTACTCCACTCACACCCACCACTTCAACCACAACTGCAACCACCACTGCAAATACCACACCTGTAGACAGTTCCAAGGAGTCGAGTCCGGTGATCAAGGCCAAGGAGAAGTCGCCGGAGAAGAAACCCAGCAAGGGATTGCTCTACGCCTTGGGACAGAAGTTCGAGAAGCTGCGCGATTCGGCGATGAGCAAGGAGAAGAAGGCGGGAGCAGCTGGAGCGGCTGCATCGCTGGCCTGCACCCAAAAGCAGGGATCTCCCGAGGAACGTAGCTCCCCGGAGAAATACAAGAAGAAGGTATTGGAAACGGATAAATCCCTGGAACTGGGAGCCCCAGAAGACAAGCGAGTGGATAAGCGATCCCGTTTCGATAGTGTCTTGCGCTCCCTTAGGGAGAGATCCGTGCCCAGATCGCAACCCAATGGTCGGGTAAGTCCGAAGAGAGCAGCCAGCGTGGAGGAACTGCACGCGGGATCCCAGGAAGGCCAGGGAAAATCAGGTGGAGCGGTGAACAAAATGTTTGGTGGCTTCCTGCGACGCTTCGACAGGGAAAGCAGTGAACAGCGCCGCGTGAGGAGCACACGATCCACCAGCAACATTGAGCGACAGGTGCGCGAGGAGCAGGATCAGAAGCTGGATGCCTCGCTGCCCACATCGCCCATCTACCAGAATGTGGTGAAGGCCACCAAGGTGCAGGCCAATCCAAAGCCGGGCGGCGAGGAGAACTGCAATTGTGAGACGGCCTGTCCGGATTGCAGGCAGAACAAAGGACAAACCCTGACCACCAGCAATGCCCCAGCGAGCACAACCACCACCAGCAACAAGGAGAAGAGGAAGGGTCTGATGCTGGATCTGGCCAGTGCCAATGCAACGGGCAGTGGAGCCTCCAGTGCGGTGACCACGGCCACCACAACCACCTCTAGTGGCAGCAGATACAGGGGATCCAAGACCAATCCGGCTTTGCTCAATGGCAATGGAGGATTGGGCATGGGCCTCTACTCGAATCTACCGCCCTATCCGGGAGCCATCAAGAGTGAGAGTTCCAGCCAGCAGTCCATGGAGAATGCCACCAATAACAATTCGACCAACACGAACAACAACTGCAGTTCACAAACCTCGGGTTATAGGACCTCATCCGCACACGAGATCAACAGGAATAATCCCCTGCTGACGCCCTCCTTCGAGAACATTGCCAACTACTCCTCGGATTCGCGGAGCTACCAGGATGACTGCGCCTCCACCTCGACGTTCCTCTCGCCCACCGAAGAGCCGGAGTTGTACTTCGACAACTGGTCCATTTGCTCCGAGGACAACTACATGCTGCATGCCACGCCCTCGCCAACGGTGTCCCGCTTGTCCAGAGCCTCCTTATCCTCGCCCACCCGCTGCTCCGAGAGCTCCGATCCCAACGAGAGTGTGATCGACCGGATCAAGCGGCGCAGCTTCTACAGCCGCTTCAATGAGCAGAAGAAACCGCGACGCACGAGCAGCATTGTGGGTCCTTCGGCGGTCAGGGATTACTATCGGGAGCAGCAGGCGGCGGTTAAGGCGCGCTCTAGCCACAAGTTGCATGCAGCAGAGTTGGATCCACCGCCGAGAGCTCATTCGCCGGATATTGCGCAGCAGTTCTTCAGGCCACTGAAACTGAGTCCCGTGGGAACGGAACTCAAGCCTCCGGTTTACCGCTCCACCCTTGATTACTCCTCATCTTCAGCGGGAGCCACCAGCAAACCTAGGAAAAGTTTAAACGACATTAGGAATACCTCGCCATCGTTCCTCAGCAAAAGATACGAGACAACGGACTACAGTTCCGTGCCGATGAGGTACAAGAGCTCCTCCAGTTCGAGTCCGAGTAATGGCGCCATCGCCAGTGGTTATTACAACACGTACAATCCAAAACGAAGGTCATCCTATACGCTCAATGGCAGTCTGCCCACTGCCACGAGCGGAAGCAGTGCAGCAGGAAGCAGCCACCTGGACGGATATGCCACCCTGGGCAGGAGATCCATCCGACCGTACGATCATCGAACGATGTCCCTGCTGGAACCACCAACATCGAGCAGCAGTCGAATCGGTGAGGGAACTTCCTATCAGAGGAGAGAGGCAAGGACACCGGTCAGGGATTACACCTCCAGCATTTCACGGTGAGTGTGGGATAACTCTACAAATAATTAGCTCATACTGATATACTCATGTTCCAGCTCCGGATCGCGTTATCGCACTTCTTCGGCCACTCGCAGTCCGACAAACATTTGATGTACCACACCGCAGAATGGCTTCTGCATCTTTTGCTACTACTCCAAACGGAAGAAGGCGACTTCCGCACATGGCATCGGAAACGCAATCGGAATCGGAAACGGACATGGACATGGCCAGGCCATGGGCACGCCCCCGAACACCACCGCCTCCTCGTCGTCCTCGCGTGCCAGCAGTGGCGGCGCCAAGAAGCAACAGCCGCAGCTGCACCCGGCACCCAACCAAAGCCATCATCAGCAGCACCACAACGAGCAGCACAAGTTCTAGACTGGCTTTCCCCCATTCGATCCGATCCCAGATCCCAAGAATAACTATATACCGAATACCAATCACCACTTAGGCTTAGAGATTTTTGATAATTTTTTGTATGGAACTTAGCCAAAGTTATACTCTAGTGCAGAACTTTTGGAAGCTGCCCCTTAGCCGTAGGTTTGTTGTAGTTCGGATTTAGCGGAGTTTCAGCCATAGATCGTGACTCAATAATACGATTTTCAAATGATTGTGCCTTGGTTCCTTCGGCGGTTTTAGATTTAGCCAATAGCCATAAAACGTTGATTTTAATCTGTAAGTTTGTAAGCGGAACTGAAGCGAAAGCTCAAAACGGAAACGGAAATAGAAAAGGAAAGTAAAAGCGGAGGAGAGAAGACAGGAAAGGAAAGTAAAAGAAGGGGAAAGTGTTTCACAATATATGTATATGTATTTTCTATGCTATTTTTGTGAGGAAACCTCGCGCCGAAAATGCGTTAAAATTTCTATGAAATAATTTTTAAAACAGTTTTTTTGCATTAAACAGAACTGACGATGGATTGTTTTCGAGATTTGAATAGAGTTTAATATAATAGTGACCACTATTTCGTTTGCTAGGTCTATTGATGTTATTGCAAAATAATAGAAAATATGCGAATTGTGAGCGAAACGGAAGAGGGTTAGGCAAAAGTAGCAACAAACAATAAGCGAATTTAAAAAGCAAATTAAGAAAAAACGGAACAAAAATAATAAGTAATTGATCTAGAGTTTTGGGTAGATACCGAATTGGAAGTTCAAATTGTAATTAGAGCGTGAGTACGAAAGCGTTTTCTAAAAATAAATAAAAAACGAATCACCAATTGAATGCTTGTTATTTGCATTTGTGATCCCACGGCGGTAATTTTAATAATCCGATTAATGAATGGCACTCCGTGATCAGCTCTGCTTCTGGAGTTTGTAGGTGGGCATGAAGGGGACGTAGTAGGTCCACTTCCATCTCCGAATGGTATCCATGCCATACGGAAAATCGTAATCGGTGGCGGTGCCGTCGTTGATATTATCATCGCCCAGCGGCATCTCATTGGCCCATTCGATCAGACCGCGCTCCTCCGGCGTTCCCGGAATCAGATTGTCCAGGAAGCATCCCAGGAAACCTCCCACCAGAATTGTGGTGCCCAGCAGCACTGACAATGTGGAGTCCACGGTCTTGTTACCGGTGTCAATTGTTCCGGGATTCATTTGCATCCAGCGGCACAGCACCATTGGGAAAAATATAGACAGACCCAAGATATAGAGATTCCTCGCTGATCGCAGATCCACATACTGCAGGGTAGATAACCCAAAGGCTATGATCATGCCGAACATCACGCAGAATATTCCACCCACGACCGAATCGGGAATGAGGATGAAAATAGCTCCAAACTTGCCAATCACTCCCTGGAGCACCATGATAAAGGAGGCCCACTGAATCACACGACGCGATCCAATCTGAAATGGAAAACAAAGATAGGTGACATTGAATGCTTAAAAGTATCCCTCAGCTACTCCACCTTGGTTACTCCGATGGCGCCAACGTTCTCGCCAAAAGTATTGGTTCCGTTTCCTGCTCCCCAAAGTCCGGCCAGTACAGTGCCCAATCCTTCGGTGCCAACACCTCGGTTGATGGCATGCAGTGGAGGAGAGTGGGCGCCGGACATCTGGGACACCGTGGGATAGTAACTCAGCGACTCCACCGTGCAGGCCAGTACACCAGCCAACATGCCCAGCACTCCGGAAAGCGTAACCGAGGGCCAGCCAAACTGTCCCGGATACGGAACGTAGAACCACTTCGCACTCGTCAGGACATTCAGGCGCACATCCGTGCGAGAAGGATGCGATGGAGGGAACACATTAGTGGCGGTCAAGATGCCGCACAGTCCCCACATTATCATGATGGTCAGCAGGACGGGGAAGAGGCGGAACAACAGGAACTTGCGCACCTCCAATCCGTGACCTTTGCGGTAGGCCAAAACGGGAACCGGAACATTCGACATAATTTGCGAAAAGAGCGTCAACATTGCAGTGGTGCTATAACGAAAATATATAACAAATTCAGTTAAAACATTTTTAATTAACATTTTCTAAATAATCATTTCTGAAAAATAATTGTAATATTTTTTGAGTTATTCTAAACAAAAATATGAACAAAACTTTTTGAAAGGGAAGCTTTAGTCATAGACAATCAAATTATTAAATCCATTTCCCCGAGAAAACTACAATTTGCGAGTTCAACACCGATAATTATTCTATTAAAAAACCATATTTAATGGACTGGATTTAAAGTGGTTTGTACTCACCCGACGGCAATTCCCCAGTGCTTGGAAGCCGTATTGGCTGCGTGCTCGAACAGAGTGAGACCCACCAGAGATACGGTTGGTACAATGGTCAACGGGGTGACGTACTTGAGGATCTTTCCCACCAGACCGGTGTAGCCCAGGACCACTTGCACCAAGGCGGACACGGCAATGGCGCCGGACAACTCCCGCATCCGCACCTTCCACAGTTCCTCCCGCTCCTCGTCCTCCATGGCGTCCATCACGGATTGCTCCGGACACTTCCACTGGGGCAGGGACAATATGGCTAGAGTGGGAACCAGAAACGAAATGGTGCCGCCCTGGACAATGGGCAACCGAACGCCCCACGTGGCCTGGAAATAGGTAACGATGCCCGTGACGAAGATCATGGTGGAGATGATGATGCCCCGATTCGCATCCTCATCCGACATGCACAGAGCGGGCGTCAGGATGAAGGGTATTGAGACGATGGCGCCAATCATGGTCAGGTAGTGCTGGAATGCCAGGAAGATGCTCAGGTACCACGGGGGATTGTCGTTGATGGCGTAGAGCAGTTGCGGCTTGGGTTTCTCATTGTTCGAAGGCGTGTTTGCGGCTGGAGCGTGGGACTTGGACGCATCATTCTGGAAATTAATTAATATGCAATCTTAAATATTTCATTATTATCCACTGGGCGAAAAACTTTTTTCACCGGAACAGTATTCAAATTTAATTCAAGTGTATTAGTTTTTTTTGTATATTTATTGAGAAAACTCATTAAGGGCCACTTGAAAATGCATGTTTAAAATAATGTATGACGCTATTTGTAAACATATTAGCACTTTTGGTGGATGAGGATTTAATGAGCCGATTCGTAGTATCATATAAAACCCCATTGATTATATTATATTGATGCAAATTTCTGTTTGCTTATGTTAATAAGCGTTTTTAGCGTCGGGTATAGAGATATTCTTACTTTTTATTGTGCAATGGCAGAGTGCGGAAATTTCAATGTTTTATTTATGAGTATTGCAATTAAAGTTTTTGAATCTATTTACATAACTATATGGCTTTAAATCTCCCGTGGAGGGAGGGAATTAATCTTGGCCCGAGTTTAATCAATCGTGATTAATTGAGCGTGAGTATCAGTGCGGCGCTCGTAGGACGCCGCGTTCATTTCTCAGCTTGTTGAGATCTGTAATGTTAATCAGACCATAAATTAATAGCTGATGTGATTGGCTAGTTAATAAATCAGTTATTTGTCGTTGTCAACATTGTTGAAAGAAGGGTTTGCCCGCGAAAAATGACAAATGGCATTTCGTTGATATAAAACCGTCAGTTACTCACTCCTCGGGATCGATTAAAAAATATTTGTGAATGAACTATTAATTGGGGGGTGTTATCTCCCAGTTTTATCCCTAAATAGCGGAATGCAATGTCGATGGCGCATAAAAAATAAATTGAACGAGTACTGCAGTTGAGTGGGGAAATGCCTCACAAAACAAAACCGATAAAATCAGAATAGGAACAGCATCCAATTGGTAGCAATTATGCAGCGTCCCATTAGGAAAATTTCCTGTTACATAAAGCCACGCGTTCAAAAAAACTGATTATGCGAAGAAACCATAGACTTACGCCGTCCTCGACGGTAACATTATTCAGCTCCATGATCGTACGAGCTCACACTTTATATCCACCATAAACTAATTGGGCATAACGCACGGAAAAAAACTCCCGAAGAATTCCGCTGTACGTCCGATCGCGACAAGGTCCCGAGACTCAATGGCAAGATCTGTCAGCCACTTGTCGAATTTCACCCGATCGAGGCAATATTTTTATCGTAGAACTCTTGGAGAGCAGGGCCTTTAAATCAAGAGCAATTAATAGCATCTGAGAGGAGACGATCGATTGCAGTCAACTCTCTACTGAGGTTCTCGAAATGTAAGGAAATGCAAAAGTCGAAATAACAAGAAAGGAAGCTAGCTTCATCGACCCGAAGCTTTTATACCCTTGCAGTCATCACAAATGTCAAGCATGTGTTTTCAGCAAACCCAGTTTTTGGAAATTCACAAATAATTTATAACATAAAAATTAAAAAAAAATAAACCGCAGTTTGTTAGAAAATTGAAATACAAACTTTAAGAGGTATGCCACTTCAAAATAGGAATAAAATACATAATATAAGTTATGGACTTAGATTTGGTAAGTTTGGTAAATTTTCAGCAAACCCATTTTCTGGAAATTTGGAAATGGGTTGCATTATAAACTTGAAAAAAATCAGTCAAAAAATTAAAAATTAACTTATGATAACTAATATATTCTTATTTTAAGTCATATATCGAAATATACCGAAATCTGAAAAGTGGCCACCAACTCATGCATCCTGTTCGCCTGGTACTTCAAAAAGCATTTGGCTCAAAAATTCTGGGCTTGGCTGACCGATTTTGACGAGTGCAATTCTTTCCCTTAGATTTTAAGTTCTAGGCCAACAGAATTTATTAGATTGGAGTTTTAATTATGGGAATTTTCTGACTGAAATTATAATACCCCGGGCAAGGGTATAACAAAACAAGCTCACTGCAGAAGACCCGAAAAACATTTCCAAGAGATTAAATTATTTTATTAAAGGCCAATGCTACCCTATAAAAGTGACAAAGAGATATTATAAAGATAAACTACCATAAACTACCCAAATGTGATAAAAGCATATGTTATCGTTCGTTTTCGTAGGCCATGAGAATATTTTATGATTTTACTTTAGCCCAAATCTCTGAGAAGAAACACTGCATACTTTTGGGGGAAACAAAATGTATCTCGCGTTTTATTTCAATTGGAAAAGTAACTGTTCACATTTTGCTGTAAATATTTAACTAAATCGCTACGTACATACATAGTTTAATACACATTAATTTAGTTTTGGTGGTTTTTGTTGTTGTTACTGTTTTATAGTGGTGATATTTTCAATGACTTGCATGTCCGCTCTATTCTATACACACACGGGTTATTCTTGTAGAAATCGATAGATCCGTTTATATAAGCATTTATAAAAAGTTCGATACAATAATCATACATACTTGTATGAAGTGGGATATTCATTTCTTTTTTTCTGTTTTTTTTTTTTTTTTGAATGGAAAGTTTCTGACAATGCTTTTTTGGGAGTGTATGCTTCTGCGCAAAGTTCATTAGCGTAATTTGTTTAACATTAATCATTACGGTTCCATTAAGTAAAGCACACCAAGTTCTGTTGCAGTCTCTCTCTTACAAAAATTAAACAAGTAAAGGCGTAAAACAAAACTCATAGCATATAAATAAAAATGTCTAGGGCAGCGAAGATGCGGGAGGCTGGGGCAGAAGGCTGCAGGGCATCATCACATCAAATTCATCTCCAACTTCTGTGGTCAGCTGGCGATTCACGGGGTGTCCTCCTCCTCCTCTTTGACTTGCCACACACTGCTCTCGTTCTCTGTATCACTCAGAATTTCCACGACCTCATCCTCGCCAGTCAAAAGACCATCCTCCTGCAGGAAATTCGTAATACTGTAGCCCACATCGCCGTCGCCATCGCCATCGCCTTTGGCCTCGCCATCAGCCTCGCAATCATCCGCAGTCTCGCCGAGAAGATTCATGTCCGGCACTATCGTATCATCCGTTCCCACCTGGGCGTTGGTGGTGGCTGCAACAGCTGGTGCCGCGGACACATCCATCGGCGGCAGCGTGGCCTCCGGGTTGAAGGGTGCATCCAAGTCTTCGAGTCCACGCGGTGGCTTCAGCTTGGACAACTCCTCGCGCAGGTGGCGGTAGTGTCGGCGCAGAACCATCGAGTTGAAGGAAATAGTCCGACTGGTCCGTTCGCTGTATTGGGGCTTGCTCAGCTCCTCGATCCAACCCTCGATTTGGGTACAGATCTCCTCGCGCTTCAGCCAAAAGTGCTTGTGAATGACCTTCAATTGGCAAGATAAAAGTATAGTTAGCACCATTGAATAATGGTCATCATTAAAATAAAACTCACATCCTTGAAGCAATGACTTGGATTCCGAATCTGCTCCAGCATCGCCCAACGCACGCAGGCCTGATAGATATTGCTGTTGTACTCCCGCGACGAATTGGTGCCACTGGGAGTGCCTCGACTCCTTTCGAAGCCCGGCTCATTGAAGTAGGGCTCGGGTACGAGGATCAAAGACTGGATGGAGACGAGCACCTGCAGGAAACTAGAGGTCTGCGCATTCCACTTCTCCTCGGGTCGACCGTGCCAGGTATTCAGAACCGACAGGCAAACCTTGCCGTCATTATAGAGGTTGGGATTGAAGCGCACCGAATGACGGCCCGTTGTCTCCAGGTTGATAAGCATGGGCTGATTGGGGTAGTCCGGCGGAAAGAAGACATCGAACTCAAAGCACCCATTGGCATATGGCGTGTCCGCCGGACCAGTGATGAGTACCTATAAATTTAAGCATAAAATTAGTAATATCCAAATAGTTAGGATCGTTGCAAACTTACCTTCATGATATCCAATCTATCCGTATCACAGCGCACAAATACAGAGCTACTAAAGCTGAGCGGAAGGCTGGTGGAGAGTGTCACCGCCTCCTGGGCGAGCCGCTTCACCCGCGACGGATGGTAGCGATCGCCGGCGAGTCGCACCATCTTCTCAAAGTGGTGCGAGACCACAAACCGGAAGCTATTGTTGTCCGACTCAACTATCATGTCGAAGGTGTCGAACTGGCGCTTCTTCATCAGCTCCAGGTAACGCTCCTCAATGGACTTGCTGAGCGGCTCCAGCTGCCCACTGCCATCGTCGTTGGGATTCAGCATGTTGATCAGGGCATCCGCATCCGTGGTCTTCTGCACCAGGACACTTGTTTCATGAATGTCCGGAATGAGCAGTGCTAATCCCTCATCGTCGCCATCGTCAATGTTGAAGGTCAACTGGTGTGTCTGGCCCTTGATGTTCGACTTCTTGTTCACTCTACGAAAAATATTTTAATATATAATAGGAATTAGCTGAAGGAGATTGTGAACTCACTTTAACCGCTTGGCGTAGGTGTCCACGCAGGTCTTCATGTTCGTGAGCAGCTCCACGATGGGTGGCGTGCTCTCTCCACCGCCATTAGCCGCTGGTTGGAGCAGCGAGACGAGCATCTTGGACAGAGATAAGGCGCGCAGAAGCTTAAGTATGGCACGGTATAGCGGAATGTGTCGCGTGATGTCGAGCACGGAATCGTTGCGCAAATAGGAGCTTAAGGCGGGAATCAGGCAAGACTGCTGCAGGAGCGTTTGGAAGATGGGCGGCAACTCGCCGGTAACATCTCGAACGTCATGATAGGCCAGGATGTCCTCTCCGCACATGTCACTCGGTATGCAGTCACCCGGATTTATGTAACTGGCCAGGACAAGCAACAACACGGTGACGTGCTCCTCCTCGCTCTTCTGTCGCAGCAGAGCCTGCTCCACGTTCCACGACTGGGTGGTGGATCCGGTGCCGAATCCCGTTCCTTTGGCCCAGTACATATGGCTCTTGTCGTCCGACGTTGCACTGGGCGTTGCCTCCTCGGGAGCATTTGTTTTGCCACCGCTGGCACTTCCGTTTCCACTTCCATTGCCGATGGTGCCACTACCACTGCCACTGCTTGTTCCACTTGGCGAGGGTTCGCTGATAGGCGCTCCAATCCTGCTGTTGTGCGACTGATGGGAGAAAATTCCCAAGCAGTTAAGCACCAGGTGCATGGCCCCCACTTCGATGACAACGCGGCGAAGCAGCACGCCATCATCGGTGGACAATGGCACACTGTCCAGAAGCTGACGGAAGACCTCGAAGGGCAGAGTGGGCAGCGACGGCGCTAGCGAAAGACTGTATATGTCATCTGCAAAAGAAACTGTGGTTGCAATATACGAATTAAGATACAAATTCAATTACTTACTCCCTTCACCGTCCCCTGTGACTCCCAGGACCAAACGTAGCAAACACTGGGCTCGCATCTTGTCCCGCAGCAGGACATCGGAGTAGGCGGGCAGGCGCAGGAATAATCCGAAGGCAGCTAGCGAGTGCTGCGGCACAGAACTGACCGTAGCCTGTTTGGCCGCCGGCTCGCAGATGGTGTCCTCCAGGTCCTCGTAGATCTCATCGTTCGGCTCCAGTTTTACCCAGTCCGAGAGCGGTGGACTCTTCTCCTTTTCGCTCACAACCAGTGTGGTCTTTCGACCAGAATGCTCCGGATAGACGGTTGGCAAGTAATGGGCCAGTAAAGATAGACCGCCGCTGCTGGAAAATCGCTGCAGTGGTGACGGCAGCGGCTCCGTGCAGGCAGCCTTCGTCTTCTTCGCCTCGCTGGCCTCATCCCCCCTTTGCTGGGGCACCAGATCAAGGGATATGCAGGGCGTGGACAGCGAATGACCCGCATCCTGGAGCGAGGCCAAGACCTGTGAGATGGTAGCATCCCCAGCCAACAGGATATCAGAATACTCTGGTATGACCAACTGGTTTCCATTGGCTGCATTCGCCGATTGCAGCAGGAACTCCTCAACGTTGAAAATATCTGTAATTGAATATATTGTTAAAAGGAGTTTAAATTATATATTAAGGGGATCCTCACTGGAAGCCAAGTTCATGCTGCTAGTCTGAGTCTCCTTATCCTTGTTCATGGCCGCCTGGTTCTTAGCATCCTTAATGCGCTTATCCTTGGCTGCCACAGCGGCACCAACGGTCAGGAATTCCATGCTACCCGCATCTACGTTGTTGAAGTTCAGGAAGCTGCTCTTTTCCAGCTTGCTGTCGTTTGACTTGGCCGTGGCACTGGACAAGCCACTGCTGGAGGCCGAAGCCTCGCCAGCTCGTTGATCTGTTGGTTGTTGATAAACTAGATTACTATACACTATGGGTCCAAAAACAAAAGCCGAAAAAGTAAAATAAATTAATTATAGAAAACAAACATAATGGCGAAATAAAAAGAAAGGAAGAGGTGTCGCAGAAAACTTACCACTGACACAGTTCTGCATAATCTCGTGGCACGTGGTGCTGGTGGTCACCGTGAAGAGCATGTGATGGGCGCTGCTCCGCTTGGCCGGATGATTGTTGACGGCTGCCACGGGCAAACTAGTGCTGGCGCCACTCGAATTCCCGCCCAGAATTGCGGACAGGGTGTCCCTTCGCTGCAAAGGCTGCTGACTTCTCACCGAGACGGTGATGTGCTCGTTCTCCAGCAGAAGCTGCAGCACCAACTGTCTGGTAAATCCAGAGATCGTCGGTCGAACTCCGTGCGAAGATCTCAGCGGCTTGCAAATGATGGCACCGATGAGCAGGGATGTCAGCACTTCCTGGTTGCCCGGATGGCAGGCGCTCACTCGCGTAAAGAAGTTGATGGTGGCTCGTTCCAAGCGGATGAACGACTGCTGCATCGGCAGCGTTTTGCTAAACTGGGCGGCATGGGTGTTGCAGAGCAACTGCAGCAAAGGTTTCCAGAATACGGAGCCCTGCATGGTGCCTAGCCAATCCCGCATGGGACCTTCGGCACAGCACTCGGCAAAGAATTCCAATACCTTCGGTACATTCGAGCTGCTTAGCAGCGGAGTATTATTGCCCACATTCGCTTCGGCCTTGTCAAAGTCCGTCAGCGGGGAGTTCCCAACATCCGATGGAACAGCAGCTGCAGCCTGATTGTTGGAGGCTGTTTCCTCTCCTCCTGCAGCAACTGGACCCGAAGAAACAGCTTGCTCCGATCCAGGCAGCAGGTGCATGCAATACTCGTAAATGGCATGGGCCAGCAGTTTGGGCAGCCCCGAGTCCAGCATCTGGTAAACTGCCGCTGGCGACTGGCAGGCCAGCGCAAGAGTCTTCAAGAATGTTGGACGTTGCAGCAGGACCGTGAGATTCTCGCTACCCTCGCGCCGGAACCAGGCACTGCCGCTTTGCACTTTACTATCGTCCGTCTGGCCACGAGCCGGTGGCTCTAGCTTCACGCCCAACTTGACCAACAGCTGATTAAACAGCTCCGGCTTAATGTAGCACAAAGCGCAGAGTAACGAATCAAAGCTGCTCTTCAAGGGCTCATCGTGTTCCAGCGACGACACCCACTCGAAACAGGTCTCGAATAGCGACGATGAGATGAGCAGGGGCAACTCAGGCAGTTGCTGCTGCGTCTGGACGCGCCAGAGAATCGAGGCGATTACCTTAACAAATCCGCTCTGCGGATTATTGCAACGGGCCTGCTTGCTGTAGTTGTCGTGCAGCTGCATCACCCAATCGATCAGGACGCGCAGTTTGTCCAGCAAGTGCTCCGTGGAGCTGGTTACTACTTCGTAAATGAGATCGCACACCGCATCGCTGGAGAGCTTGAAAACTGTAATGGAAATACCATACCATGTTTATAATATTTGCTTATATCAACAAAGAGAGTAACTCACCTTGGGGTGTCGTGTGCCACAGCAGTGTCCGCAAAAGCTGCAAGCTGATCTCGTGGTTGTAAGCACCCAGTTTCAGCAGAATCGTCTCTAGGTGCTGCTGAGCCAGGCTTGGAATCATTGGCATGATGTTCAGCAGGGAGCAACAGGCCTCCAAAAAACCGGGGTAAGATGCTGGATAGGCGGCGATGAGATCCGCTAGCTTGCTGTCTGGCTGCAAGGCGGCCACGTGGAAGCAACGCGACAGGATGCGCACCCAACCAATGCTCGTCTTGGCAAAAGCATCGTCCTCAAGCATGGCATCCGCATCCATTGCGGCCAAAGCAGCCGTTTGCAGCGGCGAAGAGCAGGATGCCAGGGAGTCGATGAACGGACTCGGCGAGCGCAGTCCCTGCATGCGATTCCCGAAGATGGTCTGGCCAAGCACAGCAATCTGCACCAGACCAACATTGCCACAATCCTTGGGTCTGCAAGTTGATTAGGATTTAAATAAATTTGGAAGTTAATCATCATATTTGTCTTTTGTAACATACTTGTAAAGCCTCAGAACAATACTGGTGGCCACTTCCGCCTTGGCCAGCTTTAGCCTGATACATGTCAGCCCAGTGGTGGCCATGGGAGCACCCACTGGAATGGAGCCCAGGCCGTAATCTCTCGACAACTCCAGCGCAACCGCTGAGGGGCAGGAGGCTAGACTCGTTGTGTGCGGCACTAGCTGCACCTCCTTCAGCAGAATCGCTGTAGGCAGCGTGATGGTCAAATCCACGTGAGTCTCATTCGGATAGAACATATAACTCCATGCCGGAGAACGTGGTCTTCGGTGAGTAGCATTGGGATTTGAGATGAGCACCTCTGCACTTTGTGCCGCATCGTTTTCGGACACAATGTGCGAGAAGGGTGCAAAGTTTATCAAGCCGTCGTACTGAGCTCCACTTCTCGGCGGTTGCGACGACGTGGCGCCTGTTGTTCCTGTTCCAGTCGTTGTCTTTTTGCAAACACTGTTTGCTGCCACATGACTGTTCAGCTTAAAGCGAGTATTGCGCGTCAAGTGCTGCATTATCAACGAGATCTGTTGTAGTATAAATTTGAATAATTATTTGAGGTGGGTACAATATTTTGTAATTCCATTACCAATCCCGGCTGCATGTTGATAATCGTCTTGTTGAGTCGCACCAAGTTGTGACAGATAATCTGAATGCCACCCAGCTGGGTGAACGTTTGAACAGCGGCTGTGACCTCCAGGACCTTGGAGATGTACCAAAGGAAGGGCTCCGAGAGCGGGAGCCGCGGTAGAGTCGCGTTTCTTTGAATAGTGGCTATCAATGAAGGTTTTAGTTAGACTTCAGTCTGAAATATATGAGTTATAAAAGCAACTTACTTTCTTCAAGGTATTGGCAAATTGGTGCAACAACAAGTCGTGGATTGGAGGCCTTATCGCTGAGGGTGATCATCAAACTAAAGACAGCATCTGCGATGGTCTGCGGATCATCCAAAACCATATTGGACTTGAGTGAGAAAAAGCAGCCAGAGGACATCATAGTAAACGTGTTTGTCGAGCACTGAGAGAGCGTTCCAAAGAGTCGTTTCATCGTAGGGAAATGGCGCAGCACTAAAATTAAATTTATTTTAGTAAATTAATAATTCAAATATAATCAAATAATGATTGTAGTCTTACCCCAATCCGCTATGCAAGGTACTTTGCTGCGATGTCCTTCTGTATTCAACTGCTCTGCCTTGGTCTCATCCGTTTGGCTTTGATTCGACAGTTCCTCCTCCTCGGGAATGGTAACCTCCTACAATAGATATAATAATGAGATAGGATATATGAATTTCTCCAATATAACTTACACTTGGTTGCCTGGGCATCTCCGTCAGCACCATGTGTGAGGATAGTTTCAGCAGATTTATGATCAGCGAATTGTCACAGATTGTGGCATTCTGTTTGGTGGGGTTCTCCGATCCCAAAACGTTGGCAAACAGGTTGCTAAAGTTATTGCCAGCAGTGTTGTTCTCATTCCCGCGTTGACACTGCAGTTTCTCGCCATTGGAAATGTTGTTGTAAACCAGGAAAGCTAACAAAAAAAGATGTGTTAGATAAAATACATGCAAGAAAAGGAGTTTTGCATAACTTACAAACACTTTCGGTTATTTTGAGCGCTATGTTGAGATCTCCCTTGTCATTGGGCATCATTAGCAGATCACGAACCAATTGATTCTGAGCATCGATGGGCCCCTGCTGGTTGCTAATAGCGCCACCAGGTTGCACCAATTGTAGGACAACATGCAACAAAATGTCCTTCAGCCTGCGTTTGCAGGGAATACCACTCGTCTCACTTTTGCTGTGCAGCCACAACAGCAACTCATGCAGGTGTTTGCAAATGGTTGGTCCAGCCTGATCAAGAAATAATAAGATTTTAATTAATTTGAAGTCTCGAAAGAAAGCAAAGTTACGTACACATCGGTTGGTGATGATCGATGAACTCATGCCGTAGCCGGAGAAGAAGCGCAAGAGCATCTTCTCAAAGTTCTCATCGTTTACAATGACCTCGTTGATGCGCGTACAGTCTGCATCCTCACCAAGCGGCAGGGAGTTGCAGGCAAGGAACAAACACTGGAAGCCTAGACACCAGGTGCGCAATTTGATGTCATTGTGCCAAGCTAAGGCCAGAAGCAATCCCTGCACGGCATTCGCCCCAAAAGGAATCTTAGGCACATCCGTGTGGGTTATGCCACTGGTGTACGGCTTGTCCGCGAGCTCGCAGTTTAGAGTGAGCCACATTTGCAGCACCTGCTCCAGGTGCACCCAAGTGTCCTCATAGTGTAGGTCCGCCAGAATGGAGTCGAAGACCTTCTTGAACATCACGTAGGTGTTTCGGCCGTTGTACTCTGTACCTGACCAAAGTTGGGTCAAGTACTCTGGCCAAGGAGCCGCCTCCGGTGGCGGTGAGACAAACTCATTGGTCAGCACCTGGGGCAACGAGGAGTAGAGATCCAGAGATGTGCGATTTGTAAGTCTTCGCAGCTGCGTTTCCACATGCAGTTCCAAACCCACATCCAGTCGTGAATCCAAGGCAATGGAGATGGACTTGCAGAAGAAATTGAAGGTGTTCTTGCAGAGGGCGTTGCTCTCCTTTTTGGTTACTGGCTTTGTACGCTCGATCATGTCGATATCGTTGAGCATTTCGTCAAATTCCGTGTCATCGCATTCGATCAGTGATGGTAGGTAATTATATTTGACGGCTGCAAAGGCAAGTTTGAAAAGTGTTATAAATGGTATTTATGATAGTCATTTGTTTTGCTATAGCAGGATAGGTGTTACAAAGTTATATTTAATAGGAATCAAATTAAAGCTGAACTAAAAGGAAAGAAGTTTTACAACAAGAACCGTAAAAGAGTAGTTTACAATGTTGTTTTTGATTTTGAATTATCTTTTCCCGATCGGTTTTAATTTTTTTGGCCATTTACGGTTCCTGTAAACACAATATGCGTTCATTTGGACAGTTTTCAAACGAAATAGCATATATGCAACGCAATGTTTAACGGTTATGAAAAGTTCCATGTTTACCCTCTTGATAAAATTCTCTTGCTGTCGGCATCAGCATCTCAAATTGTGCCTCAGTGCACGAGGAAGCAGTTGCTAAAAGAATGGAAAATTCGTTGAATTTGTTTCACAATTTCTTTGGTACGGAACACAAGGCTCCGGCAAGAGAGTACAAAATCTATTAACTTATACTTGTGCAAATGGTTTTTACAAAATGTCGTTTATGTAAATTCGCACATACCATAGTTATAAAAATTTACAAAAAAACATCTATTGTAAGAAAGTACTTACAAGCATAGTCGCTGAATAGATCTCGTGTCTCCTGCACTGCGGCTTCCATGGTGCGTGGTGTATCATTGGTGGGTGTGACATCGCTGTCCCTAAACTGCTTGTCCGCATCCAAGAGATCCTGCATAAAAATTCCGTATATATTACTGGATTACAGACGCTGGGTTTTCACTCACCTGTAGTAAGCACGTAATGGCGTGGACAGCCCAGGGCTGCTGTTGATCATTCCACACGGACAGACGCACGAGCTGCTCCAGCTGTGCGGTGGTCACAATCTTGCACAGCTGCACAGACGGTCGGCACGCGGCCACAAGGCGCGCAATTACCTTGCATGTCAGCAGAAACTGATCCATATTGCAATCGAAGTCCATCTCCAACAACAGGGCAAAGAGGCCGCGGATTACCACTTTGATGTTGGCCATTCGCAGCGTCTTTAATCCCTTGTCGAAATTGCTGTCGCGTTCTCCATCGCCACCAGATATATCCTGATGCTTGGGCGACGATGTAGAGCCTGTTGCACTCTTAGATGCACTGCTAGTCGAACTGCCACCAGTTACGCAGAGGCCCGAGGATCCAATACTTATTTTGCCACCGGTGGAGGTCGACTTGGTGGGACCACTGCCCTTTGATTTGGTGGACAGCTCCATAAATATACCAGGATGCTACGGGAGAAATTTAAACTTATAAGATTGAGATCGGTTAGAAAATTAATTAATAAGCCCACCTCATTCTGGATCATGTAAATCTTCTTTCCCCAATCTGTGTAAGGCTGCACCGAGTACTTGTTTTGCTGGATAATGCGCTTCTTAAAGCAGCGCAGTTGTTTGCTGTTAGGAGTGTTGCTGGGTCTAGTCTTGGTGAAGTCGCTCTCGCAGCTCATAAAGTCCCAGCGAGCAGCTGCTGCAAATAGTATGGTTGTATTAGGTATAATATCTCAATGGAAAATACATGTTATTTTACTTACACTTATCCTTGCGTTCGTTATCATCCAGACACACTGAGAGAAACAGAAGTAGCCAGGTGATCAGTTGAAGATCGGATGTGGTGCCCATTGCTGCATTTCGATCGGCAGCATTCGCTGACGTGCTTGGCTGCTCCGACTGATATTTATAGTGCGGTGAGATAGGCGCCAGCAACTTAACGAGCGTCTTAAGCACGGCATCGATCACGATGGATCGGCAGGCACCCATCGCAATGCTGCGACGTCCCAGGTAGGTAAGCAGGAAAAATATGCTGAAAATAAAATTGCAAAAATTATTATAAATACGCATCTCGATTTAATTTAGCTATACTAACCGATCCTGGGGAAAAGCTTTGCAGTTCTGCGCTGAAAAGAGGCTGCAAAAGGTGTCAGCAAGGAAGTCTCCCCACCACGGCTGGAAGCAGCACATTCGCACCAGCAACGAACAGGTGGCCAACTGAAGTTGAGCGTCGCCGTAAACCACCAGCGAGTTGAAAAGCGCCTTCGCTGTGACCGCATTAAATTTCTGATGCACTGGCAGAATGTTCTTGATTCCATACTCGATGGAGAAGTGCAGAAGCACCTCCACCAAACTCAGACTAAGTACCCGCAACTTATCCCTCGAAGCCGCTCGAAGGATTTCCTCCGTTAGCGGAATCGGCTCTCCCGGATGTGGCGTGGTGGTACCCAGACCATTGGGGGAGAGAGCTCGCTCCAGACGGAGCACCACATTCCGGATCACATTGATCTGGTATTGCAGAAGCATGCACTCATCGTACAGGGACACAACCTTGTTGTTATTATCCAGGCCGCTCAGCTCCTCATCTCGCTGCTTGTTGATGAACGCCTGAAGATGGGCCACATTCGACAGCTCGCTGTTCCGCATGGGAGCCAGCAGGTCCATCAGTTTGCAACTGGCCAAGCTGTAACGGCAGTGTACATCCTCGTACAGAGCATTCAGCGACTTCAACTGCGATTGAAGGCTCTGTGTGGGATGCTTGATGAACCTCATTAGCTGATCGCCATAACCGTCGTGCTCCAACACTACGGGATGGCCATAGAACCGACCCAAGGGCACTTTGCACTTGGTGGTCGACATGCCGATGCGTCCAATGATGGTCAATTTTAAGTAGCGGCAAATTGGAGCCGGCTGAATGTCGCTCAGCACAAGCGTTTTGGTCTGGATGTCATTCACCTGGACCAGACGAGTGCAATCTGTCTCCTCATCAAAGCACCAGATGTCGATATTCAGGGAAGTCAACTCATCGCACGAGGGAACCACCAGATCCGTGAGCAGGATGTGTTGGCCAAAGTCGAGCACCACAAATCGCCTGGCACCCGAGTGCATCCTATCGATAACGATCATCTGTTTGGGCGGCGGAGTGATTAACTTGTGCCACGCAATCGGCTGGCAGGGATTGGCGTTCAAGTTCTCCATGATCTTCTCGGTCTCCGCGGCATCGTCCAGTACGCTATCATTCGATGCAGCTGCCTGATGCGACTGGTTCTGGTCTGGCGTACTTTCCAGACCCTCGATTGTGACCGCTGAATCCAAATGAAAGGGAGGCGTTGTGTCACCGTCCAAGTTGTCCAGTTTGCCCAAATCGTCGAAGGAGATGTGCTCGTTTATCTTCTTCTGCATGTAGCTTTCAAAAAGCGACAGGTTCGGCAGAAACTTGGACATTTTTAGTTTATCAATTATGGCCGCCTTCTCTATTTTAACCTCCTCCTTCAATGCGTGTTCCAGTGAGTCAGAGAGCGAGGACGCTGCTGAAAAGATAATATAATAATCCAATAAACAAACATTTAGATTTTGCTATAAAGCTGAACTTACATGTTTTATCCTTGAAGCCATTGACCAAGCCAAAGGCATCGTAGTCGACCTTGCCCTGTTTCTCCTTCATTTCCTCCACCACATCATTGACCAAATCGTTGAACATCTCCTCTCCTTTTTCCTTGGCAACCACTAGTTTCGGCATCATCATCACATCCTCGATTACCACACTTGCAGCGGAGTTTCCTCCAACACTGTCGATGTTGTCGATACGAGTCGCTTCAGAAGTTTGGACGCAGTTAAAGTGAAGCTGCACCACCTCCAACAATCCACGCAGCTGGTTACTGATGCTCTTTCCTCGAATCAGATATGGAAACGTTCGGAAGTCGACACCGTCTGTAAGGAAAGTAATTAGGATGTAAAATCGAATCAAATGAATAGTCACTTTAAATCGAACCTATGGAGCTCAAACGCTTGATGTCCAGTCCTGTCACCGGCAGAATTGTGGAATTGGTGCGTATCACATTGGTAAGGGCCACCGACGAGCCGTTTCCCTGTCGACTGACGTTGGGAAAGTCAAAATCAAAGATCTCGGGCTCAAAGGGATAGCCGTATAGACCGAATCGAGTGCTTAGCAGAGCACAGTGCGGATCCCAGCGCTTGTCGATCTCGCCCGCAATCTCCTTAAGCAAATTGATTGCCTGCTCAGAAATGCTGTTGTGCGACTCCGCCGTGGATGTGGCACAGGTGAGCATCATGTACCAGCGTACAACGCTACCACATTGTGCCCGGGGTAGCTCGGGAAAAGTGTTGGCGATGGCCGATTTGAAGCTATAGTCCAGCGTTGTGTGATCCTGCACCTCCGCTGGCAAATTGGTGGCACCCCTGAAAGTTAATACGGTGAGTTGTGGTTGCACTGCCTAAAGAATATTCCAAACTTACTCAGTGAGCATAATCAGTAGCTTGACACATTTGTGGGCCGTACTCCGCTCGCTGTAGATGACACAGTTGCGCAGTAGCTGTTCGATGCTCTTTTCGGCCAGGGAAATGCACTCAAACTGCTGGGCCAGCAAATCCTGCATGTTTGCCGCTGTCTGCTTGTTAATCTGATCCTTGAGCCGTTCAGATTTTGGCGACCGAAAGCGGTTCAGCCTGATAAAGCAAATCCAGTTGAGCACGTCGAGCGATAAGTTCTTGGCCAATGGGCTCGATGTCGAGTCACTGGCGATCCGCAGCAACTGCACCAACAGCACGTTGCTCTCCAGCATGGCGATCCGCTGCATCCGACCATTACTGATCCGACTGTGCGACTTCACAGCACGCACGCTGATGGAGATCTCGTGCAACCAGTCGCAGCCTGCGAAGAGAAAAAAACAAGGAAAAGCACTTACAATATTGGGATTCTCGAACATCAGAGCAAGTTGCAGCACCAGGAAGTACCTTCCCTACTGGGCAGTTCCCCGTACCCGCCATGCACATATGAAGCAACGCCAGGGGCCAGACTTGGGAGCTTGTTTTTTGAGAGCTTGGTTTTGACCACTGGTTCGTTGCCTTTTGACTTTGGCTTGTTCACATGAATTATATTAATGTAGGCGGTTTTCGCCGTGGGATACACTTTCAGAACCGCTGTCTTCACCGCCCGGAGTATATTGGCAACACTAAAGGGATTCCTAGAGATCTTGTTTCGATCCACTAGTTCCTCAACTTCATGCGAGCGCTTGTGCCGCGTTGGGGAAGCTGTAAATTGCAGCGATATGGGCGGTAAACAACTTCATGACAACTTAAATGCCTACAATTGCCACTAGTAACAAACTCAAACTTTTAGAACTTTAACTTTTAACTCTATTTGGTTGTTATTAAAAATGGCCCTGTCGCTCGCTTAACCGTTTAATTTTATTTACTGGCTTACATACCTCTCGTCTTGTTCTGGCCTTCTTTCGAGGGATCCGACACTGTTTTGATGTGCAGCAGAAAGTTTCTAGTGCGAGTCTTGAACAGCTTTGGCGAGGTGAGCGTGGCAGTGCCTCCCTGATCACACAGATCTATGCATGAGGAAAGTTCGATGGGACCGGCCAAAACCTCCGCATTGTGTGCCAGTAGGTACTCCTCACTTAACACAGGATTTTCATTGGCAACTGGAAAGCAGATTGAAATATAATTTTAATTAAAAGTTTATTTTAATTTCATAAAAACTTACTATATGAGAGATCAATGTTGTCGTCAATGACATTCGGCTTGTAACTGGAATGGGGTCCCTTCATTCGGTAGCCAAATCCGTTGGTGTTCTGTTTCAGTAGTGTGACCTGTATTGCTGCGGGATTTGAGCACTGCTGATAGACCGTGAATTTAAGGTCGATGTGCCCCAGTGACACGGGCTGGGCCAAGTTGAGCTCGATAATATGTTCGTCCCATGTTGTTCTAAAATGGATTTATGGAAACAAAATAAGAAACTATATATTAGAAAGACTATTAAATACTCACGCATCGTTGTGCAGTCGCCAAGTGCGGGTGAAGTCCCTTTCGTCGCCGCCGTGCCGCATGTTTTGCGACTGCTTACGTTGCTTTTGCACCTGGCCGAGATCATTCCAACAGCTGGGAACCTCAGCAGAATATACCGTGAGCTTGTCGTCAAATTGGGTGAGTGCGTAAAAGACCTTTAGGTCCTCGAGGGTCAGGTCCGCCGTTTTGTAGGCAAGCAGGTTGGCATTGATGGCAGCCGTGGAAGCCGCCGATGGCGAAGTTTGGACGTGGGCACCCTGCCCAACGGTGGAGGAGCTCGAGGGTGTAGCGGTCTCGTTGCCAACATCTACACTGATGGAATCGCTAGCAAGCAGGGTCTTTCCCAGCAGGTCAGTCCCAGCCACTTGGCGCGCGCCATCCGTCACACTGACATCAACTGCCTGTGTTAACGTGGTATTGCAGTCGTCCTCCATCTCGAGCAGTTCGTCCCCGGAATCGTTTTCACCCTCGCTGAGCGAGTAGAAAAGCAGACCGCCCTGCCGTGAGCAACAGCACAGCCTGTCCAGATTCCGACAGTAAACCACAGACTCAAAGTGCTCGCCCTCCTCCTCGATCACCATGGTGCCTTGGAAATCGGCGAGGGAGTAAATTTCCACGCTGCCATCTGCACACACCACGCAAATGGAGCCGGCGTCCTTGTGCTCCGGAGAAGAGTTGAAGTGCGGCAGGATGCACAGTTGCTTGGGGCACTTGGCCCTACTGAAGGTCATGGCCAGGGTGTAATCGTTGGATATCTGGGTGTCATCGTAGTCGAACACCAAGAGCTGTGCTGCCACATTCCCCTCCGCGTTGTTATCTAAATAGATTACAATAAAACATCTTAGTAAGCAAAAGTAAAGTGGGAATGTAAGTTTCCTCATACCTGTGTCCATTGCCTCGTGGGCCCGCTGCTCCTCGTCCTCTTCCTCCTCCTCCTTGGCCACGGTGGCCATTATGATCTTACTTCCCTCTGCCTCCGGCGCCTTGGTACGCAACAACTTGACCAGCAGCTGATTGCACTTGGGTGTGGTGGGCAGGATCTCGGCAATTTCAATGATCTCTTGAACCGAATGGGTCACGCCATTTGCCCCACTGCTGGCACCATCCAAGGCGTTCATGCGCTTCACACTGGTCCAGCTCTCCACCACGCAATCGATCTCCTCGGTGGCCGTCATCTTGTCGCTGCTGCTGTTCGTGCTTCCGTTGATCATGACGTTATTGTTGTTAGTCGAGGAATTTCCGCCAAGGGAATTGGACTCGTTGTTGTTGTTATTATTGTTGTTGTTCTGGTGTGTCATTTCCATGTCTTCAACTAGCTTATCAACCTCGTTGCCCATGCCAAGATTACTAACATTCACCGTTTTCGATCCGACCATCAGACTTAGCGGTTCCTCCAGATTGTGATCCATTATCTGGGACAAGGTGCACAAATCGAAATCATACAAAACGGATGCATCGTCAGTATTTTGGCTAACACCATTGTTCTTGTTGTAGGTCATTAGAGCAGACACAAATCCATTGCTATCGAAGCCATCGGCGAACTTCTCGTATGGTGTCATGGCCTTGTTATCATCATCTTTTGACTCGAGATTCACTTGGGTCACGGCCGCACTTGTTTCGCCGGAGACTGTCGAGATGAATAATATATTAGTCATTGATTTTAAAGGTAATTTAGGGTTATCAAGCAAACTATAATCTATTTTAGTTTATTATTCTTACAGGACAATCTTGATTTTTGAAAAAGTAAGTTAAGCTGCTTTTACTCACCGTTAACCATTGGGGACGAGGACTTCATCAGTTGACCGCCGACGCTGGAAACGCTACCGCTGTCGTTGCTGACGCTCGCTGAGGTCTCACTGTTCCTATCCACCTCCACGATGTTGAGAACTACCATGCGTAGGGCTAATTCTCCGCTGCTCTGGCGCACGCTAACGCCCAAAACAATCTTCGATCCGACAACGCCTGCCCGGAGTGTTGATGTGGAGGTGATATGCTGGGCATTCACGCTGCCAAACTTTCCACTCGATGCGGCATTCGATCCCGAATGGGAACCCGCTCCGCTGCTTCCGCCTGCTCCGCCATAATTCGCTGCCGAGTATACGTAGTTCACCTTAGTACGGGCTCTTGCATTCGGAAGAACACATATGGCAGTAACCCGCGCCCATTCAAAGCTTTCCTCGAAGGCGTCCTTGAGCAATGTAGGCACATGGAGGCTGTGCATCAGCTTCAGATGCCGTTCAATACTCCAGACACTTAGCTCCCCCGTTTGCGAGCAACTGGTGCAGAGCACATTCGCGTAATCACTATTGGAGATGATATCGAATCCGAGTCCGGGTGCTTGCAATGCGGGATTGGTGGCGTAGGTTATGGACAGTGGAACATTCTGCGTGTACTCGCCCTTGACAAAGGGACACAGCGGCGAGTGCCTCTCGTGCTCGCTCCACGGCTCGTCGGTCCTCTCCCAGCAGACCAGACACACATTACAGGTGAAGCACATGGCACGATCTTCGCCGGAGGATGATGGCTGATGGTAGAACCCGGCCTGGGCCATCTGATCGGGCAGCGCCCACTTATAGTCCATGTGAGGCCACTTCTCAAACGTCTGGCGACGCACTGCCTCCGAGTGCATGAGTACACGCTGGAAGTTGCTGAAGTTCCACCCAAAGTCAGGCACCCGGGAGCCCATCAGCATGTCAGTGAGGCGTTCATTGATGGCGGAGGCAATGGCCAGAACGGGAATGTGGCGCTCCAGGCGCTTCAGCAGGATAACCACATTGTTGGACACCAGCTTAAGACTGGAATAGGGCACTTCCAGGCAAATGGTATTCCACTGAAACCGAAGATTTGAAAGGTTATAAAAAAAATTGTATATGTAAGTCCTAAGTAAATCCCCACCCTTTGGGCCTTGATGCCTTTCTTGACATTCAGCTGCGCCTGGTTGATCTTCTGCGTCAGCTCGTTGCTAATGTCACAGGGACACTCCAGACCCTCGCTCTCCAGTTCGGTGATGCAGTTCTGGAATATGATAGCCTCAGACAAGATAATCTCCAGCTTGATGTAGTCGTCGTTTTGGCCAATGGGCGCCTGAAGAATTGTATCCAAGAGCAGGACTCCATTGTAATCTCCTCGCAATCCAAGATTATGGCCATCCCAAAACAAAATCTTGTCTTGCAGTGGCATATAACGTCCATGAACGATGCTGTCACCTGAGGGGGAAAAACCAAATCAAAATAAAGATTACAAATGTGACTCATCGCTGTTGATTTCATCAGAGAAAATGCATACCGTTTCCTGTTCATCGCTAATCACAAAATACTAATCCTTGATTTGATTTTTATAAATTTGCATAACACTTACTACAATTATAGTCGGAATGGTAAGTTAATGGCAAAACAATGAATCATATATAATCGATAACAAGAGTACATCCGTGAATTTAAAAACCGAAACGTTTCCGAAAACAGTTTCCGTAGAACAAAATTTAAGGGCATTGGGGCCAATGGTGGTGGTCATAAAACAGAGAAACTGCGTAATAGAAGCAAAACAACAACAAAATGTGTGCGGCGGCTAATCAGAAACAATAACAATCGCGTTGCGATAGGACGGTCTATAAGATGTCAATTCCCGGGGGGAATCACTGAGTTTTGATTGGATAGGATTATCACTCTGTGTTTAAGGATTTCCCAGAGCTTTGTTAAAAATTGATGCCAAACGCATACACAAAAACTGCAAGCACACACAACCACACTTACAAACGATTGGACAAGTGCAAGGCAATTACATACAAAATGCAACACAGTGAGGATTGGATACGATGAACTTAAATGTTCTGCAAGCTTGAAGTAATAAGCTCACACTGAAAACTGTATTTCGAAGTGTTACCGATGCACAGAATATGTGCGCTAAAATACGTAAAAATTAAAAAAAAAAAAAAGAAATATACATTTTTTTGAACTTTTTATACCTAAAAAATTTAATATAATAAGTGGGCGTTGTAATATTTATTATGTTCTAAAAATGAATAAAAATGTTTTTTTTTTTAATATTAATATTCCTTGATTGTAATACAAATTCCTCTGTTTATGATTCAGTATATTGTTATCAATAATTTAGGCAAAGAAGCATGTGTACACCTCTTCTGATATTTTTAATTGCAATTCTTACTAAACATTTTTGATCTTTTATAAACATGAACAAAATATTGATATAATGATGCTTTTCTCTGTATGGGTTCTAATTCGCAGTTCGCCACTGTATTGACATTTGAGTGCGTCGGTGTGTGTAAGTTACCTCGACCGTGTGAGCTGTTAAATGTATGTGTGTTACTATTTTTTCCCCAGAAGTCTCACCATTTGAGCTGAGTTGATAGGTCTGGAGAATAACTCCTGAATTGGCGTCCAGGACTTTTACGGTGCTCCCGCTGTCGAATAGCAGAAGGACATTTAATTGCGGATGATAGACAACGTTGCGCATCTCAAAGGGTCGAGCTGGAGCGCTATTGCAATCGCCCAAATCCAAGTAGCCATCTTGCTTAAGGACCCGCTGCTGGTGATGTTGCTCCGTGGCCATTCCGGAGATTGGTGGCATGCACGCCACTGCGATTGTTTCGTCCTGGTTCCGGATTTTCGGGTTTTTTCGCAATTCACAAAATGATTTGCTGTGGAACAGAGCGCTCTGCTTCTTCTTTTTGCCCCTTCTTCTTCTGCTTTCTGACAGATGTGTTTTCCATTCGATTGACACCGGTGCGGTGTGAGTGTCAAACCAATCGATTGTCCTGTGAAGGCGCTCGATTAAAGAGTGTGGTGTGGCGGGGAGTGCGGCCACGTCAAATCAGCAAAATAAATACATTTTACAAATACAAAATAGTTCAGAAACGTTGAAGTGAGTTTTTTTTTGAATATGTAGTTTGGCCTGCTGGTTGGCAGCACTTATTTCAATCGATATTTTAATTGATTATCGGTTGAACTTTTCCATCTCTAGAATCAAAATGAATATTTTGCCAAAGAAACGGTAAGTTTTAATATTTTTCCGTAAATCGTTTATTTAAAGTCTGTGAATTTTTTAGCTGGCATGTGCGCACCAAGGAAAACATTGCCCGCGTGCGCCGGGATCAAGCGGCTGCCGCAGCGGAAGAGAAAATCCGCCAGGACAAATTGGAATTTGCAGTGGGTATTGCTAACAAACGCAGAAAATCTCCCTTTTAATGGCTTTTTATTTCGTGTAGGAGAGCGAGGCACGTATAAACTTTTTGCGTCGACAGTCAGGTCTGCCGGAAAAGGTATCCTGTCCCAAGGAAACCCCAAAGACTCCGGAATCCAGCACTGAACCAACGCAAGGAGTAGATCTCTTTGCAGATTATAGAAGCCACGTGAAAACAACCAACAAGGACCTAGAAAAGGAACAAAAGGAGGAGCAGGAGAAGTACGAGAAGCAGATTGGCTACCTCACCTACTTGGGCCAAGATACCAACGAAGCGCTTAAAGTGCGTAGTTGGTACGAAGTGGCCCCCAAAAGGCAAGAAGTTGGAGATCCCAATACTACAGAAGCCCATCTCAAGCAAAAGCTACCCCACGATCCTCTGACGCTTATCAATGCCCTGCTTCCGCCTGAAAAGAAGGACCAAAAAAAGGTAATCAAGAGAAAACGAGAAAGGACACCTACTCCTCCGCGGGATCCCCCACCTTCCCATAAAAAGTCTAAAAAACACAAGAAGGAGAAGAAGCATAAAAAACACAAAAGCAAAAAAGAATCTAAGGAAAGTCTTTTGACCGCCGAACGACAAAAACGCGAGAAGCTGGAGAGACTGAGAAAGGAACGCCTGCGCCGGGAAACAGCGGAGCGCCAGCGTTCAGAGGCACTTTTTGCGCCAAAGGACTCGGCAGTGCCCGCCAGTGCAGCATCCACTCCAGCTCCCACGCCCAGAATCGTACAAAAGTACAATAGCCAGTTCAATCCAGAATTCGCCAAGCAAAATATGGTTTAGGACAGGCATAAAAGTTCATCGAGTAGAATCAACAACATATACATATGTAATAATTTAAATAATTATTTTACATAAGATTGTTTTTTAAAGATAATTTATTATTTAAAATTAAAATGTATTTAATAGATAAAATCAACCGCTGATTTTCCGAGGAAATTTCCATTTTCCAAGGTAAAAAACCTTCTGCCCCTCCTAAGGGGGTTATTATCTTACGAAAAAACCCTTGATTTGGTTCCCAAGTTTTTTTGGGGCTGAGATAAAGCTGGAGTCAAAATTCCGAAGTATTACCAAAATCTTAAATAGAAAAAATTTTTGAATTCAAAGATTTCGGGGGGGGGCTCGGGCCCCTGGATACGTGCCTGACTTGGACATTATTTATTGTCAATTAATCACTCTATTACATTGCCTTAGGCGCGAATTGTTCATCGGTTGCCGTCATCGTTTAAGTATAGATAAAACGATAAATCCGGTTTAAAGATAACGGCCTGTTGATCGGAGCCGAAAAACAACAGTGCTGCATAGCGTCTAATAGACCCTAAACAGTCCCAATTTTCACCTTGAATATTACTAGATAAAAACAAACCATAATTTGAAATGGGGTGCTCAACAATAATAGTCCTGAGTATAGCATTCAACGAACAAATTCAGCACTAAAGCTACACAAGTTTGAATCTTAACAGCCGTCGCACGGCAGCACAACAGCCGGCTGTAGTGTTGCGTAACGTCGCAGTTTCCGGCACATGTGAATTGGTTTTACTTCACTTTTTGGCTCGGCGTCTTTACGTCTTCGTTCTTTTTCTTTGTTATAATTTGCCTGCGGGTTCCAAACTCTCTTGATTTAAATTAATTGTTGTGTACGGAAAACAATACAGCCGAGCCAAATGGAAGATACTACCGATAATGGCGATGGCAAGCGCGGTAAGTTGGTTTATAAAGTAGGCCTTTCGAGAAAGCAAAAGCAACGGGATACTAGGCTAGGGCTCCAAAGTCAGCCATTTTTCAGAGCTCCCTTATCCTCAAAAGACGAAGGCTTAAATACTTCAACCTTATGTAGTAAGCAAATTGTCTTGTTCATTTTAATTATTCAACTTTATTACAACATGCCAGTTACTCGAGCACGCACTCGCCGTTTGTCCGTTCTGGAATCGGACAGTCGACCGAGTACTCCTCAATTGTTGGAGACTGCGGCAGAAAAAAGTAAGTACTTGGTACATTTATAACCCGATCTTCCCTTTTACAAGACTTTCTTTTCCTTACCTCAATAGGTACTGCCTCCCCACGTGCAACGCGCCGCACTCGCCTAAACTCGGCCACTCTAGATGTAAGGACTCCGACGAGGACAAGACGAGCCTCGTTGGCACGCGGCGAAACTCCCGAACCGAGCACGCCCTCCTCTGTAAAGAGGACAGCACGCACGCCGGCGAAGAACACGAGATCCGTGCGACAACAGCTCACACTCACCGAGGAGGCGGAGGAAGTCGAGATAAGGCAGGAGATGCCCAGTCCCGCACAAAGTCCCGTGCAAAAGGAGACCAAGGCCAAGTTGGAGCGAAAAGCAAGTGCTAGTCCAAGTCCCAGGCGCAAAGTCACGCCCTCACCGAGTGATGAAAAACGAGTCACACGTTCCATGTCACAAACACCTCCGATTGCCACTCGTTCGTCCGGTAACACATCGCGCGAAATCCACTCTTCGGTTGAAGACGAGACGGATGCCCAAAATGTGGAAGCCGAGATAACCAAGATCACAACTAGAAACACACCCAAGGTGACGGTCAGACTGGAGAAATTATCGGTGGTCAAAGCCGCTGGTAAAAAAGTAGAGGCAGCCAAGCCGTTGATTCTGCCAGAGGAAAACAAAGATGAAATACCTTTACAGGAAGCTGAAGCGAAGCCCTCTCCTAAAGTTACTAAAAAGCAAGAAAATGGACAGGAATCTTCCGAACCTGCAAGTGATACTAAGAAACTTCCATTCTTAAAGACATTTAACGCACTTGCACAAATCCAGGCCTCAAGCAAATCTCTTAGGACTGAAAAGGATCAAGAATCCTCAGCAGCCGAAAAGCCAGAGTCCCCTAAAGTTGCAAAGAAACTCGAGACTCCACAGAAGGTCACCCCTGTCGAGGATTCAAAAATTATAAAGAAAATCGAAACTCCGCAGAAGATTGCCCCAGTTGAAGAGCGCCAAGAAGAAAAGATTCCACCTGCTGAAACGGCTCCTATAATTGTACAGAAAATTGAATCACCGCAAAAGATTTCTGCTGTTGAAACGGCTCCGGTGAATACACAGGAAATAGAAACTCCACAAAAGGCTCTTGAAGAGGAAAAGAATGTACAAACTCCGCAAAAGATACCTATTGTTGAACCAAAGCCAAAAACCAACACTCCAGTAAAAGATGAATCCATGGAGGACCAAGAATTTTTGGATGCAGAAGAATCGCACGTGGAGGACGAATTTCAGGAAAATGAACCAATGCTGGAAAAATTACTGGATGAGTTAATAGAATTTAACACCGATGAGCCAGCAGATCCTAACACCAAGGAGGCAACAGCTCCTGAAGACGCTTCAAAAACCGCAGATAAGTCAGTATCCAGTGAAGAAACTCCTCAAGATGATGCCATGGACGTAGACGAGGAAAGCCCAGTGCTTGTGACCGAGGTTGTTAAGCTCCCGGACCTTACACCCGGCATTATATCTCGTGTTATGGGCTCCCCTGCGGTTGAGCAAAAGAAATCGGTGGGCTTCAACAGCGGCACTGAGGATTCAGAAGTAGAAAAAATTCGCTTCCCAAAAACTCCTGGTCGTGAAAAGGTTCCTGTGGTCCGCACATTTACCCCGAAGCAAGACACTCCACTAAAACTAGCTCTGCAAAAGGGCCGAAATAGTTCCACGCCTATTTTGAAGGATCAAGAGCTCGAACTGTCCATCAGCAAGTCGGAACTAAAGCCAGCTCCACCCAAAATCGATGCCATCAAGCCTTTCGATGAGCTGGATTCAAAGAATGCTAAAGATGAGGAGGTGGAGCTGGTCAATACGTCAACCAAAAAGACAGAGAAGAAAATACTGACACGCCTCGATAGCTTCGAAGAAGTGGAGGACTCAGAAGAAGACGAGGAGCATGAACAAGATGAATCAAAATGCGAATTCGTTAACTTAGAAGCGGAAGAGGCCGAGGAGGATTACCAGTCTGGTGACTCAATGGACAGTTCGATGCGTCGCGAGATGGAAGAGAATGAAATTCCGGTCGATGGCGAGTCCGTTGGAAGTAAGGACACGGAGGAGTCCACCGCAGAGGAATCTGAAGGCGATGATTCCTTTATTGTTTCGGACAACGACGACGAAGAGGAGGAAGTTGGGCCACTTTGCTACTCCGAAGACGAGGAGGAAGAGGAAGAGTTTATTTCTGAAAAAACCAAGGAAACGTCCAGCAGCAAGCGTCGCCGCATTATGGTTGCGAGCTCAAGCGACGAAGAGGAGGAGACCGAAGATCGGGAAAAGGACATGAACAAGAGCACATCGGTTAAGCCCAAGAACCAGAGCAACTGCTCCTCCAATGCCAGCAAACTAAGCGAGGCAGCTCAAATGATGAACGGCAGCGAGGAGCACTCGCCGACTTCTGAAACCGAACTGGAGAGGTCCCGCCAAGTTGCCCTAACTGAACTGAACAAGTCGGAGAGATTCAACAAGACGGAGACCCGCCTGGATGTCAGTGTCATGGAGGTTGATTCCTCGGATCAGGAAGTACAGGTCGAGCAGAACGCCTTGGGTAACGCTAAGGCCAACAGAAGTGTATACGAAATCATGGATTCAGATGAAGCGGAGGAGCTCGAAGAGGAAAAAGAGATTGAGGTTCCCGTAGCAAACGAGGAAGTTGAGCAGAAAGGCTCTCCTGCTGCAAGAAAATCCATATCTTCCCAGGCTCAAAAAACCCTAAAAACTGCAGATGAAGAAGCTCTGCTCGCCGAGTTGGCCTCTAGTGATCTGCGTCACCTGGAAACAATGTTCAATCCGCTACAGAAATCGCGCCGTCAGTCGTTGTATGTACAGAGTCCTGAGTTGGCGGCCAAGGAACCGAAACTGAGACGCCGTAGTGATCGCGCCAATCTTGCCGGTGACTTCTGCCCTTCGCAGTCCTTTGTTGAGATGGTGGCCGAAAGAAAGAAGCAGAACAAGAAGCGAAAGCGTATGTCCAAGAGCTTCTCGGGAACACCCGAAGATTTCGATGACATGGGAACCCATCAAGAGCACAAGCGTTTAAAGAGTACGCATGAAGATTCTTCCGCATCTTCAGAGGAGGATCTTGGGGTGGAGGTTGGCGCCGAGGAAGTTGAGAGCGAAAAGGAAATTTCGGAGGAAGTCATTACTAAAGAAGCTCCTGTACCTTCACCCCAAGAAACTGCTGTGCAGGATTCTCCCAAAAGAGAGGAAGCGGTTGAGGAATTGCCTTTGGAAGAGCCCAAGGTTTTCCAAGAGCCGCAACCACCGAAGAAAAATCCCAAAATACTTGAAACTACTAAAACTGCAGAGAATCCGGTGCCAAAACAGGAGAAGACTGCAGAGTATTACTTGGCATACTGTCACAACCTTCTCGAGGCAGCCAATGAGGCGAAGTTGAAAGAGAAGAAAGCAGTAAGATCCTTAAGTATATAATACATATTCTCTTCTGATGCTAATAAGTGTATTATTTCTTTAGCAACTTGCCACGGGAACAAAGCAAAAAAAACCAAAGCGTCAGGCTCAGCAAGCGGCTACCAAACCCTTGGCGGCCACTGTCTCCGAAATAGCATTGCCATTACCAAATGCCAAACCGGCTAAGCAGGCACCTCCAATCAAGAAGGATGTGAAGCGCTTGCAGGCAGCACGGCAGGCTGTAAGTCATGCTGTCAACCTACTTGCGCCAACGAAATCTGGCGACGGAGAGGTTTGTTTTATCAATTAATCAAATTAATTAATCAAATCTAAAATTATATATATGTAATCCTTCTCATTCTACAGCCTCGCACGCTGGCACGTAAACTGTCGCCACAGCCTCCAATGGAGGACAAGAAGGCGGCCAAGAAAAATAAGCAGGTCAAGAAGCAAAAGCAACAGGAAACATCACCGCTCAAGAGCTCCGATGAGGAGAACCATGGTCAACCAGGGAACCGCATTCGAACGAACGCTGGCTACGTGACAGTGGTCGATGAGCCGCCCCAGAAGATACCACAAATCGAGCTGATCAAAACCAGTTCGGGCATGGTGCGCGTCGAGCCGCGCACTCCCAAACAGAAGTACTTCCGCGAGATGCCAGCCACACCGAAAATGCATGGGTTCCGCGAGGAACCAGGACCCTCGGGTGTTTCCAAGAAGCGGGGCAAACGTCTGGCAGCGAAGACCGAAGAAGCTGGACATCACAATCCAGCCAAACAGGCGGCACTGCTCTTCAAGCAGCGGGTCTTCGCCCGCAAGTCGTAGGATTATTCAGAGATATATATATATATAATGGATACTAGTATTAATGGATGGAAATGTCAAGTGTACACAATGCTTACTTCAATTTTTGTTTATTTTCTTTACCTTTTTTGCCGAATGGAATTTGATTTTTTGAATTATTTGTTTACATATTTTTGTTATGACATTTTTCTACACCTTGCCATCTGTGAGATTTAAATTCCACTGTACTTCACTCATTCACATGAACGCATTACCACAGAAATAAATTTATGTTTGTTAAAAATTAAAGAAAACTTCAAGCTGTATATAAATATTATACGGTGGTTGATCCCAAAAAATTAAAAAATTCGCTGATAACACTTTTTTTTTAATAGTTTTAAACTAGGTGTAGATTGGTGTTGTTCATTTATATTCTGGTTTGCTTGGTTTTACAAAAATAAAAACTAGGCATCACAATATATCTTCTTGAACATGTACAAGAAAGGCAAATCAAAGCATTCAAAAACAAATAATGTAGTTAAAAAAATGAATAAACTTTAGTTTTTTAGGCATTTTTTGTTGGTTCTTTGGGGGAGAAGACCGTGGTCATTTGTTCAAAAAAATTATTTGGAATCGGTTTTTAGTTTTCTGAAGTAGTAGGCTAGCGCTTTAGTTCAGCTTATTTTTTGGTCTTGAACTTCACAGATCCTCACTTTTCAAAAGCATTTCATTCGAACTGATTGTCCGTTCCGATTACTCTGTGTGTTTCACCAAACTTTGCCCTTTTTAAAAAATATTATGTCAGTTACTCGGTCTAGATCTCGCCGTATGTCCATGATGGAAACGTCCAGTACCTCGTCTACGCCCCTGAAAAGTACTACCTCCACAGAACGTGGTAAGCTAATTTATCATTATCATTATCGCGATGAGTACAACTTTAGTATTCAAATCGGTTATAACATTTCATACCTTTAGCCTTATTAACTGGTGTTTGTCACTAGGTCTCGGCAATAATTCCCTGGTGACCCCGAATCGCGAAAACACGCCGCGTCCCAAGTTGAGCGCTCTCACCAAAAAAATACTTAATCAATTCGAAGTTGAGGAAGAAAACGAGACACAGGGAGAGCAGAAGCCTCTTTGCAATCCCAGATCCCTTGAACAGGATATATTCGATAAATCGCTTGATTCTACGGAAATGCTGACTAAGTCATCGCAACGTAACCAAAATGTTACGAAGAAAGCGGTGGTAAAGATCCAAAGAACAAATGCTGATGCCGGCAAGGTTTTATCAGTAGCTACATTGAAGGCCGAGAAACTTGGAGCTACAAAAATGGCCGATGATTTTTGTGAAGTCCAAACTACAACTAACAAAATTGAAGACATTGCAGTAAAACAGCCAAATGGGGCCTCCTCTAAAACAAAGAACGAGATGCCCTCGAACCCATCGGACAAAAAAGTGATCGATCAGAAACAGACCTATGAAGCAATAGAGAACGAACAATCTTTGAAATCTATAAGCAAAATTTCACACTTTAAAAAAGTTGAGCAAAATGAGACTGTATCAAAAGTCGAGAATAACAACGAATGCATTACTCCTCTTGATCAAAAGCAAATTTTTGTCCCGAAGGAGTCAATGAGATCTGGTATCGAGAATCCGCCGATTGCCAAGACTATAGTAAAGTCCGCTACTCTTGCTAATTTTGATAACTTAAATCCTTCAACGGACTTTGCTGTCCCAAAATCCAATATGCGAAAGCCCAAGAAAATTGTGGATGCTCCTGGTGGCGTCCCAAAAAGTAACAAATTTGAAGCCATTACAGTAAAACATCAAAATGGGGCCTCTTCTAAAACAAAGAGTACGCCGCGCTCGAAGACAACGGACGACATTTTAACCATCGTCGAGCAGGAAGAGACCTTTGAAGCCGAGAAGAACCAACCATCCCCAAAATCTATTAACGAAGTTTTACCCATCAAAGAGGTCCTGTCAAAAGTCGAGATGAACAACGAATGCTTCAAAAATCTTGATCCAAAGGACACTCCCATTGGTATCCCGAAGGAATCAATGGGATCTGCTAACGAAAATCCGTCGATCGCAATGACTGTAGTAAAATCACCTCATCGTGCTAATGTTGATAACTTAAATCCTTCAACATCCTTCGATGCCCCAAAATCCAACATGCGAAAGCGCAAACTTGAGTTGGAAATGGGCGATAGGGCAAAGCGCTTTAAGGCTTCACTTGATGACTCCAAAAATAAGATAGAGGATTATCTCGACAAGATCATTTCCTGCTTGGAGGACGATTCTAAACAGGCTTCTAAGACATCTAGTAAGCCGAAGAGGAAAAGGATCAAGAAGCAAAGGCCTCGTGGGGAATATGTGCTAAAGAGATTGGATGGGGCGAACAACGATTCACTGAATCCCATTTGCACAAGCGCCAACTGCAAAAAGGCGATTCCATCGCTTAAGAGAAAACCCAAAGTTAAGATGATTAAGACCAGCTCGGGTTTAGTATGTGAGGAGGCAATGAGCAACGACGAGGGTTCGGTTTGTTTTTCTGTCGTTACCACTGTTAAAGTCTTAAAGAACGCTACTGTTGTTTAATTTGTTTATTGTTTTTCGTTAAATTATAAAGCCCCTTACACAAACCGTTAAAAATATATACACATACATACAAACAAAAGAAATTTTTTGCGAGTCGATCGTCTCCCTAGCTTTTTAGAATAATGAAAACAAATTTTGTAAGCTTGAATAAGCGTTACCACCTGAAATTCAAATAAATCACGTATTTTGGTTTTTGGATGGGGCAACGCTATTTGGGGTTAGTGAACTGGCTAAAGTTAGAATGCCTTCGTTAGGCTAGGAGGGTGCATCAGATAGGTTAAAAAATGTTAAGAATATCTGCAAACGAAAGGGCAAAATCGCTTCTCGCGGACGAAACCCAATTTCGTGTATTCAATCGAAATCTACAAAGAAAATTAAAATGCTTGGAGCTCTCGGACTCGGCGATTGCGAAAACGTTACCATGTTAAGTTTCTGTAGAAGTTTGAAGAAGCGCCTCTAGCGGACGGAAGAAACTGGCAAATCGTTCGGGGTATGTTTGAAGACAAACGGATCTCATTAGATGTTATTCCGTTTTGTTCTCGTTCTTATTTTTTTTTTTCGAATTTTGGCTCTTCAATAAAAAAAAACGTTTTTCGTGTTAATCATTTCTGCAATGAATCTGTTAGCAACTTGGACCAAGCGCCTCCAACGGATAAAAACCGAGTTCGTTTATTCTATCGAAAAAACCGATAAGAAGCAATCGAACAAAAATAAGCAAAAATGGCCACACTACCTCGTCCAACGTTCTCTCCTGCCGTCTCTTGTGCTCTCATTTTTCTTTCGAATTTTGGCCTCGCGGGTTGGTTTTTGTCGGTGCTCCGCGTATTTGAGACCGGTGTTGTTTAATTGTGCGCGCCTGATAACTGCGATAATTCGAGCGCCATGTGCAGAGGGTCCTTGCACAGGAGTGGAAATTGGAAAAGTGCATGAATCGAGAATATCGAGGAACAACGGGTGTTTTCTGTTCTTGTTTTACCCTGTGCGCGAAAGCCGATCAACGGTTCTTGAAGAAGCAGACGACCCGGATAAATTCGGGGGAAACGGCGTAAAGCGGAATAGATCAAAACAAAGTGCATGCTAAAAACAAAAAATATCACCATGTTCGAACTAGAGGATTATTCGAGCGGAATACACGAGGGTTTCTTTAGCAAATATGCGGTAAGAAAGAGAAAAGAGAATCAACTTAATATCTTTTTGCACACATTTTGCCGGCCGGCCGCACGCACACACACTTGCATGTGGCCACACAGACAGGCGCGATTTTTGAATTTAACGTTCGGTCCCCATTCCCCACACTCCCCAACCGTTCCCATTCCCACCTAAAAAACCCACCACTACGAAGAACAGTTGGCGGCGAAACTTTGGTTCCACTCGCTATCTCGCTCGCCCCTGCGGCCAATTATTCCCCACCTCGCTTGCTCCAAAGCTTTGTTGTTGACTCGACTTTTTCGCTTTCGCCGCGTGTAACGTGCAATTTTTGAATTTTGAATTCGCCGTAGCGCATTTACGCCTGTGTGCGTGTTTACTTTTGATCGTTAAGCTTTGAAAATTGCCTTTTCGCTTTTCGCTTTTCGCTCAATGGACGGATGATTAATTACAACCGGAACAGCAAGCGCCGATAATAAATAATGGAATTGTAGTTCTATGAAGATTGTGCACTTCCTAGTCTTGAGTTTGTTGGAGGTTATTAACTTGGCTAGCTGGAGAATTCACCTCTGTTAACAGACTGTTGCTTATGCCGAGCCCCAACTCGATCAACAGTGGATTTTAATTCAGTTCTTGGGTGGGGATTGCCGGTATTATTTTACTTGTGTTATAATTGTACTTAACTTTACTCAAGTCAGCCAGCAGAAGTGTTTTTTCTTTGTAGCCATGCGCAATTATTTGGCTTATTTATTTTTTGTCACCCACAGCGGTGGCTAAAACAATAGCACAGCTTTAAGTCAGTACTGGGGAATATCAGTTAATCTTTAATTTCGAATGTATTTTCCGGAATTTGATGCTCATTTCTATTTAAAGTAAATACAAAAATATTTTAAGGGAGTTTACATATTTGCTTTTCTTGCCTGCTGGCGAAATTGTATTAAATTGCCGAATTGAACGGAGTATACCCTAAGTTTTAAACTTGGATAACATTAAAAAAAAAAAAAAAAACAGAACAGAAAAAAACTTAAAACTATCAGAATATTTTCCCAAAACGAAAGAATTGTCAAGTAATCCTTACAAAATGCAATTCTATGCAAATTTTTGCTTAAGATTTTGCTCTTCCTAAATTATTTTTGGGGTTATATGATCCATGTTTAAAAATATGAATAAAATAAGAACTATAATTTTGCGGTGCAATTTTCTTGGCCGTTGCTGTGGCCTGAGTACTTTAGTGTGTTTCTACGCTGGTTCGCTGAGTTTTTCGTCTGGGGTCTCTTCTTCAGCTTTTGCGTTTTAAACTTTTTGAAGGCCAAGCGTTCACCTCGAACCTTTTGTCTTAACTGTTTTAGTCGCCGCAACAAAGTGGCAAAATATTTTGGGTCGGGAAATGTGTGGCTAGAGTTTAAAGTTTAAGGCAGACTGTCCGCCAAAATCGACAATCGGCAAAGGAACTGACCTCCAGCAAAGTTTTCAAAATTTGAAATGGAAATGCAAAAGTACGGACTATGGGAACATGTGCGCCTGTTAAATGCAACATGCAAAACTCCACACACACGCATACACACATACAATCTACAAGTGTTGCGAATTACGGGTGTGCGACTGTGTGTGCGAAGGGGAACAAAGAAAAGCAAACAAAATAAATCGTTTTATCTTGGGGTTTCCGTGTGTTTTTTCTGTGTGTGTGCTTGAGTGCGAGTGTGGGAACAAAACAAAAGAAAAAGCAACAGTCGACAGTTCCCACATCAAAAGCTTTTCTCCCACGTTGTCCATCTCTGTCGCACTGTTCTCTTTCTTCTCTTTGGTTTCGGCAACCTTTGTTGCGGCAACATGGCAAAAAAAAAAACAAGAACAAAAAAGTAGCAAATAAAAATCAAAGCAAAAAGTCAACAAAGAACAACTTCAAAGTTCAACGCGCTTTTGATTGGGGTTTTCAGGGGGTTCCGGGGTTGGTAATCCACCTACCCCAAAATGCAGAGAAAATGCGAGACAGAGAGGGAAAGACCAAGAGAGGGGGCTGTGGGAGGAAAGTCACTTGTCTGTTTTTCGTTCTGCTGCCGAATATGAGCGCCCAGCTGTATGCCGCATAGATTTTCTCACGGCCCGAACACACGGAAACACACACACTTAAAAGCCGTGCCAATCTCCCACACAAATAAAAGGTTGACGTTATTTTGGTGGAACATGTAGATGAGGTTTACCCAGTAGCTATCAGCGTACCATCTATGTATATATTCAACTGGCATTAAGAATTTTTTTTATAATTTGTCTTAACTGCAAATCTGTATGAAACCCATGTTTTTTGGTAAAACCCACTGATTAACCTTCACGTATGCGGAAAAGACGGATGAAAAATGGACTTTTGCGCTAAATATAAACTTTTGGCAAATGCAGATTTCGGATTTCTTGCAACACATTTGCTTAATGAATGAAATAACCCAAGGAAGCTGTCTTCTCGCTAACCAAGAGATTTAAAAACGATTTACGACTTGAGATCATCCCGTTTCAGTGTGTTTAAGGATATACCTTCGGCTCGGATTTAGTTGGGCATTCAGGCAAACGACTTTTATTGCACCATAAAGTAATTTACAAATGGGCGCTCATGACCTCAGGAAAGATGTTTCGAGAAAGGCCCAAGTAAAAATGGGCTGTCCTACCTGAGTGAGGGATTCTTTGCTGCCTCAGTATTATTCCTGCCTTTATTTACCATCTCGTCTACTTCTCTGTGTGTCAGCAGAGTGATACCGAGGTGAAAGGCGGAGAAAGATGTGAGTTGCAACAAAAGACAGGCAAAAATAGCAGATGCAGGAAATACAAATAACAAGAAACAATTGGTAGTGACGAATCCTGCAGAGAAATGGACGAAATACCCCCTCGCTGCTTCCTTGGTTCGTTGCACAACTTAAAAAGGCCAACAGGCAGCTGCAACTGAGCAGCAACAACTTTTCAGGGGGCACAAAGTTAAAAAGTGGCAGGGGGCTGTAGGCCTTGTCGAACTTTTACTGACAACTTTTGCATTTTCCTTTAATCCCCCCTGAAAGTCGAAAAGTGCTTGCTGTGAACTTTGCTCGCCTGTTCGTTGCATTTTTATTTCGGCACATTTTTTCAAGAATTTTTAGGGGGGCAAAAAAATACAAAAAGTTTTAAAAGAGTGGGGTGAGGGTAGAAACAGGCAGGTTAAAAATGACTTATACGTATTTTTGCTAGGCCTTTTTCTCTGGTTGCTGAGCGCCGCATTCGAAAGCCGGTTGATTTATTAGGTCTCTTGGTATCAAGGATTTATTAACCCTTCACCCGCCCACCGGTTTGTTTTCTCCCCCAACCAAAGAGGTGTGAAAAATGGCAATTCCTTGGCACCATGGGCTCGGAGCTGTAAACTAATTAAAGCCAGGAAGTTTGTTTCCCGTTGGCAAATGCAATTCTAAACAGTTTACGATTGTGGAATTGCAACTTACAGCAGGAAGAAGTACCTATAGCAAATACAGTGGTCTTCCAATGGTGAATAATTTACTATTAAAGCACACAATGCAACGTTTTGTTAGTGAAACTTTTTCATTTATACTGTATTTTTTTTTTTAATATTTTTAAAAATATGTAAACTAAAATAAAATACATACTCTGTATATTTCAATAATTATGATTTTTACATAGTTTTTTAGTCTGATTTTTAAACTGAACCCTTTGGGTTTCAGTTGTGAAATTCTCTTAATCGATCAATTACTGTACCGCAAGCAACAGAACTGAACTAGAGACCTTTATCAACCCTCGAGTTGCAGCTGCCTGAGCCTGCTGCTTCCCTTTCCCCTACACCATACTCTTCCAATTTCGACTGGAAACTCGCAATTCAACAGAGGGCAGACCAAAGGTTATCACACAGACACGGAAACGCACACACAGTCACTTTTAGAAAGAAGGTTAGAGGGGAGGGTGAAGGAAATAGAACTGAAAAATGTATTGAAAGAGGAGGCCTAGAGCGAATCCCTCAAACATTCCATCACTCCCATTACGGCGCGGTCTACGGGTATAGGAAATATCATATCATCTGGGTTATATTTCTGTTATAATGCCTAACTAATGGCTGCGAGGGTGGAGGAAAGGAATAAATGATGGGGGTTAAATATTAAAGAAAAAGGGTAAAGGGTTGCCGAAAGTTCTAAGCAGATCGCACATAATTCAGCTTGAAATCTGTACGAAATTGGTGAATCATATTCCGATTGGGGTAGATTAGGGCAGAGCTAAGGGGTGAGCATTGGATTGGAGTGATAAATGTTCTGAACAAACACACAACCAATTTATTTTGTTTATGCTCATAACACGAACAACACTTTTTTTTAATATTCATGAAATTGGAAAATCTTTTTCCAGTTGAGGTCTACTTTGACGGTTGTCCTAAAATTATTGTCATATTTAAATAGGAAAGCCTTTGAGAATAGATAGTTGTTGTAAATTATTTACTTATTTTGTAAAGATTTTAGATTTATTGTATTTTTTAAAATAAAATAGTAAAAATCCTAGATCCTCCTTCTTTCACTCAATCTTGGATACGTAAGACCCCTGTCCAAATATCAATTAAACCAAATCATGAACACTTTGTCCCATTGACTCTAATCGGCAGTCAATACAAATTTATTGAAAAATTGAGAAACTGCTGAGAAGGGCCAGCTGCTGCAGCTACTTAGCTTCCAGCTGAAGATTGCCAGCTGTCCAAGTCTTCTGTTTTCTTCCTTCAGACTCCCTGAATGACTGCTCTCTTCCGAGTTTCCCTTTTATCGGTTAGGCTGATTGTTGCATGCTGGATGCATTCGAGAGGTAACAAACCCAATCGCTATGCCCAGACTTTTGGCCCTGCTCCCAACTGCTTATCGGCCAAACACCTGCCGCGAGGTATGTAATTCGATTTTGTTTTAGCCAGGATGCGCCATATGGAGTTAACGATAGAGAGGGGGAAAACACGATGCAATTGTATAATACCATTAAAAAATTCTCTAAGAAAATACAAACACTCAAATAAATGTCGACTTTAGATTCAGAGGTAATACGTTTTAAAATAGGGTTATTAAAATAACTAACTTATTGATCAATATTATTTAGTGGAATTAAATGGCATATTTCTTAAAAACATTGGTTTTAATGCAAATATGTATGTATGTAGAAAGTGTTTTACGCTTTAGTTTTAAATATAAAAGATTTAGTTAGCGTGTTTCTATGGACATACAAATAATTTACTTGTTTTTGGGGTAATAAACATACAGCAAAAGTGTTATTTGCACATACATAAATCCTCGCTCGTCAATATACAAACATTTTTTTATCTTTTTTTTTTAAACCCAATATCGCCATGTGTATTTCAATCGCTAAATAAAAAAAAGAAGAAAATGGGCGGAAGAAGCACTTTGGATAGCACTTGAAATTGGGAACTGACAAAACAGATATTCCCAGCATCCTCGACTCCCCTCCCTGGTATTCCTCACATCCCGATTACTCTGCCACAGACACATGGAAATTTTGATAGTGAAGGGGTTGTTGTGCGGATAAAGGTGCTCACTTTTTGGGGAACTCCCACACCCCACGCCCTTCGTTACCGCACCCAGTTGCCCATCTCCATTTTCAACTTTGATAAAGAGAACCCCGAACATGCGCCTGCACCAATTTATGATATCCTGCTAAATTATGCAACTTATCATTCCCGTGTGGCGGGCTATATATCATCCAGATGTGTGTATATCCCTGTGTCTATTGATTTTTCAGCGTCGCCGCATAATAAAAGCACAAAAGTCGTCCTGTTTGGGGTCACCGGTGACCCCCACCCCGCCTTCTCTTCTTTGGGGTCAGGTCAGTGTTCTGCGCTCGGCTTCAAGGACACCTTGACATTGAACTCCCTCTCCCACACTCTCTGCATCCCTTTCGCTCCCTATCTAACCTAACAGTAGCGCCACATTTAACAGCCGCCCAAAAACTGTAAAGTAATAAGAAGCATCCATCACACGACGTTTTTCCAACAGAGCTGCAAAAAAAAATATTCAGCGAAAATAATAAAGTCCACAAGCAAAAACAGCAAAAGTAATCGGCATGTTTTTGCTGCCTTTTTTGCTTTGCTTCGGTTCTGTTGTTTTTGTTGCTGTTGTTGTTGCCCGCTTTGTGTTTTCTGTTCTCAGCAACTCGCCGCATGTTTTGTTGCCTACTGTACGCGCAACAGAGGTCGCAACTTCGCCTCTGTGGCAGCTCTGTTATTTACGTTCTATGTTTTCGTACATTTTCTACCCTCTCCTTAGCGCGGTCTCTTTCTCTCCGTCTCGCTCTCTCAACTTCGCCGCACACATAGAGAAAAAAGAGGAAAAAAAAACAACAGAGAACAGCAGCAGCGAAGTTTCCCTGTTTTCTGTTTTTGTACGGCTTTAATTCCTTTTCCCTCTCGATGTCAGCATTACACACATGTGAACATAAATTTGTATATATACAAATGTCTGTATGTTTCCCCCTTTTTGCCATCTTTTCCGCAACATGCTGCCGAAACATTTGTATCCACTGGTGGTTGTTTGTACGCAACATTTTGTATTTACATATATTCATACATATGTGTGTGATCTGGAAGCGAATCTAATGTTCTGATGGTCGGTCTCACAAGTGATTCACTTTTTGAGACAAGGGGAGAATTCGCTACTCCAGGCCCCAATTGTAATGCTGGTCTCAAACCGCGATCTCCTCGATTGTTGCATAAACTTTCAATTTTTCTGATATCCGGTTTTCGGTCACCGTCGTTGCAATTGTTGCTGTGTGGCCTTCTCGCGGCCTGGACCTCGACTCCTTTTTCTCCCACTCTTGATTATGTTTATATTGTGTAAATACAGCGGTCGATAACAAATTAGAAACTTACTAAAGAAATGTTTTTTCCGACAATGATTTCATTAAAATTAGGAACTTTGAAACCAGATTTCATTTTTGAAAAATATTTTTAATTTAGTTTAAGTTTCGAAAACAACCTGGGTTAAAAAAGAATGGTTTAAAGAAAACCATTACTTTGGAATTTTTGTTGTGCACACAACTGTATGTACTTCCAATGTTTTGGATGTTTGTTTATTACATACATATATAAACTTACATACATACATATTTATGTATGCAGCACCGACTCAAGACTCTCGGTAAAAAAAAATTTGTTTACATGTTCCCGACATTGCTGATCTTTTTTTTTTTTGTTGTACTGGTTCTGGTGTTGCAACATGAGTTATTTTCGTTGTTTTGTTGTTGGGCGTGCTATATGGAACTCAGAAAACATCCATACCCCCCAACCTTTTCCTATCCTTCGCCGTTTGCTCTTCGTCGCCTGTTTTGGTTTTTTATTTATTTTTTAGCCTGCCTGCCTTGGCGCGTAAAAAACTGGTTTTGAACTCGGCTCTCTTGCTCCTTTGGCCCCTCAATTATTATTGTTGTTTTCTTTCGAGTTGTTGTTGCTGGTGCCTCGTATAGAAAATGAAAACCTATCCGATCCCCAAAACACATACATATGTATTTTTCTGTGCACGTACAAACCCACATATACAAATGTATGTATATCAGCACGGGGATATCAGATTCGGGACAATTTTCAAGCGACTTGTGTTACAGATTTAATCATTATAAAATATGTAGGTCTATCTCTGTGTATGTTTGTATGCAAAGGAATTGTGTTCCTATGAGATGTTCTTAGGAAAACGAATGCGCGGGAAAATTATTAGTACGTGATTCTATAATTTTTCATATTTTTATTTGTGCTAAGCTTAGCAGAAATAACATTTGTATTTTTTGTTTATCATCTATAACAAAATTTAACAAGACGAATTGCGAAAAATTTTAAACTTAGTCGGCTGGTGTGAATGACACTTCTGTTAAACTCATTTAAAGAATTACTTGTTAAAATGGATTTCGCCTTCTTTTTGCAGGATGCCGCTGGACCCTCGCTGGACTTTTATGTATCCGATTCGATGCAGGAGATGCTGGACGTGGACATTCGCGCAGAGATCGCCAATGTGGTGGGCAGTTCTGGCAGCGATCTCACCTCGTCCCTGGATCAAACCCTGGAGGCTATATCCGCAATAAATAACAACCAGTCAAGTGCAAACAGCTCGCTTCCGGTTTCGTACAATGCCAATGCGAACTTCCTGACCAGCAGCGCCCTCCATGCCTCGCCCACCGCCAAATGGATGGGTTCGTCGTCCAGTTTTTGGTCCAACAGCGACTACTATGCGGATCTGGGGGCGTGTGTTAACCCGATTTCCGTGATGCCACTGATAACCTCGTCCGGCGGATCTGGATTGACCTCGCCAAAGCGAAACAAGACAGTCACTTGCACGCAGGGCAGATCGGGAGCGGTGCCCTCGTCCCCCGGCGCCGAAAGGGATCAGCACAAGTCCCATTTGACCTTCTCACCGGCCCAGATGAAGGTCAGTGCAGGCTCGATGCGACGAGAGCAGGTTATGGCCCACATTCCCAAGCAAATATCCGTGGTTACGGGCACAGGAACCACTGCACCTGCCACAATGGCCACGAATTCGGTCCTTCAACGGCGGAATTCCTCGGCAGTGGACGCAGTTCGCAAGGATCTGGGCTCAGAGCTGCGCCGGGCCCAATCCAGTCCAGTTCCCAACTCCGTAGATGAGCTGGGCAAGGGTAAGGGATCCACACTGCTCACCGCGGGAGGTGGCGCCACCAATACCATTAAATTGGCACCTGGCATTGGCGGGCTGACCTTTGCCAACAGTGTTGCCTACCAGAAACTGAAGCAAACCACTTCCGTCAAGTCACCCGGAGGAGGAATCTCGCCAGGAGTGGGTTCGAACGTCGGCCTCAAACGCGAGGAGTCGAACAAGCGAGGACTGCAGGTCAGCACAACACCAAAGAGCATCGCTTCAGCGGCCAACTCGCCGCACCATCAAATGCAGAGCAACTACAGCCTGGGATCACCATCGTCCATGTCCTCATCTTCGGCCTCTTCGCCGCTGGGAAATGTGAGCAACCTGGTCAACATAGCCAACAACAACTCAAATGGTGTCGGCTTGGTGAAGCCGTTGCAGCAAAAGGTGAAGCTGCCGCCGGTGGGCAGTCCGTTTCCCAAGCCCGCCTACTCCTACTCCTGCCTCATCGCGTTGGCTCTTAAGAATTCGCGAGCCGGATCACTGCCCGTTTCGGAAATCTACAGTTTCCTCTGCCAGCACTTCCCGTACTTTGAGAACGCTCCCAGTGGCTGGAAGAACAGTGTCCGTCACAATCTGTCGCTGAACAAGTGCTTCGAGAAGATCGAGCGGCCAGCCACGAATGGCAATCAGCGGAAGGGCTGCCGCTGGGCCATGAACCCGGAGCGGATCAACAAGATGGACGAGGAGGTGCAGAAGTGGTCGCGCAAGGACCCGGCTGCCATACGTGGTGCCATGGTCTATCCACAGCATCTGGAGTCACTGGAACGGGGAGAAATGAAGCACGGATCGGCCGACTCGGATGTCGAACTGGACTCGCAGTCGGAGATCGAGGAGTCCTCCGATCTGGAGGAGCACGAGTTCGAGGACACCATGGTGGATGCCATGCTGGTGGAGGAGGACGATGAAGCCGGCGAGGTAGAGGAGGAAGAGGACGATGATGAGGAGCACATGCTCAGCGAGTTCGAGGCGGAGGAGGAGCGTCATTGCCGCGCCAATGGCAACCAGTCAAATAACCTGCCCATCGATCATGCTCTGCTTGGCCAGAAAAGCGGCGACTTTGATATTGAGGTAAGTTCGAATAATCATTTTCTGCAGGTTGCATATACTAATTTCCTTATTCTTTAGGTCGACGAGCTTTACGATGCAATCGACATTGAAGACGACAAGGAGGCAGTGCGTCGAGCCATCTCCAATGTCCAAGCCCAGCACATCATCGAATTGAACCCAGCCGATCTGAACGCCAACGATGGCTACGACCAGCAGCCGCAATCGAAGCGGGCTCGCGTAGACATCAACTATGCAATTGGGCCGGCCGGCGAGTTGGAGCAGCAGTATGGCCAGAAGGTCAAGGTGCAGCAAGTCGCGCAGCCGCAGCAGCATCCGCCCACTTATAATCGTCGCAAGATGCCGCTGGTCAACCGCGTTATCTAGAGCGGGGCACAGCCCACCTCCCCCCCTCCAAAAAAAAACCCATTACTTTAATCATTTAGTGCTAGAACCTTCGTATTTAAGAAACCCTTGCTACGCTTACACGTAAAATTTAAGCCCAAAAGCACATTCAATATCGAATATCAGTTTTCAGTTTTCGGTTTCAAAATGTTATTCAATCCCCCTTTACTTGTAGTTCAGTTTCGGCTGCTGTTTGATTTTAAATCTCGTCTCGAGTCTGAGCCAGCTGAACAAAAAAAAAAGAAGCGGAGTGCTGGCCCCTTTTTCATAATTTCTTTTTATAGTCGCTTCTCGAATAAATCCTAATTATTTATGTTACACAAACACCCGAAATTTTGCTCCACTTGACGAAACACGTCTAGCCCTTTTTGCCTGACGCTTGAGCAGAAACACTCAATAGGTTCCTCCACTGACGACGCATGAAGCATGTTAATTATTTTCTCGACTTTAGCCTTCGGTTAGCCGAGCTGTATCTTTTGAGTTGATCTCCTACTGACAAATGAAATTTTATTCTTCAGTTGATAAGAAACTTGACAATGCATTTATGACAAATGATTCCGCGCGTAGTCGTAGAATAATATTAATGTGCAACACAACGATTATTTTGACAACGAAATGTGAACAGTAGGTTTATGTTTCCACCTTTTGTTGATTATTACATCCAATGGTGACAATTTGCATTTGCGAACCTTTTCAGCTTAAGCTTCATAGAGTTGAAAGAGAGAATTGATCACACATACTTGCCGGTCCAGTATTCGTATGCGAGGTATAATGCGGATTTTTATAGAACTTTTGTATGTATTTGTACTATATAAACCCACAATTATTGTCGGAAAGTTCAGTCAATTAATAATACGGTTATTTTATAAGACGATTCGGTATGTAAATAGTTTACACGCAGAGAAAACTTGTATACTATGTGCTTAGCTGTAAGTAGGATGTATGTACATTTTTAAGCCAAACCCGAATTCCAAATGAAACGACAAGATCCGAAAACCAATAAGACTTAAAAAGAAGAGTACCCGAACAAATGAACATGATCAGCCTCAGAAGTAAAATAGTACAAAGAGCTAACTAAGTTACGGGCAATTATTACAGACAAAGCATTTACAGAAAGCCACCTCATAGGTGGCCTGTGGAAAGAAACCATTTTTGTTTATATCGTTCTCTCATCTGACGTTTCCACTCAACAATTCCATTAAACAAACCGACAACATTCATGCATTTTTGTTGTAATATTAGCACCTAAATACCATTTAATCATAATATTTTACCGCCTAATTTAACAATGTATGTAAATGATAAAGCTAAGAAAAACAATTTTTGTATAGAGTTGTTAGAAAATCAATTAACAAAACAAAATTGAAACCAAAAAAAAAAATAAATAAAATAAAAAACTACAAATTTTAATTCCACAGACTTTCTTTAAATTTTTCAATGGAATGATATATCTTTTAAAAAAGAATAGAGCTTCCAAGAAAAAAGGAGTTTTGTTATTTCGTTGACAGTTTTTATTTCACATACATAAATAGTTCGACATTTTAAAATTTCAGTTTTCGATTTACTCATATTTTCAACAACCAATAGAACTTAGATGCTAGATAAGCATTTTGCAATTTGAGCAGAACCAGTTCCCCGAATGGGAACCATAGGTATATTATCGTCGATTCTTGTGCCATACAGAGCATTTATTTCAGATGTGTGCTTTAGGACTAGACAGTTGGGTGACATTAACCCCTTTCAGTTGGCTAATGCTAGTTAGTTGACTTAAAAAAACTGCTTCGCTTGCTGCTTGTACTCTTGCCCAAAATGGCATAAAATACTCTGATAAGCGCCTTTGTTAAAATACATGCTTCGTATTAAAATGATTCCTTGTAGTTAAAATATACATATGTATCGTGTATGTATCTTTATATATAATTAATATATAGGTATGGTAAATTGTATTGTTTCAAAATTGAGTGTTGATCTTTGCACATTTAAGGCCTGTTGTTTACTTAGCTTAGGTTTGGGTTTTTGAGCTGGGTGTTCCTTTTTGGACTTGAGCAAGCTGTTCGATGTGAGCTATAATCTATAGACCCCCTGACTAATTTCTCTGAGTGTGCGTGTGGGGTGTCATGACTACTTGTGTGTGTGTGGGTGGTGTTTGTGGTGGTGTGTGGGGTGCGCCGTGCGCTATGATATACAAGATCGTTTGTTGAAACCAGACAAAACTGATGCCACCTCCGAACCCATCGTTATAGTAAGTAGACAGTTGGTTACAATTATTAATGCACATGTACTTAAACTAAAACGTATCCTACGAATACAGATCAGGACAGACAAGGCCAGGCGAACTGCTGCCGAGCTGGCTTTCAACTTGCTTGCTTTCTGGACGGCTCTTCACTTCGATGCGGGGGCAGTCCAGTACTCTAAAGAATCCAGTTAAAGCTCCCTTGGATGGTCAGCTACCTTCTTCAAAAATCTTCTTATAGTCGGTGTCAGTGGAAACACAAAATATTGTGAGTGACTCGTTTATCAGTCTGGTAATCATAATTGTTTCGGTTTTACAATGACATTTAAGTTCTACCAAAAACTGTAGTAACAGAAATGAGTTCCTAATGCTTTTGATCCTCCTAATAATTCCATTAGTGTCCTTCCAAGAGTGCCTTCACTGTACACGAGTCCGGACCCTGCCTAAAACTAGACACTAAAATTTCGACTGACTACGTTGGTTGTGTTCGGGAACTTAGGGCTAAAAACTAGCACACGGATACGGTACGGTTACGGATATACAACACGGTTCGAACATTAAATGCAGAGCTGAATGAATGGTGGCGACTGGAGCTGCGGGACTGGGGATCTGCGGGGGGTGCACACTGACGGGGACAACGATTACTGGCTAGATAAACACTACGATTACTCCGGTCAATGCCAGCCACTGCGTCCGTATCCAAATCTGGGTACCTCATTCCTGCTTCAGTCGCTTGGCCTCGTTGCCAACATCGCCGCCACTGCTGGCCGAACTGAGTGTCGTCTGCTGCTCCGTGTCGCTGGTGATGTAGGCAAACTGGCACTCGAACTCGAAGTCCATGTCCTTCTTCTGGAGAGTACAAGGAAGATAATCAATACCTTTTCATGTAATTAAATTCTTAAATGTGTTCACTAACCATCCTTTCGCAAATGACCGCAATGGCTGTTTTATCCTGTGCCTCCGCGATCTTGTGCTCGACCAGGTAGAACATGTACTCATCGAACAGCAGGCGGATCAGGTGGAAGCTTCCGAAACTGGAGGCGGATCTCAGAGTCAGGTCCCGGATGATCATCGAGCTGTAGAAGCTCCACTTGAGCAGAAACTGGCGAGCGGCCCTGGCGTAAGTGGGCTTCCCATTGTACTCCTCCATGGCCGATTCCACCACCAGTTGCAGCCAGCTGGCCCACTGTTCCAGGGAACTCTGCTGCTGCAGGGCTGCCTTGAAGTCGTTCTCCAAACGCTGCACCACGGCGGGGGCACACTGACTCACCCACGCAGCTTGCTCCTGTAAGATTACATTTATTTAATTAGTTTACTCAACAATATCTAGTAATTAACTCACCTGAACATTGTGGAAATCCACGCGATTGAGATCGCTGAGCATCTGGGAGATCTGGGCGCCATTTTGGAGCACGGCTCGCGCTGCCTGCGCCAGGTGATTCAGCGAGGTGTAGCGCCTCAGTGTTTGGCAAAAGGCCGAGACGGCACTGGTCTTGATTTGAGCCAGTTGCTCCGGCACGCCCAGCATGCTCTCGCACAGCCAGATCTCCAGGTTCTTGGCGAAGTTCCGGATGGCCTGGGTCAAGGCGTTCGGTATGGAGCGGAGTACATCCGGTATGATGACATCGACGGTGTTCTGGTAGAACTGGTAGTCCACCTGGTCAAGGAATCAAATAATGGATTTAATTTATAGGAAATAAGCAAGGCCTCTAGATAGTTACTAATATCTTTTTCTCTTCTTTAAAACAAAGAACTTGTTTAAAAAAAGGTTTTTTGTTGACAATTATTGTTTTTAAATACTCGAAATAATGATAACTATTACGAAACTTAGTGAAATTATTGAAAATTGCCTTCAAGACGACTTTAGGTAATGAATAAAACCGACTGGAGTTTGTGAAACTCGGAACAACCCAAAGGGGGAAGGCAATCGGGAGCGGACTCCCGGCCACCATTGGCTATGTGGAAAACACAGTGCACCCACCTCTCGCACGAACTTCTGCACTTCTGCGCAGTGGCACAGCAGATACAGCTTCGTCTTGCTCAAGTACTTCTCCTCCTCGCACTCGTCCAGGTTGTTATTGTCGCTGGCCCGCCAGAAGTCCCGCAGCAGGAACTCCACGGTGTTGAACTCCAGGTTGAGCACGGCGTCCAGGAAGGACTCGCAGTGCTCGCGGTACAAGGCCCTAAATGTGTCCACGTCCTCCAGAGTCAGTTCGCTGTTGAAACTGTGGTTCAGCTCGATGGCCGGGAAAGAGGGCAGGGCACTGCTGCCATCTCCAATGTACTGGAGGATTGAAGGATTGAAGAAAAAGGGGAAAAAATCAATCAATAAACGGCTTCGGTTTCAAAAGTCTATTTAAAAATTCAAATGGGAGGTCGTCAGGTAACTTTGAACTCTTTTAAAATTTATATACGCCTGCATATTGTATATCAAACACCTTGTTGAACCAGTTTTAGTTATTGAATAATGTTTTGAAAAACTTACCACTTCATTTACTACAGAAGTCAAGATTTACAAGCAGTTTTAAAATGCTAATCAAAGTCAATTTATAGGTTTCGGTTTAGGAATTTAATTTAACACTTATTTTTAGCACTTGTCTTGCTAATAAAACTTCGAATATTATATTTTTGGAAAAAAATAATAAAGGAAACTGATAAGCTATATTTTTTAAGAGGGGATTGATAATTTTTTGTGTATGCTTGTAAGATCCTCACCTGAATGCACGCCTCGTAGGTCTCCGGCTTGAAGGTGTGCTTCTTGGTGCCGCCGCTGTGCCGTTGTCCCTGGCCGCCGCCCAGTCCATGGGATCCGCCCAGCTGACCCACGGTGCTGCTGGTCACGTTGACCATGGAGCCCGGACCACCGGTGCCAGAGCCGGAGCCATCGGAGGATTGCCCGTAGCCGGCGGCCAGCAGCTGCTTGTCGTCCATCGCCTGGCTGTTCAGCAGGGAGCCGGGCTTGATGCGGATGCCATAGTAGTGGTACTTGGAGTTGCCGCGCGTGCCCAGGCGACGTGTGCGCAGTCCGGAGAACACGGAGCGTATCAGCTTGCCAAAGCTGGCCGCATTCACCGGCTCCAACTTGTGTTCGCTGCAGTGCTGCATATAGTGGTTGTACAGCGTGCTCCTGGGCAGGCTCACCCCGTCCGCCGTTTCGTAGTTGCGCGACAGCCACTTGATCTGCGATGCGAGCAAGGGAGAAGGAAAGAGGGAGAGAGAGAGAGAGAGAGGCAGAGAGGGAGAGAGAAGGAGAAGGTTGGTATTTAGTGGGGGGGATGCTGCTGGGGAGGCGTAGCCATGGCTGCGATGGACACTCACCGTTGCCGAGGCAATCTTGTTGCTGCTGCCGAGGGCACTCTGGTCGGAATCCGGGGAGGCGCCACCGCCGCCCGTTCCCAGGCTGCCGCCGCTCGCCGAGTGCGTCGTCGTCGTCGATGTGGGCGTCTGGGGCGTGCTCTGCGCCTCCTGGATGTACGCGACCTCCTGCACCCAGTGGCGATTAGTTCCGTTCACCCGGTCCGCATCCCGCTCCCAATCCCTGCTACTCACCGTCAGGCTGTGCGGCGAGTCGCGTCCGCCGTGCGACTGCGACTGCTGCGACTGTTGCGACTGCTGCGACTGCGACATCGAGTGCGCGGACCCGTTCAGCAGGATGCCCTCCTCCACGGGCACCAGATACGGCAGCGTCGTGGAGTGGGCGCCATTCGAGGAGCCCCCGCCGGACGAGGTGGCTCCGTACTGACCTGTGGTCGAGTAGTAGGCCGTCTGCCCGTTGCCCTGGTAATCGCCCACCGGGCAAAACGGATACGTCCTGAAATTGGCCAGGACAGGTGGAAGAAGCAAGGTTAAAGGTCGAAACTCGGGTGTATTTATCAGTTTATCGGACTGGCGGCTGCACACTCACATTTGCGTCTGGCTGGAGTTGCTATGGTACAGCTCCGAGTCCACATATTGCACTTGGTAGTTCTGCTCCTGGCCCGAAACTGAAAGAAAAGGGAACGCAATTGTAGAGGTCACTTAATAATCACTAGAGGTCACAATAATAAACAAAACGAAATGTTTAAAATAGACTTTTGTACTAAGGAAAATAAACAACACTTTTTTAAAACTTAGGCTTACAAAATAATATATATTTTAGAGGGACTGATTACATTAAAAGTTGGTTTTTTTCCTATATTTAATTTACTCCGTCGGTAAACTTTTTCTTTCAAAAATGTAATTTCGTAAACTTATATTAACATTTTGGCTAATTCCTTTAAAATATACGTTTGGGTTAAATAGATTAAAATAGCGGTGCCATTCGTAGTCCTCGTTGAAGGAAGCTTTTTTCTGGAACATATTTTTTTTTACTTTTATAGACAGAATATTTAAAAACTCAAGAAACCCGTCCACTCAATGGAGAATACTTATTCAACGTTACACCACAAACTGTAAACACAACGTGTAAACTGTCTCTTGATTCAATCAACATTCTCAAGACGATAGTTGGTCTATTCACTTGAATTAGGTGTTCACCAGGGCAAAGACACTTGCTACCCAGAAATATATATACACAAGTGTATATGTTAAGACCCCGCAAACAGGTGCTTCAGATACTGCATTCAAAGTTCAAAGTTTGAACAGAAATCGATTGGGTTTCGAGGAGGAGAGGGAGGCACACTTGGATATTTACCACCGCAGTAGGACAAATTGTTGTGGCGCCGATGGTGATGGTGGTACATGGTGGTGCTGGTGGTCGATCCACCGGAAATGTTGATTGCGGCGGCGGAACTGGCGTTGCCCGACGAGGAGGAGAATGCAGTGGATCCACTGCCTGTCACCGACACCGATCCCGATCCCGATCGCGATCCCAGTCCGATCGCCGAGCAGTTGCTGTAGCTGGTGGCACTGGCGCTGGCCACGAAGGTCTGGTGGTGGTGGTGGTGGTGATGGTGGTGCACGGATTGCTTGCAGCAGCACTTCTCCAGCAGATTCGAGTAGGCCACGGCGGCGGCGGTGGTCGGATGGTGGCGCGTCTGGCAGTCAAAGCCGTACCGCGAATGCATTCGTTTGGCCGGAAGTGGAGCGTATCCTGCTGGAATTGATGGACCCTCCAATCCGGGTGGTGGTCTCAGCGGTTCTCAGATGGCTCCCAAAACAGTTTCGTATACCTTCTTGGGTTTCAGGTTTTTTAGGGGGTTCTCACTTGATTCACTTGAAAGCCAGCACATTTCTTAGTTTCTTAATATAAACTTGATTCGATTTAAACAATTACTTTTGTTTTAGATTCCAGTAAATATGTTTGCTAAACTGCGTTTTAGGATATTAAGTTCAGAATGGAAAGTTAAAGTTCCAATGCTTATAATCTCGTATGTTTTAACGCAACATTCTCAAAAATAAGAATGCAAAATTACTTATACTCCATAAACAAGAGTTCAATTATGTTTTTTAAAACATTTATAAACTTCCAGACTCCAAGTTTCCTAATCCACTTAAGAACGGTTAAGTTATGAAACCAAAGAGGGTTTATCCAAATCCACAGGTTTTCGATTTCCAGAAGTATAATCCAAAAATAGAGTTCCGACGTATTCCCGATTCAGAGTTCCCGAATGAGGATTCAAATTAGCAAGAACCAAAATGTAAAATCAATGCATTGTGTGGCAGGTGAAGAAGACACCCGGTTGCTTCTGGCAACTCAGAAAGCGAAAGTGAAATCCTTGACCAAGCAACGCTCCTCCATTCAGATTCCTCCTTTTCACTGTGGGTGGTATTTTTCCTTGTGCCCTGGATGCTATTTCCTTTTTGGGGGTTTGGGGTGCTATTTGGCGAGGGCCAAACACTGAATGCTGAAGGTTGGAAAGCTGGATGGCTAGGATGACGTGGAAACGGAGCAACCAGCGAGCCTGCGAACGGTAGAATTACAACTGAATCCAAAATCAAATGTTATCCTAGCAATATGCCTCCGAAAATAATGATGATGGCGAACTCACGACGGCGACGGCGGCGCAGCAACGAATTAAATTACAACAACGGCGGCGGCTGCTGCTGCTTCTTCTGCCTCAGTGGTCGGGTGGTCGGGTGGTTGGGTGGTTAGGTAGGTGGGTGGTTGCTATTATGATCCCTCTGCCCGTAGCGAGTAATCCAACCCAGACCCCTTGAACAGAGGGGTTTTTTCTTTTGTTGCTGCTGTATCCCCGCGCGCGTTTCGCCTCCACTGATTTCAAGCGGTGTGCTGGCTAATTCCGGGCTCAAAGTCGCATTTTCTGGGATCTGCACAAGTGGTCCAAGCGGGGGCAAAGCTCCTGGGTGGGTCCACCCTGGATGCTGCGATGCTGGGATGCTGGATACGCGAGCGGGATGGCAACAGGACGTCAGGCGTCAAGGATACGCCGCCTGGCCAATCCCAAACCCCCCGTCGGTTGCTAGGCAGCCTCTCCGTCTCGCTCGCACTCGACAAGCTATCTCGCTCTGCAACCCCTGGATCAGGATGCTGAAGGATGTATCCTGGCCAACCAAATCGCTTGCTGCCATCCCTGTGGCACTGGGATGGCGTTCTGTGGGAGTTTCCATGGCCAAAGTGGCGTGGAATCGGTGTGGGTGGTGTTTTTGGGTGGATTTTGGGGTGATATACCTATGGTTTTGGAGTGGTTCAGCTTGGGTTTGGGTGGAGCTGGGAAGGCAGCCGGAATGGCATGCCATGCGTGGAATTTTTCCATATTCTCCCCCGTGGTCAGAATTTCTTTTCTACTCTGTGTTTTTTCGGCAATTCCCTCCTGGTGACCGCTTCGCACGACATATTTCAGATATTAATTTTGCATCCGGAGCAGGTCCTTCTGCCTGAGTGTGTGTGTGTGGGTGAGTGTGCGTGTGTGGATCCTGAAGTTGTTGCGGTCAGACCTGCGGGCTGTAACCCCATGACACCAGAATTTTCCCTTTGACACACTGCTGCCGCTGCTGCAAACTGTAAATATTAACAGGTGCCCCTTGGGGCAATTTGTGGATGGAAAGTGGGGATGGGGATGGAAATGGGGATGGAGATGGAGATGGGGCACGGTTGCACTGGCAATTGTCCTTTAAAGTTGTCAAGGCTTAGGTCGTTTCCCAATGCCAGGGACGAATATCTTTTGAGGTTCCTTCAAGTGGACCGCATTCTCGCCAAAACATTTGGGTCCTCAATGACTTTGGTTTTAGTGCAAAAGCAGTTTTGATTCGGTAATTGCCTTTGGAATGGGCCGAAATTGAATCCTTACAAGATTGGAGAAGAAGTGGGTTCATGGAAATCAGCTAAACAGGATCTTGAGGCAATCAGAAGGGTAAAATAATATGCGTTTTATTAAATTATATTTTTAAAATTTTTTTATAGTTATCAGAATAGATAGCCAACATTGATGAGGGATAAAAAAATGTTGTTTTTTTTGCATATTTATGAAGGTTTTCTGAGAGGTATAAATAGTGGAAAAATTTTTCTTGATGGGTTAGCAAATGATATGCCAAATTTACTAACATAGTGATGTAATTAACAATTTTAAAATGTTTTGTCAATCAAATAGAAAGGTATTTTAAAAGTTTGGGACGTAATAATCGATATTATTTTGAAAGAAGAATATACTTTATTATAAAGTCAGTGGACAATAGCTCAAATCAAGATCAATCTCTAATCAAAACTGAAAGCATCAACAATCAGGATAAATCAAATTTATGAATGTGCTTTCTTATAAATGCGAGTTGAAGGGCCTTAATGCAATAACCACTTTCGAGCGCCACTTAGCCAAATTCCCAGCTCCACTCCACAGGGAAAAGCAGGGAGCCAAGTCGAGCACAAATTGCCAGGATAACGATAACAGACAAGTGCAGGACAAAAGTGAAGGAGGGAGTGCAGCTGGCTTATCCTGCATCTACTACAACGTCAACAAACAATTAACCTTTTTGTGAGCCGGACACAGTGAAGGGGGGATGAGCCTCAATGGGATTGGCCCGGGCTAAACTGGGGTCAGAGGTGAGTCCTGCGTCCTTTGTAGAGCTTCACTTGCCGTGATTTCCACAGCGAGATAGCATTCTTCGGGAATTATGAACTGCGACTCGCTTGGACAAATAAATTTGCGCTTATCTCGATTGCCAGACAGCGTGCACAAATAACTTTTTGTTGGCACAATTAAAGGAAGCCCGGCATATGGCGGTGTTCCCTAACTAACTGGTCGGGTTCACCCACTTGGCAACCACCACCCACAATCGTCCACCTAGCCATTCAGGCATCTAGCCATCCAATCACCGACCAACCACTTCAACTGGTATGGATTCCCGTTTCCGTTTGTGCTTTCCTATTTTTAGTCGCTGGCGTTATTAAATGTTAAGCTCGTCGTCTTCTGCCTCGTCGATTCGATGAGCACCCAGCAAATCCGTATCAATTGAAAAATACAATACAATACAACATATTTGGTAAAGGTGGAATATGACGTGAGCATCCTGCACGCCAGTTCGCTGGAAAGCACCCACAGCCGGATCGAAACTTTGATACCCCTCCGCCAAACATATAAAAGCGATTCCGCATCAATTTAGATTGGAATCAGGTCACTGAGAGAAAACATATAAACTTATTTAAAAAAATGTTCATTTTAAAATATATTCTTCATGATTGGAACACAGCAATCTATAAAATAGTGAAAATAATTTTTAACTGACAAACAATTATTTTAAAGAAGCTTATTTAAATGAATTTGGTTTTAAAGGTGTTTACTTATACAGTGTGTAGGGTATTTTAGCTTTTGGCAGAAACAATTCATAAGGAAACCCCTTTGATATTGATATCCTAGTACGAAGAAAACAAAAATAGCTAAAACAGGAATTTTTTCAACCATTAGTAGGTTATTTCCCGCAGTGGCAGAGGTCGTGAGTCCTTATCGAGGACGAAGGTATTAGTTGACAGCGGGCGGTTATTAGCGAGTCGTCGACTCATCCACGTGAGCACTGAGCACCACCCCCACCCATTGTGCACCACCACCCCTCCTTATCTTCCTCCTCAACCACTTTCCCCTGCGGATCACACACCGTGTGAAGCCCTCTCAATTTGTTGTGATTACCCGATGTTGCCATTCAGATTTGAGATGTTTGCCCTCCTGCGTGTCCTGGTGGTGGTAATTTGTGCTAATAAAATCAAGTAGGCCGGCAAACAAGCGTCCTTGCGACCCTTTTTCCCTGTGCGTTCGATTTGTGTTGGATAGTTCCGCGGCGAAGTGTAATCTCGATTAATTCATTGTGCGGCGCTCGAGTGGAATATAATAATTATGTGTGCGCCGGGGATATCACTCCCAGTGTGTCATCCTCTCCATCCTATATAGTTTCTTTTTTTTTTGTTTTGTTGTTCGGCTCAATCCCAGCTGCACTTTGCCTCTTTGTTGCTTTCTGTGCTGCACGTGGCACTGAGGGATTCGTGTGCCGTGTGTCCGTGGACAGGTAGTATCTCTATCCTCCGCGGGGTGTGTGCCATCCATCCATCTATATGCCCATCCAAAGACCCATCCATCTGCCTAGCCACCCAGCCAACCGAACAGCCATCCTTCGTTCAGCCTCGCTCGTATTTCAAATTAAGTCGCTTTAATTGTGATATCAGGCAAACGTTTAAAATACGCCGGATTTTAAGCTGGTCCTTGTTTCCAGCTTACTCCCTTCAGCACTCCCTCCCCCTCCTCTCCTCCTCTTCAGGGACATGTTGATCCTGTCATTATGTTTGTTTACAAAGCCGCGACTTTTGCTGTTTGTTGTTTCCCGTTTGCTGGTTTCCGCTTTGATTTCCTCCCACTGAAAGTGCCGCCCATGGATTCGGGATTCAGGATTCGGTATTCCGGGTTCCGGATTTCAGGGTAGAGGGGACAGGAGTTTCTGTTTCGGCTCAGGACTCCGCGAATGTGGCTTTTTCCGCTCTCAACTGGAATAATTCGGTAACGCGAATCGTACGTTTTTTGCGGCGTTGCAGTTTTTGCGCTCATTAACAAAGTGGCATCGCAATTGATATTTATCCATCAGATATTTATCCATCAGATTTCGCACATGTTGTGTTTGCTTTTTGCCACAAGGGAATTTCGGCAGTGATTAGCAGTATCAACCTAATCAATTAGTGAGATCGGGACTTACATTCCTAGATAATTGGTAACATTTAAAGGATTTTTAACTCCTCTTTTGGTTTTAGCTTTAATTTAAATCTCAAAAAGTTTTAATGTCTGAGAAATTTAATTTTAGCATTTAATTTAAACAAAATACTTCCTATGTTACAATATACATTTTATAACTAAACTGAAAACCTTGACTTAAGGTACCTAACTTATTAAATAGTTTATTTTTGAAGCCTCACCTGTGACTGTGATGAAGGGCGTTCCATCGTCATCTTCGGTGGCCTGCACCACGGTCACCTGGCCATTGGCCACCTGCTGGGCCAGATCCACGCCATCCTTGATGGCCTCCAGGTCGGCCATGCTGTGGATGGGAATCGAGTGGGTCACGGTGGTGCCGTTGGGCTCCGTGGTGGTTATGGTGCCGATGGCGTCGCTGCTGCTGTTCACCACGTGCCCATGGAGATGGGCTTCGCTGCTGGAGTCGTCGGCATCCATGGGCAGCACCACGCGGATCACCTCCAGCTGATCGGCTGCAGTGGCTCCCGCTCCCGTGGAGTCCTCGTCGTCTAGTTTCTTCTGCAAGAGTTGGCAGTTCTGCAAGAGGGGGAGAAGTTTTACCTGTTTACCAAGGCAGCATGATAAGGTAATTTGTTTGTGTGAATAAATTTTGCATAATAAATCAATTGGGTTCCTTGTTAGATATAAAAATTAAATAAAGGTTAGGTCTACTTCTGAATGGTCTAAAAATAGGTAGCTCATGTTATTAAATTCTATTCATTACTAAGATTACTATTATTAATTGCTACTTAAAAGTTCCCTAAGGAACGCTATTGCGTATTATGATATAATGATATTTCATTAGACATAATTTCGTGTATTTTTCTGTGTTAAAGCCTTACTAATCTTTGTTAATTTGAAACTAATTACTTCTGAATAATCTCCTGATGAACCCACCTGTGTCATGACATCCTCCAGGGTTGCGGAAACCACGACTCCATCCTCCGTGCAGAACTCAAACTCCTCGGGATGCGGTGGCGAGGTGGTGCTGTTGGCGGTGCTGGCGGCGATTGTTCCGGTGGCGGCGGCGCTCTCCACCTCGACGGTCAGCTGCTGCTGCTGATGCTCCTCGACTGAATCCTGCGGCGGCGAGGCGGCATCCACGATGGCGGAGCGCGTCGAGATGATGAACTGGCGCTGCGGTGCAAGGCGTGTGGTCATTGGTTTCGTGGTGGTGGCTCCTCTCTTCCGGAAATTAATTCAAGTTGAGCAATGGCGGTTGGCTGCACCTGCGATGCTAAATTCGTTGACTAGTAAGCTCGTTTTAAATCCTTCCCTTCTGTTATTCTGTTGTGGGTTTCTCTTTCGAGATTTAAGGCAATGGCGGCGTTTAGGTTTAGTTTTTCAGCTTCTTTAAGTTGCTCCTGGTGGATGCTGCAAAAGGAAAAGTGATTTCATTTTTTTTTTTTCAAATTTAACAAGGCATGTCGTCAATCAAAGGGCAGGTATTCAATAAGGAATCAACATCATCATCCACCGAACCACCCACACCCACTTTCCATCCTACTCCCACTCCACCACCACCACCACCGCCGCTTCCTCCACCCGAAGGATCCTTTGTTGCCCCACGGGGTGGTGGCTTGTGCTGCTTCCGCTGGGGCGTTGCTATGAAATTAAACTTTTCGCAGGTATTTCTTCGTGCTTTGATTTCCTCATCGCTTTGTTCTCCACGCAGCAGGAGCAGCAGCAGAAAAATATATCTCTATGTATAAATATAAATGTGTGCACATATACATTCATCATATATACATATATAAACGGATGGACGGATGTCTTTTGTGTACAACACCGTATTTTTCCCGGGCGGCCATTTTGATTTTCTTAGAATTTCTGCCGCATCTTCGGGCAGCTATTTTCTTTCTTTCCTGCATAGCATACATTTCGGGGCAATGTTTTGCTAATTTGTTATTTTTTTCGGGGAATCACCGGAAGAGCAACGTAATTTTCAAAACAGAGGGGCTTCATATTAAAATTAAAAGTTGAAGAGAACTTGCAGGCAAACTCCAGCTTCCATTATTCATTTTAATTACTCTAATGCCTCACACCTCCACTCTAATTTAATATTCATTAGTGCGGTGATCGCCTCGGGGAAGTGGTTACCTCTAAATCTTTCACTGTACTTACATAATCCCACACCCGGAGAATCCATTTCTGTTTTTAAGTCCACGGCAATGCCCGAGGCCAATTAAATTAGGTAAATTGTAATTGTCGAGGATAAAAATACATTCGCAAATCAATCAAAGAAAAACACATTTCGGCGAGGTAATTCAAGCATTTATAAATAAGAACTTGGTTTTTAGCAAGCACCTTGTTTTTGCACTGTAAACGTTACTGTTTAATTTCTGTTCGTGATTTTATTTTGTATATTTATTCAGCTTTTTTTCATAATTTTGATTTTATCTTTATATTTAATACCGGTTTTCAGCTGTACATCTTTTAAGTAATACTTTTTATTTTTAAAAACTTTGGTTGTTCACTTAGTCATGGTTTTAGTTACTTCTTTCAAATATTTTTGTTCGACTATTTTAATTATCTTATAATTAACTATAACTATAGTTTAAATGTTTATTTTTATGTTGACATTTTTGATTTATTCTTTTAGTTGCTACCCTTTGATAAAGTTTAAAATTACTTAGTCTCACGGTTTTACAATGTTTTTACAAATTAGTCTGATTTAGAGCTCCTAATTTTCACACTTTCTGCGCTTTTCTTGCCACTTTTGCACCTGCCACATGCACTTGTTCACCGGGCAACCGGCTCAAAGTAAATAAGGTCTGGAGAAGGCGCCGCTGGCGACGTCAACGACGTCCGTTCCAAAAGTCAGACGGGAATCAAAGGGGGAATTGAACCCTTGGGGGAGGAAGGAAAATAACTTCAGGGTTCTGGAATCGGGATCCCCTTTTCGAAAGCGCGGACAGGACAAACGACCCGGCGTACGTCACTTGGTCTGGAGTCGCGTTCCAAGTTGTTGTTTATAAACAATAAACGAAGTCGTCGGGAGTTCCTGGGGGAACCTTTTGAGGAGTGGGTGGCTAATGGCTAATGGCCAACGCGTTGCCCCCGAACGGAAGTGCACTTGGGTTCTTCAGCCATTCAGTACACAAATCAAGCGGCGCGGCGCGCAAGGTGGGCTCATAATAAGTTTGACGCGTGAAAAGTGCAGCTCGCTGGCTTTTCTAGGGGAAGTTTTCCCAGTTCCCAGTCAGCAGTCACCAGTCACGACACCCACACACGAACACCACTGTTTACACCTGTGCAGCTGTACAGCTGCACACCTGTACAGTACACCCACACACCGCGAACAAATCACTAAGGACGCGCAACGCCAAATTATTGATCAAATAAATTTCTTTTCGGGATATTTTCACTCGCTTCTTCTCTCAGCGGTTCGCTCTCCTCGGATTTACCATACAAGATTGGGGATTTACCGAGTATAACATATACATACTATAAATATAGTTTGCGGCTGGTATAGTTATTGCTGCTGCGGTGTGTTTACTTCGAGCGTAAATATGCAACTACGGCGGGGAAAAGTTTTTACCCAACAGCCGCACTAACGGAAAACACAAGCTGAAAACTACGAACGTTCTGGCAATGACAATGGCCAAAAGGGGTTGATAGTTTGGTAATAGGGAATTGGTCAAAATGCAATGTTGTTGCTGCTGCTGCTGCTGTTGTTTGGTGTTGCTGCTGCACACAACTGGCAATCGCTTGCTGTCGGCAGAAAGAGATGGAAACCCATTTGAATGCCGTTTTAATTCGATGCATAATGCATACTGAGCTAAAAAAACAGTCAACACTTCCTGTGACACATTTTATTTACTGGTATTAAATGTATTTCTAGTACAAACAAACACAAAACTAGAAAATATTTTATAAACTCACTTAATTGACGCACATAAATAATGATGTAAAAGGAGATTTGAAAAAAAGGTTTGCTATATGTATTTAAAGCATTTATTAAATATTTACACAATAAATGGTAACCCAAAGTGATAAAATTTAAAAAAAAAATTAAATTAAATTTAACAGTAAACTAAATGTAACTTCAATGGTTTATGACTGTGGAAATACTTGCATTATTTCATCGTCAGTGGAAGAGAGATAGATAAGTGTGGAAAATGAAGGGGAAAAGCTGGAGGAAGCGGTGGAGTGGGTGCTGCATTTTCGGACAGCCCATGGCATTGACCCCTTTTTTTAATGTCCAGTACCACCTACCCCTAAGCCGCCTCCGCCGGCAGCTGCGTTGTTATAGGGACGACTACCAAGTTCACGAGCAAAAGGGATAGAAACGGGGTTTCGGAAAACAGAAGCTCAGACAGCGTGACGCTTTCTTTCTTGCCTAATATTCATATCCACTTAATGGCTGCAGCAGGTCCAAATATCCTTCGAACATGTGTTCGGTTCAGGACACGAATTTAGGTGGTGCAGATGGGATATACACCTCACAGTTGGTTGATGTGGGCATGACATGTTTATTCTAATTTTATTGGTTGAGTTCTGCACAATTTACTTTAAATATTTTTATGAACCTTAGCCCTACAACAATTAACAAACAAAATAATATTAATAGTTATTCTAAACTTTCAAATTTTCAAATAAGAACTGATTTCTATTTTTACAAATATACAAATACATATAAATTTTTCTTCACTTTAACTTAAGAAGCGGATTCCCTATATGAGATGTAAATATTGCCTATATTTTTTAGAGATACGTGGGTTTTTAATATAATTTATTGGTCTGAACTTGTTTTTTGTTTTGTTGAACAAAAGTTTAGTAGGTTATCATTAAACAAGTAAACAAAACCTTTAGCTGCTTTTTGGATGGCACTTTTTAAAAATTGCAATGAGCCAACGGAAAGTAATAAAAAAGTTACAGTACCGTCTCTATTGTTTGGTACCTTTGTCTACATTTCAATTTCGAATACACTCGATGGGCAAATTGACATTGACATTCATTAGGATGGACACTTTTCATCAAATGAAGATGATGAATGTAATGTGGCACTCGCTTGCTGGGCGTGCGGCATGCGTCGTGCCACGCCCCCTCTACCGCGTCCGTGTCCTCTTCCCCCGGCCCTTCCCTGGCCCATCTCTCTTCATCACATTTCGGGGAAGAAGACGGAGGCAGTGAAGCAGGACGAGTTGCGAGGCAGCAAAGCGGAAGTGCACGGGATGTCGAAGTTTGTTCTGTTACACTTACCGAAATTTTATTAGAAAAACAAGTTTTAAATTTTCGGTTAAAAACAAAAAACAAAATGTAAACAAGTTGTTATTTTTTATAATTTCAGTCCACTTTCCTATCTTTTCCTACTTAAATAGGGCTCATATCGTCTGAATTACGTGCAGTAAAGAAAGATTTTTAACTGTTCTTTTTATTTAAATTCTCAGTTCGTAGATTGTTAAAACTAAATATTAGTTCTTGTCTACAGCTACCTTAAAACGTGAAGATTCAAAAATGTGTTTACATTTAAAAGATACCCCATGTAATGTGGTGCAAGGAAATTGTTTTGAGTGTACTGGGAATTTTAGATTCGTGGTCTTACACCTGGCGCAAGGACTCGATGTAATGTGCAACCGGCCATGGCACACTCCATATGGATGTGGTTCGTGGGTGGGGGAGTCCTTAGAGAGGTGGGGTAGTGCTTCGAACCGAGAAGAGGGTGCCGGGGTTCAGGATCAAGGGGATGGATGAGGTGGGGTGGCTGGTTGTTTTCGGTTTTACATTGGGTTCGCAAGGACTCGACTTAATTGTCTCTAAATGGCTGAGCGCCTCGGATGGGAAAACGCGCAAATGAAAATGAGGAAAAACCGCTGACTACCTGCCTGGTTGGGTAATTTTCTCATTTTCTCGTTCAATGAAAATTCGCTGGCTGAAAATGAGAAAACTTCGCCGGCTTTTGATCTTTTGATTTGCTGACAAAAGTTTCTTTTTTGTATTTTATACATTTTTTATGCGATAATTAGGTTGCTCTGGGAGGGGGGTTAGGATACAGAAGTGCATATACTAGAATCTAGAACTTACCATTATGACTAGGGAGCTCGGCTCCTGGAACTCATTTCAAATATTTTGGGTTTTCGAAAACCTCTCCTGTGATTATTATCCAATTTTTTCTTGTGGGCTTATTGAGGGTCCTTTTTTTCTGGAGAAGTATTTCTGCTAATCCTTGGATTTTCCAACTGGATTACGACGTAGTAACGGGACCGGAAGGAAATGGCTAGTGTTTTGGACTTTTTTGTTGCTAGGCAACAGAGCAAAACAACAAACACACTAAAATAACACCGAGATCTGACATTATCCGGTTTTCTTTTGGATAACGAATGACTTTCACGAAATTGCAGGCAAAAAGGTAACTTTATACGGGTGTTTCCTTTTCTGCTGGTAATTATTGCACGTTTTAATAGGAAAAACAAAAAAAATAATAATTTGTTGCAGCCAGCAGCTGACAACAGTGTTGGTTAGTGCCCGCGGACAGGTGGCAACGCCAACAGCTGATTATTAAGTGTTGGCTTGTGCTTAAAAACCCCATTCACCCGCGAACGCAGACATTTGAAAGGGGCGGGATTTTTGAAAAGTTTGTTATTTCAATAATGATTTTGTTTTTTGAAAACTAATTTTAAATTTACTTTATCGGAATGCCATTGTCGGCAGGTCTTCTTCCGCCTTCAAGCAAACATAAACGATTGGTCGTAAATTGTTCGCTAAATAATTTGTTGCGAATTGCAATTTTAGCACATGCGATAATTAGCAAAGCAAGTAAAATAATGACGGGAATGAAGCAATAAAACGGCCACCTCTTACGTCCGCTTGTTTACTATTTTAGCCAGTCTTTTCCCTGCTGTCTGTGCTGCCTCGCTTTGCTTAATTAGCCAGGTAAGGCACTCAGGTGAGTGAAGTGAAGTGCACACGTGTTGCACATTAGCGCTGCCCGCAGTCAGCTAGCCATAACCTGGAATTTATTGCACTGCACTCGTACACCTATAGATCTGCTGCTGCGGATTGCATTGTGTTTTGTTTTATTTGTACTCAATATTCCTGTTTGGACCTAGTCAAGATAAATATTTTTGCGTCGTAAGCTAAGGGAAAAAGGGCGGAATCGGTGATCGGGTAGAAAAGGTGATGTTGTTAAAAGGTTTTATTAAAGATGAGCAATTTTGCTTTGTTTAAGGCTGAGCGGATATTCTTTTCACCCATTTCTATTTACTTAGATTTGTTATTTTCGAATCTTTACTTTTGGCTTCATAACTATTTAGACAGGTAAACTGTATTATCAGAAAATAACAAAATTCCTTAAAAGTGATTCTTGACAGCTCAGAAAATACCCGTGTCTATCATTAAAAACGTGACACTAAGACCCCTTTAGTTAGACATACTAAATTGTAAACAGTTGAGTGATTTAAAAATAATAAAAAAATGTACTGGTCATTGATGATTGAAAAGCTGAACGGAAATACCCTGTTTCTATGAATAAATATACATATTCTGAGTGGCAAGTGTGAGCTATTCTTCAATTTGCAAAAACAACTGACAAAAACGATGGCATTGCAAAGTTACTTTTGTCATAACTTGTGCTTAACAGTGTTTCCTTATATGCAAATAAAAATGTGCAAATTGTCAAATATGGGAAAATAAACAAAGGGGATTTTTTGCAAGTAACGAAAGCTATTAATTATTAAAGACCTGTATCTGACCAGCCACATTGGTTTTGTTACTCATTTCCGGGCATGTTATAGTAGTTATTCATAAGCTGCAAAATATCAAGATTACTAACTTTAGCACCAAGATGTAACCATTTTCTACATTTATGTATATTTATTTACTTTTATATCCGACTGAAAAGAATTGTTTCCAGTGCCCAACACTCGTAACCACAAGAACCTTTAAGTACCTACCAGAAAGACATACATTTAAGGCTGGATAGAGGGGAATGGGTGGTTTTCGGAGGCGCAAAACAAACGGGGACAAAAGGCAGGCGGACAGCACGTTTGTTGCTCCTCTTACGTGGCTGACAATCGTTCACGTTTAGCCGGGGGTTGCGAGCCGAGAACTGCGTCAAAGTCAGCTTTCAATGGCAGTTTAGTCCGCCCACGTGCATACGTAACCTGTTCGCTAACCTTTCCCCCAAAAGAGAGGGGTAGCACAAGGGTATCTCTGGGGGCAGCTGTTGCAGCATGTTTCGTGTCTTGTCGCCCTGCGACAAAAGCGTTTGTTCTTGCCGGCTTATCAGCCGCAGAGCGGCCTCCATGGCGTATGCGTAACGTGCTAAGCCCTTGGGCGTTGCAACATCAAAAACAGATAGAGCCAACAGAAATGGCAGGGAATCACAAACAGACACAGACTGCCCGGCGAGACATTGGCATTATTACAATTCGATTTTGACATTTCGGGCTTTAGTCGCACACGTCTGTAACCTGCATAACCCCTCACCCAGCTTTAAACTCGCTAAGAGCGTATATATCACATGCAAAATTGATTAATGCAAATGCCATTACAACCAGCAATTGTTCACATATCGCGATGTGCGAGTGTGCGCATATAATTAACGCCACTTCCTCCACGAGACCAAGTTCGACTTGGAAACCAAACAAAGGTACTCAAAACACCTCAAAGTACGGTTGATATTCCACAATTCAATTTTTAAATCAATTTCATTTAAATTATAAAAGAATAAAATACATTTAAGCCAAATTATGTAGATGATCTTTATTATTAAATGTATTGAGTTAAAGAAATACTTATTGTAGACAAGATAATATCCGTAAATTTGTCAGAGGAGAACACGTGATTAAGAAAATTTTTAGTTAAATTCTGAATTATTTTGGCAATGTAATTTAACTTTCTAGGTCGAGGTCCGACTTAAAGAATTTTGACTGTAGTTTTCAAAGTCCGGAGAGTTACAGGCGGCGTCACCTTTGTCGCACTCGTCGCCGCTTTTGCTGGCATCGCAGTCCCAATAGGAAATTCAAAACCCGCCTTTGCTTGATTTATCAACAGCAAACGCGACAACAGCAGCAAAAGCATTTACATGCAAAACGTGTAACAATTTGTAGGTTTTACATAAGAGGGCACTGGGAAGAAATAGAACTCGTAACCGTAAGCGTAAACAAACGCGAAATCAATTAAAAGTAAATTAAATTCATCGAAAGCTGCCTTGCTGGGGGAACAAATTCCACATGTGCTGTAAAATAATCCACAGATGTAACTTAGATGGCTTTATATTCTGGATAAGGTTAATTACATTTTATTGAATATTATTGAATTACAAGTGTTAAAATGTTTATTTAAGATAAATTTGTTTATAGCCAATATAAATTCATATTGAGTTCCAAAGCGGTATTCTGTGAATAATGTCTGAATAATAATGTTTTGGACAAACTTCTTCAACCTTTTATAGAAGGACAAGTTATACTTAACTTAAAAACAACAACCATTAAGGAATTTTAAAATGGGATCTTGTACCAAAGCAGTAAAAATTTCCGTCTACAAAGATGGATTTATAATTGCTTATCTATATTCAGTTGTCTACCAGGATTTATCCGTCGTCTACCTGACTTTCTTCTTAATCCGATCTACAAACATGTCATTAAACATGTAAACAAACAAAAAATACAGGTATTACACTTTAATCTTCTACTCTGTTATATCTTGAACTAAAAAATGAGACATAATAATATTAAGCTCATGGAAAAATATGGGTAATATTAAAATTTAAACCCTTGGGTCAATGAATTATTTGGAGCTGAGTTTTACTTATATTTTCCCCCATGTTTGTATCTATTCAGTAATTAATTCAGGCACTGTGCATGCATTTATTCCATGACTCGGCTGCTATTCACCTATAAACAAGAATATATAGTAGATATAGTAGGTTGTGTGTCCGCGTCTATGTATGTAAAGTAATTTTTTATTTGTCCAGCTGCGAGCGCACGTGTCGTTGCCCCTGTCCCTGTGTTCTCGGGCTTTTTATAAACATTTCTCGAGATTTCTAATCTGCATAACAACAACATGCAGCGCAGTCACAATGGCCAGATAGAAGTATCAGCAGCGGCCAACAATCGCAATTTGTGTTCAAATATATTATAGCTCTCAGACCCGTTCCACTTGAATCTGTTGTTTCGGTTTAATTTCAGATTATTTTCGTTTTTATTTCTATTTTTATTGGGTTAGTTCATCCTTATCAGAGCGTTTCTTTATTTTTGTTCGATTCCATTTTATTGCTCTTGATTTCTCCTCGACTTTGAAATTGAAATTTCGCATTCTGATAAGGAATTTTTGCTATTTCACTGTATTTGGTGGGCACGATTTGATTAAGATTCGAATTTTGTTTTGGTTTTATACTCAGTTCCATTTTTGTTTTATTTTTAGTGATATCAAATTAGGATAAATCACGACTGATGTTGATGCCACGCTCTATCTATCGCACACCCCTTTTCGATTAGCTCTGGTTGGTCTGCTGATCGCACCAATGTCGTTCGCACCTGTCCTAATTGGAGGTGCAAATTGCATGAGTTGGTGTGCGTTGCCTCACGATTATTTGTGGTTGTTATAATCTTTGATATGAGTTACTCAAGCCACAGTGGAGTAACCTTTTAAATCATTTATTGATCACCTAAATTAAAACAAAAAATTTCATTATAAACAGGTATATATAAATAAACAAAAACCTGTATGAAAAACAACCAATTTTGTCTCTCGGATTTTGGAATTTGATTATTACCCTGTGTTAAGCAATAGTGCTTCCGTTTACATTGTTTATTTAGCTTATTTCCACTTAACATTCCACTGCATTATTCACAAGTCCCACTTCACTGTGGATTTTCTAGATGTCTGCCAACAAAAGTATCTTTGAAATAGTTTCACCAGGTCTGGCGGTTGCAATTGTTGTCGTTGGGGTTTTCCTACAGCTTTCGTGATTAAACTTTGGCCATGCAACCGGGGAAAACTGAAGTACACCGTGAGTTAGGTAGATAAGCTGCTGAAAAACATATAAGAAAAGTAGAAAACAAGTACATGCGACCTGTCACACTATTTCAACTTAATTTAATCAAATTTTGCTGAGCAAAATAAGAACTTTCCTTGATGGTTGCGTTGCACTCCAGCGCCGATTTAATTTGATTTCGTGGAAACTTACGGACCCACGTAACAGTTTCGAGTAACAACACGTGACTGTAAAAACATCTGACCATGTGAGCAAGAAAATATATTACAAGACCGATAAGATTGCCCGGAGGGAGGGGCTTTATACGGCACATGAGTAACTCGAGCCAGTTTTTGTGTCTTTGCACGTGCCCTCCATCCGGGCGTATGGGTAATTTCCAAACGGGGCGTATACGTAACGCCGTGCAAGGCGACACCAGATGCACGTGCCGCAGTGCAATTAAACCGAGAGATCGGCTAAATGCCGAAACCAAAACAAAAACAAGCTCAAGACTTATGCAAGACCCCAGTACCGAATTGGGCACGTTTAAGTCGTTCGTCATTCGTCATCGCGGATTACGGATCCCAGATTCGGGGCTTACGGAGTATAGAGTACGGCTTACGGCCCGTGCCATTGTGTTGGTGTGACCTTTAGGGGCGGCTAAAAATAGCCAAGAGCCATTTAAATACAATCAACACGCTGGAAAGCCCAACACAAAGAAGCACAGTATTAATTCTTTAACAGACACTTAACTTATTTTTCAGTAGACAAAACTAACTAACTAACTAAAATGTAAGAAAATATTTTGATTTAGAAAAAATATGCAAAAACTTTTTTTAACTTAGTTACATTAGAAACCGAAAAAGTTATATTTGTGTCTTTTAGCTACCTAGCATATTATTTCTTGCTACGGAGCTCGGACTGTATAAACCACTGCAAAACACAATCAACAGCGTTTTGTAAATGCGAAAACATTTCAACAACACGTGACCAACAACAAACTTAATCGCTGCCCTGGTGTGTGTAAATGTGCGAGTTCGAGAGTGCGTGTGTGTGTGTACGAAATAGCTGACATGCTCAGCTCGCGTGAGAAATTACGTCATGCGCCACGAATTTTGAGTTGTTATTTATTATTTTTTACTTTTTTGTGTTTGCCACTTTCAACGTGTCTCGATTAAAAACGAAAAGCGGCTGGAAGACGAGGGGTAAACGTAGCGTATGATTATTATTTCGTTTAAAGCTCGACAACAACATCAGCCAAAAGTCGCGACTGTTGCGCTCTGTAATAAAAACAAAATGTCGGCCGAGCGGCATATATGTGTGTGTAACTGTTTGGCTACGCGATTGTTGTTGCCAAGCGGCGGTTATCAGCTCTGCTCTCTCGCTTTCTGCCTGTTTTTCTCTCTGTCTCTCTCAGCCGCCGCCCAGTTGAGTTGGCCGTTTCGCTTTGGAATTTGTCACGTTCACGTGTTTTATTATATGCCGCCGACTTTTGTTGTTGCTGTTTGCCTTGAGCTTCTGCGTCGTTGGTTTTTTTATATATGTATGTATGTACATACATATGTGCATATGTATATTGTTTTTTTTATTTAATGTTTTTTTTCTTTGTTTGCAAACTCTCTGTAACGGTAAGTTTGATGTTGACTCTCTCTTTTTTTTAATTTGTACCTTAGAACATATGGTGCGTTTAACCAAAACAATCCGATCGGTCAACTAAATGCTTTCGCCATATTATTCACACGCAACTAATTTATGCCTATCTTGCAGCAACAATAATAACGCACTTGGTTGTGTAAGTGCCGTGAGTGTGTGATTATAGTACGTGTAGTCTAGTCATCAAGCCCCCAAAATGTTTACAGTGGAACGGGTGGATCAAGAAGCCTTTTGTAGTGGGAATTGGTATTTTACTTGAACGGATTTAAAACTTGTCGTTTAAAAATGAGGGAAATTACACGTTAGTAAAAAGTTACACTGTTTGTTCGCTTTCTAAACCAACTAGAAAAAAGCGTTAGGCCCCCACTCTAAAGCATTCGGGCAACTAGGGCAGTACTTTGCAGGAATCCCCTGGGTAAATCTCCCAGTGGACTTTGGTGGCCATAAAATCAAGGGTTCAGTCCCACTGTGGCAATCACGTTCGCCGCGCACGAAACGCCTTATCTATACCTCTCCTCCAACACATGTTGCTCTCTATATCTATTTCTCGCTGGCAGCCAACGTCATTATTTTGGCGCTCTCGTCTCTTTTTTGGGGTCTCGTGCCGCTCTGCGAGTTTTATTCATTGAAATTGTTCGGGTTCAGTCCGTTAACGTTCGCGTAGCTCTCTCGGGTTCGCCGAGAGAATCTTCTTGGGTCTATAACCTTTTAGGAAAACGTTGTCCAAAAAATTACCAAAACGTTTTTTAACCGATTGGAAAAACGTTGTCCAACTTAAGCACCTCCAACGACGAAAAAGACTGCCAAATGGTTCGGGCAAAGTCTTTGCTTTGAACGGACTGACGGACCCGACGAGACAGCAGTATACTCCACCAGTGCCGCCCTGCGAGTTTTATTCATTCATTTCGATTTCGATTCTGTCTCTGGCCGCGAACGGACGTTTGGGAAAGTCTCCACGGTGCGGGTGACAGTGCAAAAAGTTGAATAAAAGAAATAAACCAAAAGGAGAGCGAGATAGCAAGCAAAAAAACAGCAAAATTAGCTGGAGGGGCAACAACAAATTTGATATAAATATATACGCTTGCTTTAATAGTGAAACACGCACACACACACGCACGCACGTTGTTCGCTGGCTTAAATGTATCTGTGTGTGTGTATATAGGCGACTGGTAAAATTCCACTGTGAAACGAAAGGAAGTTATTGTTTTTGCGGCTGTGTATATTAATAAAACAAATAACCAACAGCAGTGTGTGCATAAAATTCAGAAAAACCTAAAAACGTGTAAACAAAAATTAAACAAAAAAGCGGGCAGCACAATCACGTTTTTCGACATTATTTGTTTTTCTTTGTTTTTGTGGACTGCAAAACGGAGCGAGTGAGAGGCAGAGATGATCCAACAAGTTCACTTTAATTGAAGCTCCAAAAATAGAAGTACAAAAACGGGAGGAGAAATAAACGCGTTATCGTTATCGCACTCACACACACATAAACGGACACCCAGTGATAAGCGGGAAGTGTAAACAGGCGGTACATACTTATCAGCATTTTCCACTCGTTCCAACATAAATAAACACCCCGCTTCGTAATGCCATTCTAAATTTTGAAACAAATCCGGGACGTGCAACAGAAAAAAAGTACCTAAAAAACACACACATAACCCAGCTTGGAGAGAAAAGTTACTCGCCGCGCAGTGAATTCGCCGTCGCCGTTTGCCGACTCGACAACCTGTTTGCTTGGCCATAAATTCGCCCCGGCATTTATCTCACAATTATTTCTGCATTGACGTAAGGAGGAGCACTTCCACCATTCCACCGCAACTGCAGCAAACCACATCGACGCAGCAGCAGCAGCAGCAGTCGCATCACAATACGGTCATACTACCCAGGAGCGGATTCGAAGTCGAAGGAGTCCGGAGCGGATCGGGGAGGAGCAGGAGCAGGATCCCCAAAATGGAGCCCTATTGGAACGAGACGAACGGACATGCCACCCATCCGGTTAAGTATGAGAGGTAGGTATACTCAGCACAGATCTCCGAGATCCCCAGCTGCAAGTAAAAAGCCAAAAACGAAAACTAAATCGAAAAACTCACTTTCACCTGCGCGCGTTAAGCTTAAGCACACAGAGAAAAAATATTACGAATCTTTAACACCACCAAGGTAATTAATAAGGTCAGTGTTAAAACAAATATTACTGTTACCTGACTGTCTAATACAAAAAATACTCAAAGCTTATGATTTTGTAATGTGTTTTCTCTGCGAACTAATTAAAGGTTTAGTGCATCTAAGAATCGCTTTTAGTGGTTAAGCCTAAGTCTCTGCCTCCTTCTAAATCTTCTTCTTGTATGTGCGTGCTTGTCAGGATCGGGTGTGGACCATTTTGAATCAAGTGTGTGTGTGTGTTGTGTGGGCCATGTATTTTTAGCTGTCGAGCTAGAAAGCAATTTGCATTTGCAAAACAAACGCGAAAATCGGGCGAAGAAAACGTGGGCAGACTCTGTCGCGGGGCTATTCTTGGCCGAGATGGGTGCTTTAGTTTTGCTTTATTTCATCTTTATTTTTTTGTGTTTGCCAAAAGCCAGAAAACAAAACAAAATCCAACGCACGACTCGCCAAACGTGATGTTTCGTTGATTTTCCCTGGGAGTCTCCTCTCCCTCTTTCCATTGAGTTTGTGTTTTTTGAACTTGAATTTCGTTTAAACGTGTCCGAGTGGAATCGAAAAAAAATACTTTATGGTGATGTGGCCAGAGTGGGGATTATTAATCTGAGAAAAGTGGTGTGGCCAACGTTACAAATAAATCATATAAGCAATACGCCCAGGGGGTCTTATGCCTGTCTGCTAAATGTCAACGGCCAAAACGTGGCTATAAATATCAGTTAACAACGGCGTGGGACTATCCCCCTAGCTACTCCACTGATTGGCCATCTAGGGGGTGGAATGAGGTGCTTTTCACGTGCTTGTGTGGCTTTTCTGGCTTGTGGGTGGTCCGTGTCCTTTTGAAGGTCAACAAGTTTTGTGTTTCGCCCATGTTTCTGTTGGTTTTGCGGCTGTGTTTTTTGATTAAGCTTTATATTTGGCTATTTTGGTATTCGGTGACCACCGGCGCTCCTGGGAATGTTTTTCTCTATAAATACCCAAGGGCTAATCGAATGAACCGCTCATCAGAAATGCAGGTCCCAATTTGATTGGCCTTAGGTATTATTTTCGTTACGTTGTCGGGTTTTTTCCAGTTCGTTTTTGGGATTCGTTTTCATTTTGGACTTCTGTTTTGGGGGGAAAGTTTCTCACGGCTTATAATTACGTATACGTCACGTGTACCGCTTAACTACCCGTCTAGCCGAGTCAATTAACCGAAAAACAGCAATAATGACCCGAACTGGTTAAATATATTTTTAATCTTCGCACGAGTGATCAGCGCTGAAATATAATCAAAGTAAATATTATAAATTCGGTCTGCCCCTGCGGTGGAATCCTTATCAAATGGCACTTGGGGTAAACACGCGTCTTCGTCTTCATCGCGGCTGAAGTGTTTATAATTTGCATTACGCGCTGCCATCTTAATCAACACCAAAGTCAGCCATAAAAACGAAAAAAAAAAAACGGAGAGAAAACACAAATAGAGATAAGCAAACACGCGATAAAAAGCGAAACGGGCGTGACGCACAATCGCCCCTCGAAAAGTATCTATAAGCACATGTGTATCTATCAAGTGTCCAGAGTTGTCAAGCGTCAGTGAGATCTCGGGTTTGTTGCACGACGAGACAGTTGCTAAACCCTCCCACAAGAAAACAGAATACACCCACAAACCCCATTTAATACTCAACTGTCTCTCGTTGTTTTCGATTTCGGGATCTTGACAACGACGCAATCGATTTGAAGACCCTGACCCAGTGATTAGTGATATTTACAGCTTACAGCTCAAAAAAACGCAATGGAAAACTTTATCTGGAGCAGCATGAGATCTCTGAAAAAGTGTGTTTGTTTGCTGGCTACGTCTGTGTTACACGGATCCAAATTGGATTTCCTGTGGGCTTAGCAACTCACAGATGTTCAGCAAGACAACACGTCAAAAAATACAACAGGAGATGCCAAGATAAGCTGCGAAAATTGTTAAAAATACTACAAAACAACATTAAATTTTTTTTCCTTATTTTAACCACTAATTAAAAATACAGTTCGTGACCTAAATTGTTAGATGTTAATACTTTCATTACTTATACAAACCGTAATTATTGTGTTGATACGTGTAACAGTACTGGTAAAATGACATTTAATGAGTGTGCATATTTTAAAATGCATTATATAAAACATAACACTTACCAATTAATTGCGAAAATACCTTATGAATACACAGTTGGTCTTAATTTATGTGTTTATCACCAAAACAAATAACAAACGCATGCAGCAAGTTATAAATAGCCGAACGGAGTGTTATAAATTATATGAACAGATATATATCCGCCAGCGTCGAAATTGTTGGCGATCCTAACCGATCTCGATCTGGATCCGATCCGAATCGATCCGTTTCGTTCCGTTCCGTCGCCGGTCTTATCGTCATCGTCATCGTCCGTTCGGTTCGACGTCCATTGGCATTTGAGAAGCGGGCACGTAGTCGTTCACGTTCCATGCAGGCTGACCCCCTATAAACTCTTCGAAAACCCCCTGCTTACCCCGCCTTAAACCCCTCTTTGATTCACGGGCCGCAAACGTGCCGCAAATATTGTGAAACTCACATACTATGTATGCACGGATATGTGTGGATTTTCGTGGTTGCCGTGATTAATGCACTCAGCTCGATGGTTTTTTTGGGTTCGCTGACTCATGACCAGTGCATTTGATTGCCGCTAAACGATTTAAATAGATGGATTTGAGTGTCTTTTGACCCAGTTATGGCGAGTGCGGTCATTCATTTCAGCTGGGGAATGCGGATGCAGATGGGAATGAAAGCGGGAGGGGATTTGAAAATAGTTGCAGATCTGGGATGCCTGATTAGCGACGGAATTCGGAACGTACGTGTGAAAATTTGCATAAGTTCCTCGTAAAAATAGAAATAAATAATAATTAAAACTTCAAACTAAGATTACAATGTTTTAATGACTCATTTGTAAACTATAATTACTTATTAGTTCTCATGTTTAAAATGTCTAAAAATAAATCTGTAATTTTTAGCTATGGGAAATATTTGTAGCTAATTAATGCCTTTTAACTGCACCTGTGTTATTTTTAGTTTGGCTGTTCTGCTATCTTCATCAAGCCAGCACTGAATACACAAATTTATACGAGTATTTCATAAATCAGCCCCGTTTGTGTTTCACTTTCTTTGGAACAAAGACAGCTTTATCTCATCACCAGCTTGATTTGCAAATGAGCTGCGATACGAGATTTCCATTTGCACTTTTCCAGTGTTTCTTGAAAATACGCTGAAGCACCAATATGCGTAATAAACCAAAGGCAGCCGCCTCCAATTGGCCTCGCATGGCTCCCTGTATTTTGTATCTATATGTTTGTATAGTGTATCTTTGTGTGTTGTATCGCTGTATCTTTGCGGTTGTATCTGCTTATACTCGCATTGAATTGTTTTTCGCCTAGACAGCACGCCAGAGAGCAATTTGCCGGGGATTGTTGCCCTCGATTTCGATTCCATTTGCAAGCCCAATCCCCGAAAGCCAAACCAAACCCAAAACTGTTGCCAAGCAGTCCATTCGGCACGTGTACACGTTTGTGTTGGTCGAAATGATTGAAATGCGAATTTGTTGCGCCTCGAATTCCGCTGGTGCAGCAACAATTTCTGGTCTTTGCACTTTGGCCAAAAATGATTATATCACGTGCCCGGTAAGTCGTAGTTTTCGCATCTGAATATTCATGAGGTTTGTGTTTGTGGCATTTCCAGTTTTCGTTTTAGTTTCAGTTTCAGTTCCAGTTGACGGATTTCACGTGATCGTAACGCTCACCTGGGAGGCAGATGCCCCGCTGCACTTTAAGCGTAATTGATGCTAATCTAATCGACTGTGCTCGTGATACTGTGATACCACCTTATCAGCCGACCGACGAACTCAAGGTCGTCGATCAGGCGAGAACCAGACCAGTCCAGCCACGCCCACTTCGTTAATTAGACAGACAGACTCTTCTATGATTTATTTTTCTCTCCGCGAACTTGGCGTCATCGCCGTTTGCCGTTTGGTGTTCGTTGTTTCGGTTGTTTTCCACTCTCGCCCTCGGAGATTTCACAATTTGAGGCAGCGGCATCAGCATCGGCATCGGCAGCACATTTCCATTGCCCAATGTCGATATGGAAATTTTTGTGACACAGATCGGCGGCGGAAATTGTTGGCATTGAATGCCTCGATTGTCCGCCGTAAACATGTGAGTTGTGTAAATCATTACACAGCGACAAATATCAGAAATAGGGAATATTTCTTCGAAAAACATAAAATATTATTATTTTTTGACAATCTAGAAATATTGTTTATTTAGGTATATAAACAATTTTCAAAATTTAAATTAAAGATTAGCCCAATCGAATTTTTTAACATTGTTCAAGTGCGGAGTGTTGGAGTATCATGTTAATTGAATTATATTATTCTTCGTCTGTATATTTGGACACGAATTGGCCATTGTTATGCTTTTAGCATCACCAAAAGTAATATGAATCACTCCAATGAGTCAGCAGTAAATGACATTTGCTTTGAATTATCGTAAGATTCAGAGAGTGAGATATGACTGTTCAGATAATGATGAAACAAGTTTTTCCTAATCTAATCTTTACTAATTTCTTTCCAAGTATTATGCTACTTAATGGTGTATATTGCCTTGGAAAAACACAACATCCTAGAAGATTAAAAACTGCTAATAACAAGTGCTATTCGGTTTATTTCGGTTAGATTTTAATATTTATGACCAGGAATTACCAACAAAATGACCGAAAACAAAAAACATAATAAAATCGTGTCACGTGTAGACTCCAATCTAATCTGGAGGGCTCAATTACCCCTGTTAAGAACAGGAAATGGTTAGACACAAACTTGAATATGAATGGACAAGTTCAACGATATTGGGGAGCGTGTGCAAATTCTATTATACTTTACTATACGACGGCACATGGGGGTAATTATCACCAAACCATGCGTAGATTAAACGTGCCAGGAGTGCTCTTTTAGTTATTATACTCTATGTACGAGGGTATGGGATCCATTTGGGGAATGCTGTCCATGCATTTGGCAACCCACGGGCGACTGATCGGCGGAACTGTCGTCATGGCAGGGTCGCGGACTACCTGTAGATCTCACCCTCGTATTTCGGTGCCAATTACTTAATAGTGCGACAACAACAACGGCACATAAACGTAAACAAACGTAAGACACTTTGGTGGGCCAGCGCCATCCGAACTGGCGGCATTTTGCCAACATATTGGGACTCTTCGCAATGGCTCTCATGAATCAAGCGAGTGATTCTCGCTGACGTTCTCCCTTTTCTGCTCTTTGGCCAATGATGAAAAGTACGCCACCGAGTACACGCCCTGTTCACGGGATGGTTTGATCGCTTCCCGATGGCGCAGCCCCCCAAATTAGATGCGATTGATGATGGCAAACATTTCGGGGAACTTTGTCATCATTGTAAATTTGTTCAAGAACATGAACAACAGGAAATTCATATAATTATCTGAAAAGTGATCTATTTGATTGATAAAGCTCTTCGTTTAACTTTTAATGATAACATAGAGTTTACCCTTTATTTTATGAAACTTTTACAAAATAGAAACATTAATCTGTTTACCACAAATGTTATTTGTTTGTTTTGAAAGAACTCTAATAACCTTTTGAAAACATTAAACCCCTAAACTTCCCGCCATATGTGAAATGGAGATAAATATAGACCTGAGTGCAGTCAACCTGCAATCCAAGGCGATGCCACGCCCAGTCCAAATAACTTTATTTGCATTACTCATACGCAGTGTGCGCTGGTGGCTCGATAATTGGCCACGGTTTACAAATCGAATTCAACACGAAATTGTGCTAAACGCCGAGATGAAAACAAGTTGCTGGCGCCTTTTTGGGGGGAGGGGCCAGTCGGATAAACAAGTTCTAGGCGCCAGGGACTGGTGCGTTCTGGTATCTCTCGCTATATATATATGTATATATACGTAACATATACTCGATGGATAAATCACGCATATAGTATATGATTTGCGTTTGTTTGTTGTCGTCCGCTTATCGCCCAGAGCCATGGCACTGATTATTATTATTTCGCTCTTGCGGCCACTTTATTTTATTTTGGTTTTCTAGCGCTTTCTGGTCGCTGCTTATGATGTGTTTGTTTTGGTTCGAGAAATTGGCATTCAATGGGTCTGTAAAATCTCAAATTGTGTGGGTTTTCTCTCTGAGTTTTCTCTGTGGCGCTTGGCAACAGTTTTTATCGAGATTTTTGTTGATTTACAATATATGTTCAAGTTTTGCGCTCAGCTTTTTATTATATTTTTGTTGGCACATGGCAATAAAAACGTGTAGAGTCTAATATTAGCTGGCCTGATATATGGAGTGGATGTATGAAAACGTGTGGCTCTTTCGAGCGTCTGGCGGGATGAGTTCTGATAAATAACTTAAAAGCAAATGATTGTGCAGTAAAAGTGGATTTTACTACTCGATAGTCCACACTCGATCCTAATATATATTGTTCTATTAAATGTACTTGTGTAACTGTGAGAGAGGAAACTCCTGCCGGACTGGAAGATCCGTTCCGGAATTGAACTACGTATCGTATGCTAATCGTACTTTAAGGCATTTGCATCCGTTTTACTACAACACAAACCAAACAAACCGCTCGTTTGATTTTAGCCAAGCGACCACAGCCCCAAATCCAGCTAACTGATGGAGGGCTCATTGGGAGGCACTGATTGGATTGATTTTGCTGATCCAAAGCGATCTACTATATTCGAGTCGAGTCGACAACATTTAATCCTCTCTTCTCTCTGTTCCTTTGCAGCATTTATTTATCTTTATATCGAAAGAACAATAAATGAAAATCAACCACCACGCAACTAGTTTTAACACACTTAACTATTAATCCTAGGCTAATTAGCTTAAGTTACTACCTCTAAGTCAGGCTAAGTTATGCGCCTAATAAATGCATTACTAAAACGAACAAAAATTTGAACCCAAAAATTACCAACTAAATACGAATAATCTGAATGAAAAAAACAAAAAAAAAAAAAAAATACAAAACAAAATAATATAAAAACATTTTTGAACAAGATTTGGACTTATCTGTGTTTCTTTATCCTTCCCACTTCTTTTTGCATATCGAAACCAATTATAGCGAAGCAGCTGTCTCCAGTTTTCCTTATTGCACAGAATCTAGTTTAAATTTTTCAACATCCGCCACGGCATACAGCGAGGACGATGCTGAATATGCCACCGGAAGACGTAATAAAACATCGAGGGTAAATATTACAATTTTAGAGCGACCCAAAACTCGCGATCATTTTCGAATTTCGAACTCCTCCGAATTGAATTAAATATATATAAATCGAAAAAAAAACGAACGACTGAGACAAGATCAAAGGATCAAAAGAGCATTAGAGCAGCGCCCGGATGATGACCACGCCCACTAGCTATCACACACTCTCACCCACCACCAACCACCACCCACACACACGTGCAATGACCTTGAGCCATGACGCCGCCGCCATCGACGCAGCCGCCACTTTTGACCCTTTTTTATTGTTAGCCAAAAAATTACACAAAAAATTGATAAAAGAAAAAAATAAAGTGAAAAAAGAGAACCGAAATTAGCGAAAATAAAATGAAACTGAATAGCAAAAGAAAAACGCCTCTCAGCAGAACAATCATTATTTAGGCTAGGGGGTCTAAACAACCCGCTTGAAAACCCCTTAAAATGGGTTCTCATTCAACTCACTTAGTTAGCTAAACTAACCAGATCATTTTTCGTAACCTGTGCCCACAGCAAGATCCTCTGTCCCATCGAATTATTGAGAAGCGGAGACGAGATCGCATGAACTCCTGCCTGGCGGACCTCTCCCGCCTTATCCCGCCGCAGTACCAGCGAAAGGGGCGTGGTCGGATCGAGAAGACCGAGATCATCGAGATGGCCATCAGGCACCTGAAGCATCTGCAGAGCGAGTGCCAGCAGAAGGAGAGCGACTACCGGAGCGGCTACATGGACTGCATGAAGGAGGCGGCCAAGTTCCTGTACGACGTCCACATGCAGGACTTTTGCCACCGACTCTTGGGTCGGCTGCAGGAGCACATCGATGAGATGTTCAAAAGTGAGTAAACCCATCCATTTTTGGGTAAATCGATTCAGGATAAACTTCCATTAATTAAAGAGCTCAGCATTTATACATCTTATACCAATAAGCAATCTTTAAATTGACTTTCCTGATCAGTTAATTAGTAAATTCATATTTCCATTAATTTATTTAAAGTTGCATCAGTTATCTAGTTATTTTACCTTTAAGTTCTTTTACTTATACCCTCCCAAATCGATTTACCCAAGTGTGCATTTAGGTGATTCCTAAACACTTACTAACTTATCTAAATTCCTCTCCAGCGGACTGCTACAAATCGACGCGCAGCTGCCACATGCCGGACAATGTGAGCGCCTCCAGCGGCAGTCCCCACCAGGCGTACCACCCACCGCTGTGCCACCTGCGCGACATGCTGGCCACCTCGGCGTCGGATGTGGAGCACAGTCAGGACCACAACGACGTCAAGGATCTGAGTTTCCGCAATCATCTCAATCAGTTGCAGAGGAGTCAGGCGGCGGCAGCGGCAGCGGTGGCAGCTGCAGCGGCTGCAGTTACCAATGGCAGCTCGCCGGCCTCGAATGCGGGATTGGAATCGAAGGTTCCGCTGACCAATGGCGGTGGCAATGGCAGTGGAGCGTCGGCGGGTGACAATGTGCCCAGCAATTCCACGGGCAATGGAGCAGCAGCAGCAGCAGCGGTCGCCGGGGGAAACAGCAACAGCAGTGGCAGCAACAGCAGCAACGCGGCAAGTTCCACCACCTGTCCGCCGGTTGGAGGCAGCTGTGCCTCGAAGATCACCCCACTGGCCGCCCACCAGCAACCGCATCAGGCGCCGGTGATCACGTCGACGGCACCGCATCATCTCCACCATCACCACCACACGGACAGCAGTCACCACGACTTTGAGTCGTCGCGGGAGCCGATCCTTCACACCGACACCTCCAACATGCACTCGCCGCCGCCGAGGGATCTCCTCCTGCAACAGCATCCGCATCTGGCCCACAGCCACCACACGCAGGACAGCCTGATGTCCGTGCGCATGCGCAACTACTCGGAGTCCTCGCACGAGGTGGAGCACAACAACAACTACAAGTACAAGAACCACATCAAGGAGCGGTTCGTCCACGAGCTCCACGACGAGGAGACGAGCAGCGAACACTGCCCGGTGGCGGCGCATCTGCAGAGCGATCACTCCCACCTGCAGGCCTTGTCGGAGCACTCGAAGGATGGCACGGAGCCGGAAATAGCACCGATTATGGCCAAGAAGCGGAAGCTGGCCGAGGCGGCGGCCAATGGCGAGATTCCCCTGGAGGTTCACACGGAATCGAGCAACGCGGGTGCGAATTCCGCCAGTCGATTGGACAAACCGTCGCCCTCCTTCAATTTCAGCGACATAAAGGACATCAAGTCGGAGCTGCACAATGGCAACTCCAATTCCAGTCCACTCCTGGCCAAATTGAGTGCGGCAGCGGCGGCTGGTGGTCAGCTGAGCACTCCGAGCAGCACCACCGCTCCACTGCCACCGAGGCACTCGTTTACGGTGCCCATTTTTCGCGCTCCACGGCCAGGGAAACTACTATGTGCCCCTGAACGTGGACTACAATGCGCTGGTGCCCTTCCTCAACGGGATGGATTTGCTGGAGAAGAGCTACACCAGCATGCCCGTGGTGCATCCCATCAACATCAATGTGAACTTTATGCCCAGTTCACCATCGGCTTCGCTTTTGGCCGCCGCAGCAGCTGCTGCCGTGGCCGTTGGCAAACAGCAACAGCAACAACAACAACAGGCGGTAGTTTCAGTTGGAGGCGGACTTCCCCTGTCCACCAACTCACCAGCGGCACAAGCAGCTGCTGTTGCCGCTGCGGCGATGGCCAAGGCCAAATTGGAGCAGGCCATGAACCAGAGTTGGTAAAAGTTGGCAGACAAAAAATAAATAAACCGGAAAGAAAGAAAATCAGATGACGGGTCGCCAGATGGAACAACTCTACCTCAGTACTTCTGTGAATAATCATCAAATGATTAATCTCAAAACAAAAAACACTAAGCGACATCTGCGCCCAAGTATACAAAACAAAAAGTTATGGATGTAAAGGAATGGAGGAAAAAACTAATTCAGTTGGGGGTGTTTATTTAGTCTCTGGGGTTTTTGTTTTTACTTTATGTTCTGTTTGAAAAGAAAGTCCAATCATTTTCTTTTTGATTAATGTAATGCAAATGCACCTTTGACTTTAAAAACACAACATACCAACAATGTTTTTGTCTTTAAAAAAAACCCCTTGTGTTACTTTTGAATTAGTTTAAAACACAGAGACAGCCAGGAGCAGCCTCAAAGGCTGGGCACCTACTAGAGAAATGATTTCCAATTGCTAATTGCTAAATGAGGAGGGGAAAACAATTAGAGTAGCTAGTTGTTAACTATTTTGAACAAAGCATAAATGTCTATTACAGAGCATACAATGAAAACTACAAAAAACATATATCTTTATGTGTGTGCAAACCAATAGAACGTATATGATGCCAAGAGTCAGTCCCACGTAAAAAATCTAATGGATTTTAAAACAAAACTAAATGTGAATTAAATGTATTTTTTAGAGGTTTAACGTTTTTGCAATTTAAATAAGTGTTGTGGTTTCAAATCAGGTAGTCAGTTAGCCAAGTGACTCCCGTCGAACATACAAAGTAATCTATATATGTATACAAAAAAGATATATTGATAAATCATATATTAGTAAACCACTAGTCAAAGAACGTGAACGAAGACGTAAAGGAAAACAAAATGGGAGAAAAAAAAAACAAAATCAAAAAACTATTATATATTCTATGTGTAAATACTATTAGCAAGCAAATTGTCCTTTGTTTAAGTTTGTATTCTAGTGACAAATTATGTTAAGTTGGTTGGTTAACATGTGAAAAAAACAAAAAAAAATATTTGCAAAAAAAATCCAAAAAATTTTCTATTCAAAAGTGCACCCTGTTTCATTCTCGAAATGCGGTCCTATAGTTATTATTATTATTATTAATGTTATTACTACTGTCTAACACCTAAGTTGATTGTTTCTTTGTGTTTTCGTTATCAAACAAATTAAATGCAATTTGAAGATCTTTTTGTCACCTGTTTCCAATTCGAGCACCTCGATATTTTTGGTGGAACCCTCGGAATTGATTCTGTTTTGTAAGCTGAGCTTCATTGCGGCTAAACTGAAAGTTGATAGCACAAGGATTATTAATGTTTTATGACTCTTATTAATGTGTACGATTACTTTTACTGTACGGTACTGTTAATATAAAACTACGTTACTGTTTAATATATTTTATAAATGTATACAGATGTAATAAAAAATTCAAAATGAGATTCAAGTGCTTTTATTTTCGTGCAGAAAAATGGATAAAAAACGTAAAGAGGTTTGTGCACTTAGGGAAAATCTTAATCTGGGATTAAGACTATCGTGATGATTGTTTAAATGTGGTAACTGCAGAAATTGCAAGCGTTTTAAATATTTTTCTCAGGGTATTGTTTTTTCTTGATTATTCTCAAGGCAGTCTAGTTGATGTAAATCGAGGTATAGATTTTTATATCTGACGTTGCAGCAGATGACGTAAACAGTCCCTCTCGGCTTGATTTTATCTTTGTGTCAAGGAGTCACTTGTCGGCGTCGGAATGTTTTGGAATTTCCTCGGATATAAATGGTCGAATCACGTGATATCGCCTCAAAGAAAATAAAATTGGCTTGCAAAACAAGTTAGTCTGCTTAAAGTGGTCAAGCGGAGAAGTCAGCTTAAATATTTTAGCCGTTCGAAATGACAGGAGCTTTAAATTGGTGTTGTGTATGGAGTTTATTTTTGGTTGGAGTTGCTGCTGATATTTTAGACTGTGATTTCTTTGATACGGTAGACCTAACAAATACAATAAGATTCGAGAATGGATCCTATAAATACGAGGACCTCATTATTCCTGCTGGCCTTACAGGAGAGTATAATTTTACGATCCTCGACGATGGAAGCAGAATTTCATATCCTAACCACTTCAGAGGATGTGCTTGCAAGTTAAGGCCGTGTATTCGATTCTGTTGCCATCACAATAAATTAATGAGTGATAAGAGCTGTTCCCATGTTATAAACGAAGAGCTATCATATAGTTACGCTCTAAACATAACACTTTCTAATGGAACAGAAGTGAAAAGACATATTCTCAATGAAATGATTGTCCAGCATGAGCTTCCAATGCCTTGTAATACCCATTATCCTCTTGATGATCAACAGAACAAAGACGATAAGTGGACACTTTTTGAGGTTAAGTGGATTAACAAAAATGAATTTACATAACAACAACTTATTTAAATTTAACACTTCAACTTTTCAGAATGGAACTCTGTTACGACATTACGATAATGCTTTCCTCTTAAAGCAAGATTACTGCTTTCAGCCTTGGAAGTCGGAAACCGGCGAAAACTATTCCATTGTACCCTATAATTGTATCATAGAACCCCCAATGACCATGGCCTATGGTAAGAGAACTAGAGTTTTGAGAGAATTCTATTTAAATTATATTTTTTCAGTAAAATTAGTGTCCGTTGTGTTTATCGCCTTGACAATAGCAGTCTACTTGTGGCTACCAATGTTTCACAACATCCATGGAATGTGTTGCAGTCTCTATTTCACCTGTCTTATGATTTCCTTTATCCTCAATGTATTAAGTTCGTTTGGAATATTTGAGACAAGATTTATGTGTCTTATGAACGGTAATTTTTTATTGTTATAATAAGTAATTCTGTATCCTACAAATTTTGAACAACTTTCAGGTTACGCCGGATACTATGCAGTAATTGCCACATTTCTTTGGCTGTCGGTGATCAGTTTTGATCTCTGCAGTAGATTCGGTTTGCATCGGTTTCATGAACGTACTAGAAACATTGGAAAGGCTTTTTTTAATTATAATCTAATCGTTTGGAGTACTGCCGGCATCTTAACCTTAGTTATTGTTCTTGTTGATATATGTTTCCCATTTTCTGGAGACATTAATAATAGTTGTGTGCCAGCGGTCGGCGTGTATTCCTGCTGGATCATGAGTAAGTTTATTACTCATCCATCACATTTGCAATTGATATGTACTAAATCGCTTTTGCTTTCTAGCTGAAGGCTGGTCCGCAATGATCTACCTATATACTCCGATCTCCATATTAATTTTGTTCAACCTTACAATGTTTATTTTAACGGTCAAACATATTTATGAGGAGAGCAACCAAAGGAAAATTCTTGGACACTTCGAGGAAAAAGAAAAGTCAAGAAACCGAACAAAGTATGAGTATTATGTTTTTATTTTTTAATATTATACTGAATAATGTTTCTCCTTTTTAGTTTCACCCTTTATATTTATCTGTTCATCATCATGGGTGGTTGTTGGTTTTTGGAAGTAGTTGCTTTTATATGTGAAATGGACAACATATTAGCTCCTTTAATCCTTTTGAACGAAATTATAAACTGCAGTCAGGGCATTATAATATTTATGGTTACAGTTTGCAACAAGGAGTTGCTTAAAAACATCCGGGATCGGTAAGTTTTGCTATTGACAAAATATAATGGCTTTCAAAATTATTTTGTATTAGACTTTTTTCAAAACGGAACAGAGGCTTTGATTTTGACACTTGCACAATAACGCAAGATTGTCATCTGATGGATCCAGTGAAGTAAAAATGTATTTTCGCCTATTTATAAAATTTTCTTTGAATAAAATTTGTTTGGAAACAAGCTGCATAATAAATGTATATTTCCACATTTTAAATACGCATTATGTTTTTATACCCTTGCAAAGGGTATTATAACATACATAGTTCAAAAAGTTTGTACACTAATTCCCTAACAAACTGCATCAATAGGTAATATTATTATCAATCAATATTAGCAAATCGTTATTACTCCTTGTTTAGCTTCTAAGCATTTTGCTTGACATTTGTGAAGACTGCGAGGGAATATAAGCTTCGGCTCTCCCGAAGCTAGCTGCCTTAACTGATATCAATAGTAAACTCAAGTATCCTTGATTTTACAAAGAACTAAACCGGTTAGTTATGTACATATAAGCATATACATAATAATTTATCGCGTCCCTTTAAAGATTTTTCCTTTCAACATTTGAGTTTGTGATTGGATAAGAAGGCTATTTTTATTCCGAAGGCTTAATAGTGCAGGTTCTCACATTTCTTCTTAAACCAGTTGGAGCACAAAGCGATAATGTAAATGGTCGCTCTTTTATTGTATGTTTTGCTGTTGCTTTATAAAGTCGGTAGATCGGAGAAAATAAAATTATTCCAATGGAAAAAATTATTATTAAGTTCATACTCTTAAGTGTTTTTGTGTTCAACATCCAGTCTGAGGATATTCCGGGCTGTAATTTTTTTGATACAGTTGATTTAACGGAGAGTGAAAGGTTTTCGGATGGATCTTACAAGTTCCAAGATGTTTATATTCCCGCAAGTCTCACAGGAGAATATGACTACGAGATCGATTATGATGGTGATCGGTTTTCGGTAGCGAATCACATCCGCGGATGTGTGTGCAAATTGAAGTCTTGCATTCGTTTCTGTTGTCATCACAAAAGGATAATGGATGGCAATAAGTGCTCGAGGCATATAAACGGGAACCTCACCTACGATTACACCTTAAACATAACGCAAGTTGATGGAAAAGTAAAGCAGAAACACGTGTTGAATGAGATGATTGTGCAGCAAGAGCTTCCACTTCCTTGTGAAAAGCATTATATACTGGATACCGAGAGCAACGAGAGTGATCAGTGGTCTCTGTTCGAGGTGGGTTGTTATTAAGCATAAGACTTTCTTATACGTAATATAATTTTCTATACAAAAATATATTTTTAGAATGGATCCCTATTTCGGCACTACGATCAAATCCATTTATCAAAACAGGAATATTGCTTGCAACCCAATTTGTCGAGTACCAAGGGGAATCACACCCTAATTGTGGCCTTTAACTGCGTAATTAAGGCGCCCATGACAATGGCATATGGTGGGTTTTGAAAATTGTAAAAAATGGTTACCGAGAATTGATTTCCTATTACAGTAAAATCCTGTTCCGTGTTCTTTATGGCCATAACGATCGCGGCCTACTTGTGGCTGCCAAAATTCAGATCTCTTCATGGCAAATGCTGCAATCTCTACTTCACCTGCTTGGCTTTAACTTTTTTGCTGAATGTCATCAGTATGTTTGGAGTATTTGAACTTGGCAAACCCATTTGCTATCTCACCGGTAAGCGAATCTTATTTTTTAAATAAATATCTAAAAACTAATAAAAATACTGGATTCCAGGATATGCTGGCTATTTCACAGCGATGGCCACTTTCCTGTGGCTTTCTGTCATCAGTTTCGATGTTTGGAGAAGATTCGCGATGAAAAAATTTCAGGATTTCTACAACAACAAAAAGAGCGGTTTCTTTAATTACAATGTTATGGTGTGGGGTTCTGCGGGGCTTTTAACTTTCTTAATATTTGTGATAGATCTAAATGTGCAGACAACATCAGCTAATCCATACAATCCAAATGTGGGAAAATATTCATGCTGGATATATAGTAAGTTAAAACATAATACAAATCATTGTAACAAATGTTACTCATAAAGTAATTACTTTCTTTAGCCAATGCATGGTCGGCAATGTTTTATTTTTACTCCCCGTTGGCGATTCTGATAGTTATCAACGCAGTGCTGTTTTTCCTCACAACCAGATACATTTATTGTGAGAACAAGACCAACCAGCAAGTGTTAAATAAAAGCGAACGGCAGAGAAAGTCGAGGAACCGAGCCAAGTACACAGCAACATACTTTCTTTGATAAAGCGTACTAATTGCTTTGTTTTTCAGTTATCGCATCTACCTCCGACTGTTTATCATCATGGGCGGAAGTTGGTTCCTCGAAATCATTGCCTTTATATGCGAGATGGAGGAAGTTTGCAGGCCGGTGATCTTGATAAACGACATTTTGAACTGCAGTCAGGGAATGATAATATTTATGGTTACATTTTGCAATCAGGAAATGATCCAATCGATTCGAAAGCGGTAGGTTGCCTGGCAATATTTATCTTTAAGTAGTTATCATGCACTTAATCCCTTTTCAGCATCCAAAGCATGGAAAGTACAACTACAGACTTTACCAGTACAAGCCGACCTCAGGATTCGGAGCAACTAGGCGCAGTGGAAATGAGAAATTAAGGAGAGTAAACTTATTAGTCATTTAAGGACTCGACACTTGATGATTATCTTGAAATATATTTCTAAGGTTTAATTTTATCTTGAAATATAATTTCTTAGATGGATTACAATTGTATATTTTCGACACGCCCTTTTAATCGGGGGTTGCCACTAACTAAATCGATACTTAAATTAATAGTACCGAAGATTGAAAGGTTTTGCTAACTAATATTATAGTTAATAGTTGAATCGAAGTCTCGAATATCAAAAGTATATGTATGTAGTATTCTGTGTAAGTATGAGCAATGGGTCTTAAAACTAGATTGTAGTTTACTTAAATGACTTCAGTCGAAATTAGGACGCGTTTCAACCTTTTGAAAAAGCGTTTCGTTGCACTAATGAAGGTAAAGTTAACTAAGACTAAATACAGCACACGTTGTTTGTGTTTAGAACTGAACTAGATGAACGCAACCTTAGCGAGTTTTATGAACTAATAACGCTGGTCAAATTAATTGTATCCGCTAACGTGAAAGATGTATTAAGCAGAGCAAAGAAATAATTCCAGTTAACAATGTGCTCATAGCGTCTCATGATTTGTGCGCTTCAAGTGGAACTCCACCATGTTGTCGAGATCGCTGATGTACATCTTGGACTTTCGAATGTCCGAGGTGAGCACGCGGAGATTGGAGGTGTAATCGGGCAGGTTGAGTCCCAGACCTGCGGCCATTTCCTGTCCCATCTTCTTAGCCATCTGGGCGAACGTCAGTCGCGCTTTTCCCAGCCGTTTTAATGGACTAAACTGCTCGTGCACCTCCCTTAGTTCGCCATAGTCGAGCACCTGCCACTGCCCTGTCTCCATGTTCCATGTGAACAGGATGCGGCACTCGTACTGCCTTTTGTGGAACGCACAGTCCATCCGTCCAGTGCAATGCAGGCAAATAGCCATTGCCTGATCCCGCGCAGAAAACTGGGCCATCAGCATGCAGCCGATCGTCTGACTGAGTGGACACACGCTGATTACCTCGTAGGCCCAGTCGTAGAACACGTTGTAGATCTTCTGGTTCTTCTGGCACAGCATACTGATCACATAATACGTGAAAGTCTCCAGATCGAAAGAGTGCTGGGTGATCACCACGCTGTTGCAGCGCAGCCGTTGATACGAAGCTTGTGAGATCATCTGCATCTCCGAGTAACAGGAACCGTGAACCTCCATTGGCAGCGAGGTGTGATAGCCAGGCGATATGCAGTCGTCTGAAAATTAAAGCCAATTATTAACCATATTTTCCATATTATTATGAAAATAATAGCATACCTTCTTCACTAGTAATCACGGAGGTCGCATCATCCTCTTCCACATAGCGTCGTCTTAGCTTTTTGGTGCACACTGGTTTTTCCGGCATCACACCGCCCTGCACTGGCATCTCTACAATTCTTGGCTCATCGCGACGTGGCGACAAAAACGACATTCCAGCGTTTGGAGACATGGAACCGCCAATCTCAAATCGCTTGGCCAGGGACACCTGGAGCGGAGAGAGAGCTCCGAGCGGACCCACTGGCTTGTAGCTGAGCATTTGCTGTGTGGCCTGCGACAAAGGCGGTGATTTTTGATTAAAGAGCGGGGCCGAATTGGCATTGCGACTGGGGGAACGCATCAGCATGGAACTGGACGGCGGTGAACGGAATCCCAGATGAGGGGGCGTCTGTGCCGGCTGCGAGGGATGTGGCGAAGAGGAAGGCGAGGCGCAGGGCGAGTTGTGAAAGAAGTGCGCCGTGGGCGAGAACCGATGGAAGCTGCGAGGAGCTGAGGAACTGGCAGTTGTGGCATTGAAGGCACGACCCGCCAATCGCACCTTGGTAAAGGGTATTATATTCTCCGAGTTGTCCTCCGAGAACTCGTACTTCTTCTCAGCCAAACGTCGCTTGCGAAACGTGGAGATCTTCTCGTACTTCTCGTTGTCCTCCGAGAATTCATAGGCATTCGATTTATCCGTCATGGAACTGGAACTGGGCGGGGTCTGTAATGAGGGATAATTATATATATAGTTCCTTTAATAAACCAATTAAAGATTAACTCACCTGTAAGTCTATAGTAGTAATGCCATTGCGGAACTTTGTCACTATTCGCTGATTGCGCCTCCTTGGCGGACTAGCTTCATTGGCAAGAGGTTTTGTGACCGGTAGAGTGGTGTCCGGTAGACTCATACTATTCAAACCCGTGACCACAGTGGGACTGCAGTGCGGTGTAAAGATTAGCTTCTCATATGCCTTTGGTGAACAGCAAACATTGGCCCCGCCTTGCACTTCGTTGTTGTTTATGTTATGGTTATTGCTCTGCTGACTGGAGCGCTGTGAGTGTTCACTTTCAATGTCGCTAAAATCTGCTATGATGCGGGCAACCACGCTCTGTTCGTTGGCGGATCCCGCCTCCGATCCGGCAGCCGAAGAGCGATCCTCCTCGCTCGGAATCATAGTTCTCGGAAGCAAGAAGGACTGCGATTGCGACTGCCCTTGCAAGCTGGGCAAGATGAGGCTTTGTTGCGGCAAGAAGTTGCTGCCCGATGTCACGACCGGCGTGTCCATATCGATGCGCAGCATGTGCATAAACCCATTCGAGATGATCAAAATGCGCTCCGGGCAAAGAAGATTGATCTTCGGCTCGAATACCGGATCCGTTTCCGTTGAGGAGTATTTTGTGTGCACGGTTAAGTGGCAGTTCAGGCAGTGTGAATTGTAAAAGGAATCTAGTGGTTTACAAAATGTATTTTAGTTTTTAAAAATAACTTATTAACACTTACATGGACCGTCGTCGTTAAGTTTCTTGCACTCCAAACAACCCAATTTAGGAACTTTAACATATGTAATATAGCTGTCCTCGCCCTCCTCCGTGGCAGCCCCATGTACAACTAGGATCTGGTGCTGCGCGTTCTTCCACTGCGTCATGCTTACAGTCTTTGTGTTGTCCACCATGTGATCATCGAAGAGGCGACGCGAGAAAAAGTAGCGCAGTCTCTTGTTGGGTTGGAACAGCCAGAAGTATAGTCTATAAGGAACAAATAAATATTAAAAAGCTGATCCTTCTTTCTTTTCATATTAATCGGACACCTACGTATACTTATAGCCCATGTTGAAGGAGTAGTGATTGACTGAGGAGCTGTCGTTGCACACCACGCGATGACTAAGCATGTATTGGCCGCAGGAAGTTAGTCCCATGAATATGTGCCTATAAGGATATTCGTGTTAAAGATAGTTGATTTTAAAAGGAAAATACCTTACCCCTCCATCAAACTGCTGGCCAGCACATCTTTGAGGTATAGCTTTAACCTATTTGGCACCCTGTCGTAAGGAAGCTGTTGCTTTTGGCCAGCCCGCGGGGAGCCTGAGAAGAACCCAGTGCGCTGGGGTATAATAAATACAATATCATGTTACAAAAGATTGAATTGTGGTAGTGTGATTGGGTATAATCTAAATTAGTAAATTTGAATCTCCCAGAGAGCAGCAAAACTTATTTAAGAAGCTCTAGTTGTTTTAAATAGAACGAAATTAATATGTTTACTTGACTGTTTGACCGACTTTTAGTCTCTTTAATGTGACAACTTAGATCTCTTAATGACAAGAAAACAGTTTTTGCGGGTAATTTATTATAATGCCTTGCATTCCAATATTTACTCATCCTATAGCAAATAATGATATGTATGTTTACAATTTATATGGAAGTCTTGCGCATGCCTTCCTAATTCCTGTCGGTTATACTACCCATACATATATCCAATAATATAAGCTATACTATAGGCACCTTTGTACCTTCGATTGATTTTTACTGGGTATATATCATTTTGATATTTCTCTTAACTTGCTGAAGACCTTGAACTACAAATTTGACCTCCTTTTCGAGTATTTTATCGTGCCCTTTTTTACTGCTACCTTTGGGTACTATAGACACCAGATATAGGTATAGAATGACCCTGAAACCCACCTCCCTGTCGTAGAGCATCTGCACCAGATTTCGTGTCCTTGGGCCGGACGATGGCGTGGGAGTCGGCTCCTCGGAGGACTCGTCCGAGCTGTCCACCGTGGAGAAGTCGTCCTCGTCGGAGGACACTCCCGACAGGGACTCCACGTAGTTTTGGTAGTCAGTCTCCATATTCCAGATCGCTAAAAATCAGACTTAATTTATTCCTCCTACTGACTCGCCTCCTGAAAGTCGGTCACTATTGCGGCCGAAAAGTGGCTGAGTCCTTCGTCCTAGCGCCTCTTCATCGGCTGAGCTAAGCCAGTGGCTTTCATCGGTCTTAGGCTTTTTTTTTCCTCTGCCTGAGGCTTCCAGAATTACAGCATTTTCGGGTTTTTTGTTATAAATAAACCGACTTTTTGCAATAAAATTTCTATCTTGGTGTGACCACACTCCAAAATTTCATCCGGCTCGTGTAAAGTACTAATTTATGCCTTAAAAAACACCGCGGGTAGCTAAGATTGTCGCCATCGTGGGTGATGTCTGTGCTAATGGGCAAGGATCTTAGGACAAAGGTTAGCAAAGATCCTTTAGCATAATAAAACCCGCTAGAATTAGTGAGGATCCTTACCAGTTGGCGCCAAGTTATCGATTACAACTGCCAAAAAGGCGGTTTATTCAAATATACATAATGTGCACAATGTTGAAAAATTGCTTTATTTGTTGGGAGACACATAAATATTAAGATTTGTGATTACTTGTTAGAATTATCTTTGCTTACAAGGGCAAGAACGTTAATAAATTTTGAATATTAACTACCATAAGTAGTAGTTCGAAATCGACTTTTTTCTTCCCCATAAAATTGAGGTGATGTAAAACAAAATCAGCTATATATTAACCCAAAACAGAGGCCGCAGGTGACCCAAAATATACGTGCTCCAAAACCCGGCAACGTGATTGAGTGTTCATTGACCCCTCACACATAATTGTGGGTCAATTCGTTTGCGGAAGCCACCCGAAACCCCACCGCAACCCCCGATATAGCCGATCCCACCACCGACGTTGGGTTCAGTGCGCCGGGTTTTTAGAAGCCGAACAAAGTGCAGCCACAAAGAATCGCGGAGCGGGCTCCACAATTTTTGGTAATTCGGCATAAAAATGTCGAGCATGCCAGCAAAACAGTGAGCCAATTGCAGCGATCAGCGAATTTTGGCAATGGAAATTCGGGCCAGAACCGATCGACGATCCGCGATCAACCATCGAGCAGGAAACCTGATGCGCTGGCAGCGGCCATTGAACGCGACGGTGCTTATAAGAGCTGGATGGCCAACTCTCAGGTTTTAGTTCTGGAATAGTACGTGTCGCGTTTGGTATCCACATTTACCCCTTTTGAAGAACCCAGTGGAACTCATTTGTGCAGCATTGAATCGGAAACCCGAACGCGTCCTGTATTTATATCGAGTTATCTAAGGAAATAGTAGCCGTGATTTTACCCAAGATTATTTCACATATCACAGTTGCTGTTTCTTTTAGATAGCTCTTTTGTAAGCAGCCTAGATTCGAGTGTGAATATCTGTTTGATTTGAATTGATCCTGCAGGGATGAAGGATCCACGGTTTCAATTTATGGGATACACACAGTTCAGTTTTGTCACATTCCAAGCATCACTGGGCTTTGTTTATCTCATGAGAGCGAAATTTGTTCAACGGAATACAAATCTTCAATGTATCCTGAAAAATTAAAAGAATAGCTTTGCTGTCTTGGATAAGATTCTCTCTGAACATGTAAGTTTAAACAAATGAATATCGTTAAACGAAAATCGAAGTTTTGTTCTAGCCAAATTAAATCCCAGGAAAAGTTACTCTTGATATTAAAAAAAACTATATTATTACAGAATATTTGTTATTTAATTACCAAGATTTAAGTCTTATTTTATTGGTTTGACCAGGTTTGGGGAAGCACCGCCACAAATGAAAAGCTTAGGGAACTACAATTTACAGTGTAGAAATGCATGTGGAATATACAAATAAGAACAAGATAAAATGATGTGCTTAGGCGAGCATCTTGCGGATCATGTAGTTCAGGATGCCGCCGTTCTTGTAGTAGGTGATGTCCACCTCGGTATCGAATCGCAGAATGGTCTCGAAGATGGTGCCATCAGCCTTAAAATTGGATATGAAAGAATTATATTACAGATCAGGAATAAGTAGATTCGATAACTTACCTCCACTTGGATCTTCTGACCCGGCTTCAATCCACTCTCCGGCAGAGCAATGTTGTACACCTCGCGACCAGTCAGATTCAGGGTCTCGGCACTCTGACCAGGAAGGAACTGCAGGGGGATGATGCCCATGCCCACCAGATTGGAGCGATGGATGCGCTCGTAGGACTCGGCAATCACCGCCTTCACGCCCAGCAGGAAGGGACCCTTGGCGGCCCAGTCCCTGGAGCTGCCGCTGCCGTAGTCCTTGCCCACCACCAGAACCAGGGGAGTGCCCTCCTCCCTGTACCGCTCGGCGGCATCGAAGATGTCCAGCTCCTCCTGGCTGGGAATGTGCACGGTGCGCGGACCGGTCTTCGCCACCAGTTTGTTGACCAACCGAATGTTGGCAAAGGTTCCGCGCGACATGATGGCATCGTTGCCACGTCGCGATCCGTAGGAGTTGAAGTCACGCGGCGTGATGTTCCTCTCGGCAAGGAAACGGGCAGCCGGCGAGGTCCTGGCAATGGAACCAGCGGGCGAAATGTGATCCGTGGTCACGGAATCGCCCAGGAAGAGCAGACAGCGCGCCTTCTGGATGCTCTGCAGCTTGGGAAGATCACGGGTCATGCCCTCGAAGAAGGGAGGACGCTTGATGTAGGTGGAGTCGGCGCTCCACGAGAAGAGCTTGCCCTCGGACACCTGCAGGGTCTGCCAGTCCTGGGAGCCCAGTTCAATCTTGCCTGAGAATGAAGAACTTCTTTAAATAATTCATACAGGGAGAAAGAAAAAGGAGTACTTACTGTACACCTCCTGGAACATGGCGGGAATCACGTGCTTGTTCTCCACCTCCTGGATCTCCGTTCGCGTGGGCCAGATGTCCTGCAGGAACACATTCTTGCCGTTGGCATCCACTCCCAGAGGTTCCTTCTCGAAGTCAATGTCCACGCGTCCTGCGATGGCATATGCAATGACCAATAGAGGACTGGCCAAATAATTGGCACGGGTATTCGGGTGAATGCGACCCTCGAAGTTCCTGTTTCCGGAGAGAACACCCGCGCAGACCAAACCGTTCTTCTCGATGGTGTTCACCACATTCTCCTCCAGGGGACCGGAGTTACCAATGCAAGTCATGCATCCGTAACCCACAATATCGAAGCCCAGCTTCTCCAGATAGGGAATCACTCCGGATTCCTTCAGGTAATAGGTAACCACTCCGGAGCCAGGAGACAAAGAGGTCTTGATGTAGGGCAGGATGCTCAAGCCCTTCTCCACAGCCTTCTTGGCCAGCAGACCTGCACCCAGCATCACCGAAGGATTCGAGGTGTTTGTGCAGGAAGTGATGGCTGCAATTACAACGGATCCATGTTGCAACTTGTAGGTCTTGCCATCGTCCCACTGGAATTCACCAGAGGCAGCCTGAGCCTCCGGAGCAATGGCGAAGCCCTTAAAGCCAACCTGAGGTAAGGGACAAATTATTTATTAATTGATTAAATTTTTAAACTTATATGAAAGGTTAGAACTTACTGGGTTGGACAAGCAGGACTTGAAATCCTCTGGCATGTCGGATACGGAAACGCGATCATGAGGACGTTTGGGACCCGAAACTGAGGTGACCACTGTGGCCAAATCCAAGGTAATGCTCTACAAAAATTTAACGTTTTATTAAAAGCTAAAATTGGTAAAATGTGATAAACCAACCTGAGTGAATTTGGGATCTTGCGACTCATCAGCATAATTGCGCAACTGCTGAGTTGCCTTCAGATACTGACGAATGATGTCGATCTTTTTCTCAGAGCGATCTGAAAGAGGTTTTTTAAATAAAAACATTATAAACATTTTTTAGATAGTTTAAAGATTTGCCTTACTGGTTTGCTTCATGTAACCCAAAGTGTTCTCATCGATTGGGAAGTAACCCACAGTGGCTCCGTATTCAGGACACATGTTGCTGATGGTCGCCCTATCCGCAATACTGAGTTCCGCCACTCCAGGTCCGTAGAACTCCACGAACTTGCCCACAACTCCCAACTGACGGAGGTGCTTGGTAATGGTCAGCACCAAATCGGTGGAGGTGACCAGCGGACTCAGTTTTCCCACCAACTTGTAGCCAATAACCTCGGGCAGCAGCATGGAAATGGATTGTCCCAGCATCACTGCTTCAGCTTCGATGCCACCAACTCCCCAGCCCAAAACTCCTAGTCCATTGATCATCGTGGTGTGGGAATCAGTGCCCACCACACTGTCGGGATACAGGATCTTGGAGCCATCGGTGGTGTCGTTTTCGAACACCACGCGGGCCAAGTACTCCAGATTCACCTGGTGCACGATTCCAGAGCCAGGAGGCACGATCAGCATGTTGTTGAAGGCCTTGGCTCCCCACTAAGTATAAAAACCAATCAGTAAAATAACAATTGATCAGGTTGTTTAGGAAACCTTACCTTCAGGAAGGTGAATCGCTCCTTGTTGCGCTCAAATTCCAGGGTTTGGTTCTTGGTGAGAGCGTCTGGAGTCCTGGCAAAGTCCACCTGAACAGAGTGATCGATGACCAGGTCGGCGGGACAGATGGGATTGATCTTCTCGGGATCGCCGCCCAGGTCCAAAACAGCATCACGCATGGCAGCAAAGTCCACCACAGCAGGCACTCCAGTAAAGTCCTATAAAAAAATTGTATTAAATATAAATCAAATTTATATAAAATTGCTAAGGGTTTTCCTTTTAAAACTCACCTGCAGGATCACACGGGCTGGCTTGAAGGACACCTCCACATCGTTGGATCCCTGCTTGAGGGCAGGTGACCAGCCCAGGATGCTCTGCACATCCTTCTCCAGGATATGGAAGTTATCGCAGTTACGCACCGCCGACTCCAAGAGCACTCGGATCGAGTATGGCAGCTGATCTGCAAGTGGTAAATTTAAAGTGTTATTCAAGAACATTTCTTCTACAAAAACTACAGTAAAACCTCCCTTAACTAAATAATTATGCTAGATAGATAGACAGAACTCTTACTGATATTAAATGGTTGGACAGAACTCATTTGGAAAAAAACACAATTACGCAAATACAACTAAAAATACTATCAATCATAAAAATGCTTGAGGTTTATTTAAACTTCCTTTTAATTATATTGTTTAACAGGCTTTGCCAAGTCATAATGAAATAAAAATGGAAAATCACGTTTTCGTATCTTCGTGATAAGAACTTAATTATTATACAACTGACCTAAACCTGTATATAGAAATATAAAATAATAGATTATTTAAACATTAAACGTTAAAAGATGGTAATTGAAACTAACATTTTTTTGGCTTTTAATTCCAAAATAAAAACATGAAATTATTCCAACCTATATTGTTTCCATGGTAGTTGGAGATTGGAGGTAGGTTGTTATCACAGGTTGATTGCGTTTGCCCAGCACTCGATGGGACAGATAGATAGTACTACTTATAAAGTGGTAGCCATTGGAAAAGCCCTCACCTCAGAGTCATGATTTTCGGACACGCGCCGCCCCAACGAAAACATTCCACTGATCTGGAGATATTTCGGGAACCGCGAACCACGACCCCAAAACAGCAGATGTTCGTAGTTTTAATCCGCTGATAAGTGGGCACGCAGTATATAGAAATAAAAATGGAAACGAAATTGGGAGGCAAGCGAGTCGTTATCACCGGTAGACGAGCCCCATTATTAAGCAATCACCGGTGATAACTTTCGCTTTCGGTGCGAGACGAGCTTCACTAGCTATATATTATAGAAAAAACTAACGAAAACCTACTTAAATCTATGGGAGCACCGGATCACCTTCCAATTGACACCGCCTGACTTGCAAATTAAGGTGTTCACTTGGTTTTATTTTCTTTTTTTCTTGGGGTCAAACTCCAACTTCAACAGGTGCTCTCTTTTAGTTCCCAATTTAGCTCTGCATATTTGCTGCCTAGTTAAAAACCTATCTGTTACCACGTCGACAGACACTCCCACTTTTTGGAGCCTTTCTCAGATGCACTTACCATACTTGCTGTCGATGGAGGCGAGGTCAAAGTACTTGTAAGTTGTGCCGGCCTGGGAGAAAGTTTTCTCGAACTGAGCGAAGGGATTGGCGCCTGCAGTAGAACAATGTCGTTATATAAGCCCAAGGATTTGGGAGGTATACACTCTAAGGGATCCAAGAACTGGCGGTCCGGAGTGGTAACCTACCTGACATCTTTTCGGGACACTTTACTGAACTTATTCCGGACGAGCAAAGCAAGAAACTGAAGTCGAGTAGGAGAACTGGTCAGCTTTCGGTATATATCGATAGCTAGCGATGGCAACCCACATCGCCACTCGGATCGGGGGAGTATTTCTTTAGCGCGCATTTTTAAATTTACGTTTGAAAAGAACATACTATACTTTAAGCGGTTTTATAAGAAGTTATTCAATAGAATACGATATTTTTTATGTTAGTGCTGCATCACAAAGATTTTTCTATTTAATTCAGTTTCATTTACAATATACAACAAATAAATGCACATAAATGCAAAGATAACATTTAGGCCAACAACTTGCGAACCATGTAGTTGAGGATACCTCCGTTCCTGTAGTAGGTTATGTCCACATCGGTATCAAAACGAAGAATAGCTTCAAAGACAGTGTCGTCAGCCTGAAAAAAAATTAATTGATATTATTTAATGTTAAGTACAATATACTTATTTATTGAAACGGCTACTTACCTTAACCTTGATTTTCTGACCAGGTTTCAATCCACTTTCCGGCAGAATAATATTGTAAACCTCATGACCATTGAGCTTTAAAGTCTCAGCATTTTGACCAGGCAAGAACTGCAAAGGAATAACGCCCATGCCCACCAGGTTGGATCGATGGATTCGTTCGTAGGACTCCGCAATGATGGCCTTAATTCCCAACAGACAAGGACCCTTGGCGGCCTAATCCCTCGAGCTTCCACTGCCATAATCCTTGCCAGCGATCAGAACCAGAGGAGTGCCCTCCTCGCGGTACTTTTGGGCAGCATCGAACACGGGCAGTTCCTCCTGGCTGGGAATGTGCAAAGTGCGCGGTCCTGTCTTCGAAATCAACTTGTTTACCAAGCGAATGTTGCCAAAGGCTCCTCGCGACATGACGCCATCGTGACCACGTCGAGTTCCATAGGTATTGAAATCCCGAGGAGTAACATTATGGTCGGCAAGGTAACGAGCGGCCGGAGAGTTCCTGGCTATCGCTCCAGCTGGAGATATGTGGTCCGTGGTGGTAAAGTCACCCAGCAACAACAAACAACGAGCGTTTTCGATATTCTTCAGTTTGGGAACATCGCGGGTCATGCCATCGATAAAGGGAGGACCCTTGAGGTAGGTGGACTCGGGATCCCAGGAAAATAGTTTGCTATCTGGGATCTGCAACGACTGCCATTCAGGGGTTCCCTGATCAATCTTGCCTGGATACAAATTAATAAAAATATATAACCATGAACATATATACTATAGTAGTACTTACTGTAGGTATTCTGGTACATAGCAGGAATAATATGTTTATTTTCACATTCCTGAATCTCCGATCGTGTTGGCCAAATATCGCGCAGGAACACACTGTTTCCATCGGCATCCTTTCCCAAAGGTTCCTTCTCGAAATCAATATCCACTCGTCCTGCGATGGCATATGCGATGACCAACAGAGGATTGGCCAAATAATTGGCACGGGTATTCGGATGAATGCGCCCCTCGAAGTTCCTGTTTCCGGAGAGAACTCCTGCGCACACAAGATTATTGTCCTCAATGGCGTTTACCACTTTTTCGTGAAGGGGTCCTGAGTTTCCAATGCAGGTCATGCATCCGTAACCCACAATATTAAAACCCAACTTCTCCAGGTAGGGAATCACACCAGATTCTTCGAGGTAGTAGGTCACCACTCCAGATCCAGGCGACAAGGATGTCTTGATATAGGGCAAAACTTCGAGTCCCTTTTCCACTGCGTTCTTGGCCAAGAGACCAGCACCCAACATCACCGAGGGATTCGAGGTGTTCGTGCAGGATGTAATGGCTGCAAGGACCACGGATCCGTGATGCAGATTGTAGGTCTTGCCGTCCTCCCACTTCAGTTCTCCAACATCCTTCAGTGCCTCTGGGGTGATTGCAAAGCCCTTGAAACCCACCTTAAATGAAGTAAATAGATATAGATACTTGTTGAAATCTGATTGTAATATATTAAACAAACTTACTGGACTGGACAGGCAAGATTTGAAATCTTCTGCCATGTCGGAAACGGAAACGCGATCGTGTGGTCGCTTGGGACCAGAAACAGACGAAACCACCGTGGCCAGATCCAAAGAGACATTCTATTAAACATGATCAAAATTATAAATGCAATGTTAAGATTAGAAAATATTTCTACAAACCTGTGTGAATTTGGGATCTTCAGTTTGGTCATCGAAATTGCGGAACTGCCGAGTGGTCTTCAAGTACTCACGAATAATAGATATTTTCTTCTCCGAGCGATCTTTATAATAAAGGTAGTTTAATTATTTATGTCAATTAATAGTTTGAGTAAATACTTACTCGACAACTTCAAGTAACTGAGGGTGTTCTCATCGATGGGGAAGTAACCCACAGTGGCTCCATATTCAGGACACATGTTGCTGATGGTCGCCCTATCTGCAATGCTCAATTCCGCGACTCCAGGTCCGTAGAACTCCACGAACTTGCCCACCACTCCCAGTTTACGTAGATGGTTGGTAATCGTAAGTACCAAATCGGTGGAGGTAACCAGAGGGTTGAGTTTTCCCTCCAACCTCGGGCAGCAGCATGGAAATTGATTGTCCAAGCATCACGGCTTCTGCTTCGATGCCACCAACTCCCCAGCCCAAAACTCCCAGTCCGTTGATCATCGTGGTGTGGGAATCAGTGCCCACCACACTGTCGGGATACAAAGTCTTTGAACCATCGGAATTATCCTCTTCGATGACAACATGGGCCAAGTATTCCAAATTGATTTGATGGATGATTCCTGAGCCAGGTGGAACACACAACATGTTGTCGAAGGCTTTGGCAGCCCACTTAAAATGGAATTTAAGTATTTTTAAAGGAATAATATTGTAACGTAACTAAAAAACAATTACCTTGAGGAAAGTAAAACGTTCCTTGTTCCTCTGGAATTCCACAGCCAAGTTCTTGGTCATGGCTTCAGCGGAACGGGCAAACTCCACCGGCAAAGAATGATCGATGACCATTACCGAGGGGCAAATAGGGTTTACTTTCTCGGGATTACCGCCCAATTTCAAAACAGCATCTCGCATGGCAGCAATATCCACCATGGCAGGAACTCCAGTGTAATCCTAATAATATTTTCACTAAATTATATAAGATCCCTAAAATGGAGAATCCTTTTCTCACATGCAGAACCACACGGGATGGCTTGAAGGACACCTCCACATCATTGGCTCCTTGCTTGATGGCCGGGGACCAGTTCAGGATGCTCTGCACATCTTTCTCCAAAACATGGAAGTTGTCACAGTTGCGCACCGCTGACTCCAAAAGCACTCGGATAGAATAGGGCAGTTCATCTATAAATACACACCTTTTTTTTATTTCACCAGTCTAACGAGAGCACGCATCACCCACGAGGCAACCCCGACCCCTAATCAGTTCGATTATCGAAGGAAAGTTTTACTACTTCAATTAAATATATTCAATCTTAAGCGACGACGTCACTTTTTGAACTGATAAGTGATAAGCGTGGCCGAAATACCTTGAGTGCCCCAGGAGTTCTTATCAAAAACTCATGAATGGAGGATTCCATGATGGGTAAATACTTGTTCTATCAGTCAATACTTCTTTTAGGAGATAAACTAATTTAGCTTTTGTACTTCAGCATTTATGATAAGAGACAACCTATTTTTGAACTTTTATCAAAGGTTTTAAGCATCTAAGTACACTACTTTTTTTTTAATTGGTTAAATTAGCTGGTTGTTTTTAATTGGGAGATAATATTTTAAGAGATCATATTACAGATATAAAATATGCTTAAAGGAAACTTTAAAAAATATTTATTTACAATTTAACGAATGATTTTGACCGCCTTGATCAACATTTTGTATTTGTTTTCATGTTAACGTAGGTCATAACCAATTAGACTTCCTAAACTATACTACACTCTTATGAATATTAAGATTTGTTTTGTTTTGTTGGTGTATGACCTTCACGAATCGCAAACGCTACACAGTTTACAGACCGGGCTTAATTTAATATGTTCTCATCCCTGTATTTCTCAATCGTAGAACTAAATTTGTAAACAAACTGCTCACTGTATTTGCTATCAATAGCAGCCAAATCGAAATACTTGTATAATGTTCCATGCTGAGAAAAGGTCTTCTGGAACTTGGCAAATGGATTTGACCCTGCAGAAATTTGACTTTATTAAAATACTCTTGAGTATCTTTTATTTTTCAAAACTCACCAGGCATTCTAGTGAAGTTTCTAACTTTACAGCTTTAACGAATTTATTTTGTTTGAGGAATTACGACTTCCCTTTCCTGTTATATACGTTTTGTAGACTTGGTATCAGTGTGGCTCCCTTGAAAGCGCCAAGAAACGCCACAGATCGTGTAATCATACCTATAACGTACCTCATTTTATAACGGTAATTAGAGCTTGTTTATTGGGTGAACTTCTACAATTGTATCTTTTAGCGGTTTCTTTCGTTCTTCTAAAAATTTTATTATGCTTAGAGCCGGTATTAAAAACATTAAAGTTTGAAAAGGAAATTTTTCCCGCCAAACTGTTTGGAAATCCTTTTCGGCGTTGTCAGACTAATAATATACGAGAAGTCTGGCACCATGGTGACAAAAAGGCGCTGCCAGACTGATACTTTCAAAGTCTGGCAGCCCCAGGCGAAAAAATAACAAGGAGCGGGAACGCACGTTGTTTTTATAAAAAACTATTAAAGTACTAAAAAGCAATATGAATTTACCTGCTAAACAGGACGTGGAAAAAGAGAAGCTGCGCCAGATGCACTGCGAGTTCAATCCTTTGTCCCGCTGTGATGGTTCTGTGATGTACAGCCAAGGTATGTTTATGCTCTTGACTTGGATTCCCACAAGACCGGCTAAAATTGTATCAATTTCAGGTGCCACAGTGGTTATAGCTGCTGTTCTTGGTCCAATCGAGGTGAAGACCCAAAACCTTAGCATAGATGGCAGCTATCTGGATTGCAACTACCGCCCGAAAGCGGGTCTTCCTCAGGTGAAGGAACGGATACGCGAGGCGGCCATTCGAGATGTCTTGGATTTGGCGCTCCTGGCCGAAACTTATCCGCGTTCCAAGATGTCTGTTCAGATCCAGGAGCTGGAGGATCGTGGCAGCGTATGAACCATAACTTTCCTTATATCTAAGTTTTATAATAATGATCATCCTTATATATATATATAGATCGATGCGTGTGCCATAAATTCCGCATGTTTTGCCATGCTTATTGGTGGCCTGCCCCTAAAATACAGCTTTGCTGCCGTTCACTGCATCATCAATGAACAGGGCGAGTACGTGCTTGATCCAGACCAAAGTGAAACACTCCATCAGCGCGCCAGCTTTACCTTTGCCTTTGATTCCGTTGACGGAGACCTTCTGCTCGTGCAGACAAAGGGAGCCTTCAAAATAGCCCAGTTTAACGACATTGAATGTCTTTGCCGGGCGGCCAGTGTGGAGATCTTTCAGTTCTACCGCAGCCAAATAGCCAAGTATCATGGTAGAAGCGAGGCGATAGCTGACAAAAAGGAGGAGTCCTCTGCAATGGAAACGTAATTCTAGGAACAACACAAAACTAGGTACGATTAAAGTTCGTTTTATTGTAAAATCTGTCTATTGTGAAAGTCGGTTATGCTGCTCAACTCGAGGGGAGTGCCCTTTAGCACCTGGGAATTGGATTCATCAATGCGAACAGTTACAAAATCACCTACTCCAAAGCAACTTCGTGATCCTTGATCGTTCCCGGAGGGCAATTCTGTCGCAGGAACAATCACTTTGATGTTGGCATCATTGCGGCCGAACCAGTGTTCATCTGACCTCTTGCTTTTGCCCTCGATGAGGATGAGCTGCTTCTGTCCCTCCATTTTACGGTGCAGCTGAGTGGCTCCTTCTCGGAAAGCCTGTACCATGCGCACCAGTCGCTCGTTCTTCACATTAAGGGGCACGTCATCCTTGTAGCGTCGATGGGCAGCGGTCTTTTCTCGCATGCTGTAGGCAAATAAGTAAGCCACGTTGTACTGCACTTGTTGGATGAGGGACACTGTATCCTGGAACTCCTCCTCCGTTTCGCCGCAAAAACCACAGATGAAATCGCTGGATAGTCCCACGTTGGGCAGAAACTGCCTGATGTGCTGGACAAGTTCCAGATAAGCCTCTCTGCTGTAACCTCGCCGCATCCTCTCAAGAACCTGGGTGTTTCCTGATTGTGCTGGTAAGTGGAGTTGCTTGCACACATTCGGGTGATCTCTTATAACTCTCAACACTTCGTCGGAGAAATCCTTGGGATGCGGGGAGGTAAAACGGATGCGCATTTCGGGAACAGCTTGAGCTACAGCTCGTAGTAACTCGGCAAAGGAAGTCCCACCAGTTTTGGGCTTGTAAACAGTTTTAAAACCAGGAACGGTGGAAGCTTTCAGGGATTCCTGTGCCTCCTGAGCACTTTTATCTCTGTAAGAGTTGACATTCTGGCCCAACAGGGTGACCTCCTTTACGCCCTGCTCCTCCAAAGCTTTAACCTCAGCAACAATCGAATCCAGAGGTCGAGAACGCTCGCGTCCGCGGGTGAAGGGTACTATGCAGTAGGTGCACATATTGTCACACCCTCGCATAATGGACACAAATGCTGTTGGCGATTCCGAGTTCAACCGCACGGGCATAACATCCGCATAGGTTTCGTCCAGCGAGAGGAGCACATTGATGGCCGAGTTGCCATAATGCCGCGATATGGCCAGCAGTCGGGGCAGATCCTTGTAGCTATCCGGTCCGGCAATCACATCCACACATTGCTCCTGATCCAGCAGCTTCTCCTTCAGCCGTTCCGCCATGCAACCGAGCAGAGTTAGCTGGAGAGGATGCCTCCTTGAGCTGCGCTTGTTTTTCATGGCCCGCAGGTGTTTCAATCTGTTCCAGATCCTCGTTTCTGCTCCATCACGAATTGCACAGGTTATCAGCATAATAACATCGGCTTCCTCCGGCTGCTGACATCTCAAATAGCCATTTTGCTGAAGTATACTCCAAACGACTTCTGTGTCGTTGGTGTTCATCTGACATCCGTAGACCTCAAAGTGCACCTTTCTGCCATTACCATTGAAATCAATAGAGCTTAGGTACGGCACACTGGTGTCCACGTGCTCCTCTTCATTTATTTTTAGCCTGGAAGCAGGTTTGACTGCAAAGAAATCTTGGAAGCCGGGTCCCCGTTGAATTCTCTCCAGAAATGTTGCACGTGCTGCCGGCTCCGGTTTTATTCCACTTGCCTCACTGGAGGAAACTGATGAAGGATTGGAGGTTGCTCCTTTGGAGGCAGTGGTTGAGGCCAGTCGCACCTGGCGTATCAACGCCCGGTAGCTCCGTTTCATAGCAGTTTTAATACTTGTAAAAATATGTTTTTAAAATTATGCAAGATTAGAGATGGCACATCACATATGTTTGCACATAGAGTTGTCAACAACCATGAAATATCGGCAATATGATATTTTTTTAATTATTATATTTATAATTATTAAATATAAAAAAATTTGGTAGAACATCAATAAAGATTGATTTGACTTTTTGATTTCTATCAACTTTTCAAAGAAAGTTATATTTAAAACTCAAAGTGTCTATCGCCACCTAGAGGAGTTCGGAAAAGACAGTTAGTTCCAAATAATTCCGCTAGTCTTGATTTTGTCGTTGAAAGTCGTTGAATCTGTAATTGTAATCCTTGGTGAACTAGAATAGAAAATTGGGTTGATACAAGTAAGGATAATATTTGCTTATAAATCGTGTATTACATTTTTATTTCAAACTTAGTAAGATCCAACATATTTTATTTGAAACTTATCATAAAAGTTGAGAGAGATGAGCATAGCAATAGTAAATCAGGCCAAATGAAGCACATTTAATTAATCTACACTACAAAGTGTAGAATGCACCTGGCTTCCTGCCGAGATAAACACTCAAAGGAGCATTTTCGGCCGCACATTTGAGGACAGGTTGGCCAAAGTCGGCTCAGCCGTAAGAAATTAGCTCGGCCTCATTATGAGCTTATCGTGGTCGGGTTAATAATGCACAGGTGAAGACAATGCAATTGCAGGAACCACTGCTCCTGATTCCAAACCTGTGCCGACACTTTGCGGCTTTGTGGGTCAATAACTGAATAATTGCATTGCCACCGAGTGTGGGCCATAAATAGAGCCGAATCCGTCGGCCGCAGTCTTCCGTAGATAATTTCACCCGATTTAAATTACTTTGGGATACACAAGTGTAAGTAGTCCGATTTTTTAATATGGGAAATTGTACTCCAGTAAATATATTATTTAATTTAATATCAGTAAAGGAATTTAAAAAATGGAAATGCATATTAAACGAGATTTGCATCTCATAAATTCCGATAAAATCATATGCAGTCATTTCGCTAAATACGTAGTTTCCTTTTTCCATCCATAACTCTTTGTACTAAATGTGTGTTCTTTCTTGAAAGATAGAGGGAAAATCGGGAGTAGGAGCAGCCTAGCACACACATATTTTGTAAACACTTACAAGCAGAAATATTTTAATGAAAATGAAATGAAAATTCCGCTTTCGGCCAAAAGAATTTCGTAATTACAGCGAAAAAATTCGGTAATTAAATTCATGAAGTTTCTGGCTGGAAGGCGTCGAATCCGAAGGGAGCCACTTGGGTGGCTCAGCGGCACTCGCATCCTTGTAAGTGGGTCCTGCTCCCCGGTTCTTGGTCCTTGGTCCTTGGTCCCTGGCCTGCTGGCTGAAGGCCTTCTGCTTTCCGCGTTCTGTTGGTTAAGCATTTTCTTGTATTTTGTCGGCACTTTTCCGCTAAAGTTATTTTCCCATGAGTTTTCCCTCTAGTCCGCTGCTATAAATCTTACAGCTCGGTCTCGGGGATGGAGTTGTGTGCTCCAGAATGGAAGTGTAGTTTAGTTCTAGAGCAAGAGGGACTTTTACTGGCTCGTGCATACGCCGAGCAGCTTAAGCTCACAACTAGTTGTATCTCAAGGCAACTGTCAATAAATAATAAATAATTCAATTGTACTAATGCTTTCTATATTTAGTAGTGGCAATTAATCCGACAATTCGACTGGGAAACACGCTCTTGGTCGTTGACAATTTGTGTGAGCTTTTAAATCGGTTGAGTAAATGGTTTGTATCGAGAAAATATTTCACATACGAAATATATTTGGTCTTTACAATAGTATGTAACTGTCGGATTAGAAAAAGGTATACGAAAATCTTAAAGGAAAATATAAAATTAAAAAAAAATCATTAAACAATTTAAAAGGAGAAAGGAGGAATAATTTCTAAATGCCTAATTTTTTTTAATCATTATGAAGCTATGCTTATCCTTATCCTAAATTTAATATTATCAAATCACAAAATTATTAAAGTTATCCTTGGCTTTGGCCGCATTTACAGTTCGCTTGTCCACTAACCCCCTTAAACCCCATGCAAATACAAATTCGAATGTGGGCCCGAATCCCCCTGAGCCTCACCTCCGACAAACCTTCGTCAACCTGACCCCCTGGTCCAATCCCCGCCCACAGAGAACCCACGGTAGACCCACTGTAAACCCACCAACGACACTTTGAGGCCCCATAACGCGGGCACACGCATAATGATCCCTTGAATGGCTCAATGCGTGGCTCCGCTCCAGCCGAAAAAGTTTACTTACAGCTTACAGATTTCTATTTTTCGGAAAACCATTTTCCCGCCCACCAGCGCCAACCCTTGGGGGCGCATTTTCCGCTGCATGATGGGGGCTGTGGTGTTAACGGCTCTGCGGAGAGTCATTTTCCCCCATGCAGAGACAAAAACAAAAAACACCGAAGAGAGACAAAGAAAGGCAAGCCAATGTTAATAGAAAATGGTTCGTTGTCGTCGTCTTGGTTGTCGTTAAATTGAAATTGTCGCGGAAATAAAAATTTGCATATTTTAGCATTGATTTCCACGTTTCCCTCAGGGATCTTTGTCACTGTAGTGCACTCAATAAATTTAGTTTTCTTCAACTTGTTTTAAGATTGATTTGGTTTGACTTAGATCCGAAAAACTTAATATAAGAAAAATCATGTTTACTTTAGTAAAACTAAAGTTTTAATAAATTAAATTTTTAACTTATTTGAGGCTTAACTTATTTCTAATTCAATTTCCTAAACAAATATTATAAACCTTTACTTTCCCTTTAATTAGATTACCTTTTTTCAAGGTACCCCCTGTCGTATGCGCAATGTCTGAATGCACTCAATAAATTCGCCTAAGCTGCGAAAATTGCGCAAATTAATTACGGGCAAGTGCATAAACTAAACAAAATCCAATGACCAAACAGTGAAGGGAGGACCTTCGAGGGGCTGGTGTCCTGTGTTTCTCATTACTGACTGCCAGTTCCAGTTGCTGTCTCTAGTAAATCCTGGCGCTGTCACAATAAAATCCACTCAAGCTAAACATACGTCAGCAGTGACGAGCCTTGGTCCTGGCCCCGACTTTCGGCCCAGCTTTCCGAGCTCCAAGTTCCTAGCTCTGAGTTCTGAGTCCGAGTCCGAGTACGAGTACGAGTACGAGTCCTGGCCAAGTCGCACAAATTTATGCCCCAGAAAAAAAGGCAATCTCCTCCTCTTTGGCGCTGGCAGTGACTCCGAGGCGCAGGATATAATACCAAACTGCTCATTGATTTATTTACGAGCTCAACTGATGGTCCAACTTTCCAGGGGCCAAGGGGCGTGGCCGGTGACCAACTGCATCAACTGATGCAGACCAGGGATACAGAACTTAAGCTATAGAAATATTAAAAAACATTTAGATCAATAAATTAATATTAAACTTCTGTGCTTTTTTTCAGTTTACTTATTTTTGTTTTATATTTTAAGGAAAGATATTATACCGAACCTAAACAATTTCCAGAATTTTTAAATGGAAGATTTTAAGCAGAGAAGATTTGAGAATCCTGATAAATTTTTCTTCCAAAGCTATGACTTTGCATCCCTGCCTCACAAATTGCAGCTAAATTCTCGCTTTTCTCGACTGCCACTGGACACGCTGCCATCTTCCATCGCTTTTGCCCCCTTAAAACCCCCTTTTAGTCCCTCTTCCATCGTCTTTGCCCCGTGACTGTGACTTACATAAAGTGTCCTCGACTTGGCCAAGTCGAGTCATTTAGGCGCAGGTCGTAGATCTTCCAAAGCAATGGCTTTTGACACCCAATGTGGGCCTGGTCCTGATGCTCCTGATGCTCTACTCGCTTAAATATTTACGCCGCCAGAGCGGCGATGGCTTTAAGGATCTGGATGCTGGGCCCGGTCCTTCGGCTGCCTGCGGTGTTTGCTGGTAATTTTCATTGTCACGTGGCGGTAATTACCGGTGTTGCAGACACAAACACAGATGCAGACACGCGGCCAGACGCAGACACTGAGTCAGTCATGGCCGTGGCTTTGAACTGCACACGAATGCACTCGAAAATAATTGGGAGTGATTTAATAAAACACTATTCAAAACAGGAGCAATATTTACCATTCAGTAGTTAAGCCTTTAGCATAATAAAACAGAAGTTATTTTCCTTGATATGTAACTTTATAATAATTCATTTGCGTCTTGGTTTTACCAATAAATATTTATTTGTGGCTTAAACTATTTATATTTATATTTACTTTATTTGTGGGTAAGTGTTTGACAATCGATTCAATTAATTATATTTTTGAGGATTATAGTAAATAAAATGAAATTTTAATTATAACTTCTAAAGCTCAGTGCATTGGCATTCGAAGTTCTCCATCTGCATATATATGTCTGTTGATTTGTTTGTTTATCTGTGTGTGTGTGCGTGTGTGTGGGCTATATCCTGTGGCGTCGCGACGCGCTTTACAATTTCAATTCATTGAATTTTAACAGCGCCTGCAGCGGTGCGTCCTTGTGCCTGCGAACCCAGTTAACCGAAAGTTTGTAAACCGTTATGTGCAACATTTGCCGGCGAATGGCGAACGGCGAAGGACATGCGGGGCCAAGCGGTAAATGCGGGGGGCTGTAGTCCTGATCCTGGCCGAGGTCCATTGTCAATGGCTTCGTGCAGGTCGGCCGCTGATATTAAAACGTGTTTTATCACCCGCCGCCATTTCGCGGCCGGGTATTCATTCCAATTGCGGCCAGATTGCACTTTTCAAGTGCGTGTTAATGCACTGCGTGTGTGCGAAGGGTTAAGGGGGCGGCAAAGGGGTTTTTGGGCGTGGCAGGGGCCTGCAGAACGAACTTAAAGCTGACTCAGCCCCAAAAGCGTTGGCTATTCAAATTAGAAAAACGAGCTGGCGAATGTCACAGCAGCTATCTAAACAAAAAACTGAAGCGAAACCAAGCGAAAGGGGTTGATGGCTGAAGGCAAAAACAAGTGTTTGGAGAAGCGGTAAAGGGGAAAGTATTACACTGAGAAATAAATATAGT